AATTTCTGTTCAAAAAATTACAGGCTGCAATCTTGATGGAAAGTCAACAAATTCAAGACTAAATTAGATTTAAGGAACATCTTCGCCGCCGGGATAAATGTAAACATTACTAAACAGTTTAGATGTAAGGCATCCATTTCCTTAAAAAGGGGACGGGGTGATTTTTTCAATTGTGGGCATGGAATGCATCTGGGCCATTTCTAACATGGAGGGTAACGTCCTTACAAAACTCAATTTCTTCCGCGCGAAACCGGCAGAGTTTGGCAAAGAAGTGTTTTCCCCTGTGGCCGCTCTCCAGGTTTCGAGTATTCTCTCGGCGGAAAAGACCGTTGAAAATCTCGGCTGTCCTAGAAAGGACGATCAAATGGGCGCCCTCTTATTTGCTGAACTTTACCCTCTAATCGTCCACCTTTCCCCTCTAATTTGTGAATGGCGCCCTCTAATATAGATGCCCTCTAATGGAAACTGAACTATGCCCTCCGAAAAATTGAATCGACGCCCTCTGATTTTATTTTCCCAAAATGGTATTGTTTCCTTACATAGTAGTGTAAGAATGCAGAGTAGTAGTGTTAAGTAGTAATTTTTGAAAATTTTGGTTGAGCTATCGATTTATAGGTAATTTGGGGTGCTGATTTCGAAAATGACATTCATTTTTCATGATTGTAACTTTTTTCTTAAATAGTAGTGTTAAGTAGTAATTTTTGAAAATTTTGGTTGAGCTATCGGTTTATAGGTAATTTGGGGTGCTGAATTCGAAAATGACATTCATTTTTCATGATTGTAACTTTTTTCTTAAATAGTAGTGTTAAGTAGTAATTTTTGAAAATTTTGGTTGAGCTATCGATTTATAGGTAATTTGGGGTGCTGATTTCGAAAATGACATTCATTTTTCATGATTGTAACTTTTTTCTTAAATAGTAGTGTTAAGTAGTAATTTTTGAAAATTTTGGTTGAGCTATCGATTCATAGGTAATTTGGGGTGCTGAATTCGAAAATGACATTCATTTTTTATGATTGTAACTTTTTTCTTAAATAGTAGTGTTAAGTAGTAATTTTTGAAAATTTTGGTTGAGCTATCGATTTATAGGTAATTTGGGGTGCTGATTTCGAAAATGACATTCATTTTTCATGATTGTAACTTTTTTCTTAAATAGTAGTGTTAAGTAGTAATTTTTGAAAATTTTGGTTGAGCTATCGGTTTATAGGTAATTTGGGGTGCTGAATTCGAAAATGACATTCATTTTTCATGATTGTAACTTTTTTCTTAAATAGTAGTGTTAAGTAGTAATTTTTGAAAATTTTGGTTGAGCTATCGATTTATAGGTAATTTGGGGTGCTGATTTCGAAAATGACATTCATTTTTCATGATTGTAACTTTTTTCTTAAATAGTAGTGTTAAGTAGTAATTTTTGAAAATTTTGGTTGAGCTATCGGTTTATAGGTAATTTGGGGTGCTGAATTCGAAAATGACATTCATTTTTCATGATTGTAACTTTTTTCTTAAATAGTAGTGTTAAGTAGTAATTTTTGAAAATTTTGGTTGAGCTATCGATTTATAGGTAATTTGGGGTGCTGATTTCGAAAATGACATTCATTTTTCATGATTGTAACTTTTTTCTTAAATAGTAGTGTTAAGTAGTAATTTTTGAAAATTTTGGTTGAGCTATCGATTCATAGGTAATTTGGGGTGCTGAATTCGAAAATGACATTCATTTTTTATGATTGTAACTTTTTTCTTAAATAGTAGTGTTAAGTAGTAATTTTTGAAAATTTTGGTTGAGCTATCGATTTATAGGTAATTTGGGGTGCTGATTTCGAAAATGACATTCATTTTTCATGATTGTAACTTTTTTCTTAAATAGTAGTGTTAAGTAGTAATTTTTGAAAATTTTGGTTGAGCTATCGGTTTATAGGTAATTTGGGGTGCTGAATTCGAAAATGACATTCATTTTTCATAATTGTAACTTTTTTCTTAAATAGTAGTGTTAAGTAGTAATTTTTGAAAATTTTGGTTGAGCTATCGGTTTATAGGTAATTTGGGGTGCTGAATTCGAAAATGACATTCATTTTTCATGATTGTAACTTTTTTCTTAAATAGTAGTGTTAGATAGTAATTTTTGAAAAATTTGGGTGAGGTATCGATTTATGGGTAATTTGGGGTGCTGAATTCGAAAATGACATTCATTTTTCATGATTGTAACTTTTTTCTTAAATAGTAGTGTTAGATAGTAATTTTTGAAAAATTTGGGTGAGGTATCGATTTATAGGTAATTTGGGGTGCTGAATTCGAAAATGACATTCATTTTTCATGATTGTAACTTTTTTCTTAAATAGTAGTGTTAGATAGTAATTTTTGAAAAATTTGGGTGAGGTATCGATTTATAGGTAATTTGGGGTCCAGAATTGAGTTGTGCTGTAAAGTTGTGATTTCTTTGTTTTTATTTTATTTTTTGATGAATAGTTAGTTAAGTGCAAGGTATGTGTCATTGTTGATTCAAAAACTGTGTTCATGTTCTGTAGTTTTTATTCACCTCCAATCTGTTGGCAGAAGAATTTTTGCTCAGAATTTTCTGTCAAACCTGGCATTGCGGCAGGCTATCCCAAGCCAAACAATTTTATAGCAGAAAAATTTCTGTAAAACCCCGCCCATTTTGGCGCGCTCGATGAAGGACAGAAGCAATACCGATGATGACCAGAAGTAATAATTGCATGAGAAAAAATCCTGTTGGATAATTGTCAGTCTAGCATTTATTACAATAAAAACTTTAAATATTTTACAAATATTTTCAATTAAAATATTTTACAAATATTTTCAATTCCTTCAGGTTCGTGTGATATCACTTAAAGCAATATCTGCCTAATTGCAATAAATTGACAGAGAAAACGTTGAAACAGCAAATAACTTGCGTAAATTTAACTTATTCTTGTACGGACAACGTTACAAACAAAAATGGTACGATGTGTTTTTTCTTTTTATGACAAAAAATTGAAAAAATATAACTATGTTGTCTAAAGAGAAGTATTTTTATAATAAATTTCGTAAAGTTTTTCTGCTAATTTAAGTCTTTGAGCAACTTCGTGTTATTATCCAACAGGATTTTTTCTCATGCAATTATTACTTCTGGTCATCATTGGTATTGCTTCTGTCCTTCATCGAGCGCGCCAAAATGGGCGGGGTTTGACAGAAATTTTTCTGCGATCAAATTGTTTGGCTTGGGATAGCCTGCCGCTATGCCAGGTTTGACAGAAGTTTTTGAGCGGAAATTCTTTTGCCATCAGATTGGAGGTAAATAAAAACTACAGAAGCTGAACACAGTTTTTGAATCAACAATAACACATATCTTGCACTTAACTATTCATAAAAAAATAAAAATAATGAAATCACAACTTTACAGCACAACTCATCATGAATCGCGTTCTGGAATAAGCACCCATAAAACCTACCAATTCAAAAAATCTCAAAGTTATTACTTTACAGTACTGTTTAAGAACAATTTGACAGCAGCATAATTTCTGCCGAACTTGTGTTGGCGCCCATTTTTGGCGCGCCCAATGATGGGCTAGAGGCAGGCTCTCCCAAGCTAAACAATTTGACAGCAGCGTCAAAAATTACTACCTAACACTACTATTTAAGAAAAAAGTAACAATCGTGAAAAATGAATGTCATTTTCGAATTCGGCACCTCAAATTACCTATGAATCGATAGCTCAACCAAAATTTTCAAAAATTACTACTTAACACTACTATTTAAGAAAAAAGTTACAATCATAAAAAATGAATGTCATTTTCGAATTCAGCACCCCAAATTACCTATGAATCGATAGCTCAACCAAAATTTTCAAAAATTACTACTTAACACTACTATTTAAGAAAAAAGTTACAATCATAAAAAATGAATGTCATTTTCGAATTCAGCACCCCAAATTACCTATGCATCGATAGCTCAACCAAAATTTTCAAAAATTACTACTTAACACTACTACTCTGCATTCTTACACTACTATGTAAGGAAACAATACCATTTTGGGAAAATAAAATCAGAGGGCGTCGATTCAATTTTTCGGAGGGCATAGTTCAGTTTCCATTAGAGGGCATCTATATTAGAGGGCGCCATTCACAAATTAGAGGGGAAAGGTGGACGATTAGAGGGTAGAGTTCAGCAAATAAGAGGGCACAAAGTGTATTGCCCTCCTAGAAAGCATGAACTAAAATTTTTGGGGATTGGTACGTGACCTTAAGATTTTAAGCCTGAATGATGCTAAAAATTTGATACTGTTTACAAGTTCGCTTTTCACGAGCCCTTCCCCTAGCAAACAATCAAAAAATCAAAATATTTTCTGTTGACAAAACGTTGGAATTATCAAATTCCTCGGATTTGGGTATCATTTTCACCCAACGAACGCATGTCCATTCGAATTATTTGAATATTATCGAATGCGCAAACAAGGAAGTCATTACGTTCCATTCCAGCGGAAGCCCCAAACCCTCTTCTTTAAATACATAGTCTTCTTTTTATAGTATTCATCTCGAGAGAACGCTAGGCACGTCTTCGAACGTCCCACTTAATTCGAGGGCTCTTCCTCCAACTTAATTTTTTGTTTCTTTTTCAAATTCAATTGAAGACGGACCAATTTATGGCCAATTTTTGGGAACCCCAGGTCTTTAGGCTCCGACCACAATCAAACTGGGGTCGTTAGCTGTTTGTTCAACGAATTGGCTAACAAATTTAGCCCCGAATATGGTAGCCATTCCCAGGGCTCGGCTATTTGTGGTCTCAAATAACGTCATGGATACGACAAAACAATATAAATTGACGTTTATTAGATAAAAACACCCATAACAGACTGGTTTACCGGGACTAAGAACGATTCTGAACCGAGATTTTGATGTTGAATGGCAGTAGAGCAAGTGCAATGTAAGAAGTTCAAATTAAAACATTTTGCAAAAAGATTAAAGTGTAATTAAGATCAGGCTTAAAGGATCATAAGGAGATTACTGTTTCATTCGAATGGAGCCACTTCTCTAGCCCAATCTTGTAACTTCCGAGAATCCGAGGGGTCTTTCTCAGTGACTTTGTTGTTAATATAATCGATCGCCTTGGCCTTTCCTCCTTCTTCGAATGCGTAAAATACGGCTGGACCTGTGTAGCCGGGAGTCAGCTCTTTGACGGAAGGCTTAAACTTGTCTGGTCCTTGGTATTTCTCATCTCCTTTTCGAACGTAATAATTGGATCGGCCAATGTAAAGGGAGAACTCACCGTTCGAAACTCCGTCTGAAAAAATGATGATTAAAACGCTGATAGTGGGAATTTTACGGGGAATTTTGAAGTTTACAGGGGGATATATAGGCCATATACGAGCATTCAAATGGCGTTTCGAACCCATTTCCAAGTGAAAGTAGCCTTTTTCCGACACCTTCTGTCAGATTCCACGTTGGCCGCTGTAATCGCCGGCAAGCCCCAGCCAAAACTGCGCCTACTCATCACCGAGGAATATATAATATAATATACACCTCTTTTAGCGTTCTCTAGCAACAAGGCGGAACTATAACACGTTTGATTTCCTTATTGTATCAATGCCAATTTGCGCAATCTACTCTTGTCATGTTGTCTGTCAGAAAACCCAAGCAATTATCGTTTTTCTGAACATCCCAATCTATCGCCTTCATGATCCTTACGTCATTTTAAAATACCTCTGTTTTATACTTTAGACACCCACCCCGATAACGATCAATTATGCACGCCCATTACTCATAAAATCTTGTAAACCTTGCGCATTTTACGGCTCTTAACAAGTTGTTTCTCAGACTTAGTTTATGCTTTACGAAGTAACTCGATGCTTCTGAAAATAAAAACTTTACTATTACTTGGTGGTTTACGACAAAACAACGCTACAAATTTGAGTCCAGGCATAACATTCACTTGTAAAACAGATCAGCACTGGTTTAGAGGCCGTTTATTGCATTTAGAAAGTGTAAATAATTAGTGGGAGTAGTAAAAATACTTAAAGAAAAATTTTGCAGCGCCATTTTTTATACATTTCCGTCGTTTTTTCATCACTTGCGCAATAAGGAAGTATACATATGGGGCTCATTTGTAAAACAGTCGTTGCCAGGAATAACAGAGACATCAACCAAGTACTCATGCCACCAAAAAATTGGAAGAACTAAGCGTTGTGATTTACCAAAAAAAGTTTAGTTGTATTACTTGGTTTTGTAAACAAAAAGTTTTTCTTTCCCGAGCGAAAGGAACGGCTCCCCCTGTCAATGGAAACAATGATTTCCGTCAAAGATAAAACATTTTTTCTTGTAGAAACAGTAGCTCCTCTAACGTTCTGAAAAATGGGGGTAAAAGTCCAAAGCAACAACAACGTTCCAGCTGACAAAATAACCGAAAATTATTTGAAGCAGATATTAGATTTGATGCAATCACTATGATACTAAAAATGATACATTTTGGTACCTTTTTTGAGCCTCAACAGAAAAAGTGGAAGCGTTGTTCTTTTCAGAACTAAAAAGGATCGTGTCTGTTACCTCAGACAAGAACTCCAAAATGTTTTTGGGCCCAAACAAAATTATTTCTCTGATTGTGACCATGCAAACCGATCTTCCGATCAACAGATGGGGTAGTAAAGGCGTTAATGGTTCAAAATTTTGGAATTAGCCCCAGTTTATACACTGGAATCACAACCAGGATTGTCTGCATCCAAGACAACTTTTACTTCACTCTGGACACCGATTCTTGTCGACTCAGCAAAGTCTACCCAGACCTCGTCGAGTGGCCCACACACAAAAAATCCAAGGTTTCGGCGACGAAGTCCGAAAAAAGTAACGCCTTATACATATTCCCCAATAATTCGACCTATATAACCCCCTTTGTGCAATTTTATGTTAAAAGCTGATGACTAAAATACCAGCAATCAACTACCATACAAGCTCAGTCATAACCAACGCACAAAATGGCCATAACTCACCGGAATTGCAACAAACAAGCAAGGTCGTGAAAATAAAGATCGCCTTCGCAGCTGACTTCATCGCTCTTCAGGAACGTCGGAATGAACGTTGGGAACAGGCGGAAGACGTTACTTTTGAACTCTTACTCCATAAAAGAGTTTTTATTACCACCTGATGTTCTTTTGTAAAGCGAGAAGAGAGGAGGCGGCCTGAAGGTACAGCCCTGGCAAGCAATTAAAACCAGTTTATAACAGAAGGTACCCTCTCCCTTCTCAATTATTCCCACAGCATGGTATTGTAATTGTTATTCGAGAGCAATGCACCTACAAAAGGAGAATACTAACCATAAGATGGGGTGAGATTATGTTGTTTCCATAATTGAAGGTGAGTCAGGGGCAGTGCAAGGCAACTTTGTAAACTTTCGAAGGAGAATGTCGATTACTGGTTGGTTAAAAAATTGGGAGAATATAACTCGTAGCACGAAGGGCAACGTTAAAGTAAAATTAGAGCACACTTTCATTCCCCGAGAGGCAGTAGATAAAAAAATACCTTTTTCAAAGACGACTAGTTACACTCTGGTTATCTTTTTGTAAACGTAGCTCTAAGATGCTGGGAATCACATATATAAATCTTTGATTCAACGGAAGGCTTCCGGAAAAACAGCGAGTTTTTAGGCCGACTTTGACAGAGTTTTTTGACGGTCTGACAAAAGTGTAAAAGTCGTAATTAGGCAAAACCAATTTTAATGAGTAATTCTCATCAACTATTAAGAACTCCAAGAACAAAACCAAAATTTAATGACTAAAAATATCAGATTACATACTATAATACAAAAAACAAGTTTACCTAGGCTTCAAAGTCCCGTAAATAGGCATTCTCAGAAATCCACTCGAGGAATCTCTGTCTCTCCTTCAATTCGGTCTTTTCGAATTCCTCGAGCAAAGTTCTAGCCATAAGTCGCGCTAAAGGGTCGGCAACCTGGGTGAGAGTCGTGAAGAAATGAGGAAAGGTCCATGCATGATGGTCGACATTACAAAGATTCTCAAAGGATCTAAACATCAGCATAAGAAGGAACGATCTTAAACTCACCCTTTAATGACGTCATTGAAAGCCTTACAATTCCTAAGAGCCCTGCAACTTTGGTGTTTGAATGCAAAAGGATACGTAAAGAGGTAACAGTGACTCGCGTGTTGGCCAAATTGAGACCTTACACTGCATAACTTCTTTGCCAGTAGACGAACACAATGCCCTGCCTCGTCTTTGTCGAAGGTGTCAAAGTTACACCAAGTCCAGTTGGGGGCAATTATAATTCTCTTGAAGACTTTATGGACCTTTAGATCGGAAATGATTTGCAGAACTTCATCCACCGGCTCAGTCATGAACTAAAAATGGAAATATTAGGTGTTTATCAAATCAGGTGTAAAATACCGGGTTTCATTCAATTACAGCCTAACCCACCCTCATATACGTGCAAATCTTTTCAGCACCGTAGATCTCTGGCCAATCACCGCATAAGACGACCAAAAACATCTTGGTCATATCCACTTGCAGCCAGGCTTTCTGAAGCTGAGAGTCGCTAACGGTGGTGTACTTATACGTAATAACTTCGGGCTAAAAGTCGATAAAAAAAATATGAATCAACTTGCCACCGATCTGCTCTTATCTAATATAAATCGGCGATTATAATTGAAGTGAGTGTAAGTATGACATCTGGTAGTATTTACATTAAAATAGAGATAACGATCGAACTCCCGTCGAATAATTGCCCTTTTTTCTGCAAACGGATCATCTTCCTTCTCATGGGAAGGTGAGGGTACCGGCGATGGCCCATCTTCTAATGCCGATGGAATTTCTTCAGGAAAGTCTTCCTAAAAATGTAACCTCAAATAAAATGCACCTACTTTTAAAGCTTTCAAAGCGGGTTTGAGATCAAATGGATTCAAACCAAGGGGTACACGGTCTTCTTTCACTTTTTGTCTCGTTAGTCCATTTACACGGTACCTTCTGAATAAAATTTTTTTTATAGAAGGTTCGGAAAAAGTCGGAAAATCGGGCCAAACTCATAAACAAACATGAACTTACACCTTTCCGTCATGGTACTCCTTCGGAATGCTGTCGACCATGTGTTTCACAAACTTTCTCATATGACGTTCGGATATTTGAGGTTCAGGCAATTCAGGCATCGAAGATGGTTCAGCATTGACTGCTGAGCCATTTGACGTTGTTGAATGCATTTCAGGTATACTTGTCTAAAGCGAGCCACAATATTACGTAACATTTTCAGCTGGAAGATCAGATTTTAGGTATAAAATTACCTTGAAAGTCGGGAATTTGTCAAATTGTACCATGTTTTCTGTAGGATAGACATGGCTGTCCATTGTTTGGTTTTGGCCGACATCTTCTTCATCCGATTCAAACTCGCTAAAGCAATTTCGAATAGAAAACGATAGATTTTACACTTACATTGGGAGTTGTCGCGAAAGTTTCAACATTTTTTTCATTTTTGTGAAAAACTGGTAAGAATAAATAGGATAGACTTCAAATGTTTATGCCGTCCCTCGCGTAATCTCTACCATGTTGAACAATAAAGCTGTCACACTGCACGGCGATTTCAAAGGTCCCTTTCGCGGTGGAAAAAAAACAAAAAACGCGCAGCCGGCAGAGGAAGGTATACGATGAAACATGTTTAGGAAGAAATCGTACAGTTTCATCAGTGTGATGTAATCGATACTAAACGAAGATGCCTGTTGAGTACTTTGCGGAAACCAGGCGTTCTGGGTTTTTGACATCAGGTGAAACGGCTTAGGGCTGCGTGATTCCCAGGCCATAGACGAGTATCAAAACAAGAGGCTGATTTTTCATCGTATTTTGAGGTGTTGTTGCGAATGTTTAATGGCTTGCTTGGGAAACGGAACAAGAGCCGACAAGAACAGCGGAAAAAAGACTGCCGTTGGATGACCGTTGAACGCACACACAGAAGAATAATTTCGACCAGAAAGTAGAACACTTCCGCAGACGACCAGGAAATACTAGTCGGGCCATAAAGTCCTGACACATTTTGCGGGTTTCGCGCACGAAAGTGCATGTCGCTAGTGCAAAAAGGGGGGTTGCCGCAACGGGTCCGAAGTAAAAACGCACCGTGCAAATGTGTCAGGACTTCATGTCGCGACTACTACTACTAGTCGTTCCAGGAAGTGCGTACACAGTTCGTTCTTCTTTCCTGTACCGCGCTGTCACGCTCCACAAAATGCACGGCGACGTAGTTGAAAGAAACTTACGTCGCTGCGACGTTTGAATTGCACGTTGCGAAAGAGCAAATGCACAGCGCGGAAAATTTGCGACGAAAGGTCCACGCACTTCCCGGAACGAGTAGCACTCCGTCCTCCAAACAACCGACCGCCGGATTCCGGGAACTTACCGACCAGGATCAACTTAGTTGACTGATTTTCCATTCTCGGCTTTGATACACAGTTAAAACAATACAATACCGACAGTAATGGCGCTTTTACGGCCGAACAAGGGGTAAACAACCCTCACTAACCCAACTGTTCTTTCTGGCCCTATTCCCCTCCTACGTATGCATCCTACCCTTCCACAATGCCAGGTCGAAAATGCCCAACGTCCCAGAGGATATAAGTAATTCGGCCGAGAAACCAGCCATAGTTCAACGCCTTTCAAAGCCAGAAACTAAAAGAATTCTAGCTACCCCTCACTTCCAGACTAAACCATCAATATCTACGCTATCTGCTCCCTACCAGCCCAGTAATAATAACTTCGTCATAGGCTGCCCAACTACAGCATCAGCACCATTCAACCCAATTCCGATTACTTACCTTCTCCGATCTTTTCTCCCATTTCCCCTTCCCCTTTCAAAGCAAAAACAAAATAATATAAAAAAGAAACAAATAGATCAAATTAAAATCGTAGATTCTTCTTCTTCTGGGCTGGAAAGTTGCCTGGACAGGTTTAATGGGACTTGAAGGAATCTGTAAGAAAATGGAGATTAGAAGGCTAAAAAAATCAAATTTAAGTTCACATGAGTAATACAGAGATCTCGAAAAATTGTAATCATAGTGACTAAAATTTCGCCAAAGTACAGGGTGGTTCAGCCGAAGCTTCCATCCTTATTTCAAGTATTTCTCCGACAATAATGCATCAATTTCTATAAAATTTATATTAAATTTAAGCTGAAGTGCCCCATTTTTTGTCCACCAAATATGACGGACCCAAGTTCACCGTGGCTCCCGTACTGACCTTCGATATTTTCATTTTAGAGCCCGAAATCGGGTTGTGTCCGAACAGTGCACCTGAAACAAACAGTGCACCTGGCTGAACGGGGCACCTGAGCGAACGGTGCACCTGACACATTTTGAACTGTGCACCTGGGCGAACGGTGCACCTGGGTGAACAGTGCACCTGGGCGAACTTCGGGACTGGTAAAAAGGATTTTTTTTGGAAAATTTTAATAAAATTTGAAATGTTTTCGCTTCGGGACTGGGAAAAAGGATTTTTCATGAACAATTGAACAAAAATTGAAAGGTTTTCGCTTTGAGACAGGGAAAAAGGATTTTTTGGAAACTTTTAGTAAAATTTTCAAAGGTTTTCGCTTCGGGACTGGGAAAAAGGATTTTCTTTGGAAAAGTTTAATAAAATTTGAAAGGTTTTCGCTTCGGGATAAATATGGCAAGGGTAGATCAAGGCAAATTCTTTTGACGGATTTTTTTTATGTGACAAATGGGGATCAAGTTAAGCCGTTTTTACTGATTTCTTTGTTTGTGAAAAGCTAGATATGAAAGGGGAGATCAAGGCAACTTGTTCTGACTAATTTTTCGTCTGTGAAAAAAATGTTATTCCAATAGGGCTGTTGCCGGTGCGCCACAAAAATACGAACAGAACCTAGCAAACCTAAAAATAATCAGATGTAAGTGTAGTTCTTTCGTTTCTTACCGTTTTACTTTCTCCATGGGAAACACGATGCTCCTTGCAATCTCTTCAATAACTTTTTCGGATCCACGAGTTATGATCTCATCTCTGGCTACATCAGAGGCCCGACGTTTTGGCATTGCCTGATTTGTCAAGATTGGAAGGATGTTTAGTCCCTGCTTGTCAAGATCACGCGCTATTAACTCAATGAATTTGTTGAGCGTTGTACTTGAGCTTAAGATGTCATTCCATCCATTATGCTGCCCTCATTTATCTCTTTATAAACAAAAAAAATTGTCAAAAAAAGCTTACCTTGATCTCCCCTTGTCATATTTATCTTTTCACACACAAAAAAATCAGTCAAAAAACTTGCTTTGATCCCCATTGTCATATTTACCTTTTCACAAAGAAAAAATGGTTTTTTTCCTTTTCCGAAGCGAAAACTTTTCAAATTCTTTTCAATTATACACAAAAATTCCTTTTTCCCTGCCCCGAAGCGAAAACCTTTCAAATTTTTTTAAAATTTTCCAAAAAAATTTTTTTTCCCTGTCCCGAAGCGAAAACCTTTCAAATTTTTTAAAAATTTTCCAAAAAAATCCTTTTTCCCAGTCCCGAAGCGAAAACCTTTCAAATTTTATTAAAAATTTCCAAAAAAATCCTTTTTCCCAGTCCCGAAGCGAAAACCTTTCAAATTTTATTAAAATTTTCCAAAAAAATCCTTTTTCCCTGTCTCGAAGCGAAAACCTTTCAAATTTTTTAAAAAATTTCCAAAAAAAATCCTTTTTCGTTGTCCCGAAACGAAAACCTTTCAAATTTTCTTCAATAATGCACAAAAAAACTTTTTTTCAAGGTGCACCATTCGCCTAGGTGCACTGTTCAAACAAGAAAATGTCAGGTGCACCGTTCAGCCAGGTGCACTATTCACCCAGGTGCCACGTTCAGCCAGGTGCACAATTCACCCAGGTGCCCCGTTCAGCCAGGTGCACAATTCGTCAGGTGCACCGTTCGGACCGAATCCGAAATCGGTGACACTTGGAAAATTTTTGCAATGATTTTCAATTGAGTTTCTCGGACTTGGAAAATTTTTGGACTTCCGGCAAAAACAAAGTCGTCAAATTCGGTGAAAATTTTTTTAAAAGTAAGGTTCACAGAAGTACCAAGTGCCTAACAAGCATCTTTCAATCGGCGAGGTACCAAATCGAACGAATGAAAACGAAAACTCTTTTCATGGGCAATCTAGGCCTCACAACGTGTTATTTATCTTCGAGGGGGATGTTGACATGCCTGTAAGCAGTCTCGCCCATTTGTTCACATTTTGAATTTCGATTTAACGAGGAAAAAAAATTTCGATTACCGAAGCCTGTTACCCTAGGACAATGCCTTGAAAATTAATTACGAGTATTCCATTCACTGCCGTCAATTTTTTCACCTACATCTAAATGTCTTAGTTAGCCAAAGACTCGAATATTTCCAAGTCCGAGAAACTCAATTGAGAATCATTGCAAAAATTTTCTAAGTTTCACCGATTTCGGGCTCTAAAATTTGGAATGAAAATATCAAAGATCAGTACGGGTATCTCCGTGAATTTGGGCCTGTCATATTTGGTGGACAGAAAATAGTGTACCTCAGCTTCAATTTGAGATAAATTTTATGGAAATTGCGAAGAAATACTTGAAATAAGGATGGAAGCTTCGGCTGAACCACCCTGTAGTAGTCATATACTTTTATCGCATTTAAATTTACTTTATCCCCCTACACGCAAAATAAGTGGGCCAAAAACTGTCACGATTCCATAATTCAATTACTAATTTACTTGATCTCTGATCGGAATACCCCTGTAATCCACTTACGAAATTTCAGATCAGTTTAATAACCGATAACCCACTTACTTTTCAATTTTCTTGCATTGTGCAGATTAAACGATGATGACTTTGTTCTTGATATCCACTGCTCCACACTCAAATTTCTTCAATCTTATACCGATTGTCATTCATATACAAACTTTGGGAAACCTGGAAGCAATGCTTTACTACAAATGGAAAAATTTGAAAACGAAATTTAACTATCTCGTCAACAACATAAAGCCCCTACAAATCTTTCATAATCAAGTTAAAAATTCGTGTGATAACCAAAAAAGCGCCCAAAAGTCTCCGCCGAATACACTGCTTTCCGCGTTGGCGGAGAAAATGATTTTTTAAGGCAAAAAACCGCCCATATTCTTTGTTATGCAAAAAAATTTTTTGGATATCTTGACTGAGCGCTAAGAAATCGGCGATTACTTTCCGAGGAATTTCTAGAAACACTCTGTAGACCAACCAAAGTCCCTCTATTAACGAAAGCTTCACTTACCCCCAAACAAATTGAACTGTACATATTCAAACAAGCCGACCGTTCCACGGAAGGCAGGTTTCGGCAGAGTGACTTGTTCTTCGTTTCCGATCACTCCAGCTTCCGTGTTGACCACAAGGCAAACATGAAGGATGAAGGTCTTTCTGAAAGAACAATGTATTAAAAAGCGAAAAACTTTTAAAAAAACAATAACTGCTAAAGCTATGGCCAAAAAGCGTTTTCTCTCTAACCGCTCTTCACGTTTAGCATGTTCTCTCGGCGGCAAAAATCATTCAATATCTCGGCGGCGTTTGCAAAGCGCGAGCTAAAACTTTCAGGAATTTGTATTTAGTTCATGCCCGACATGCGTGCAAAATCTAAAGAAAATCTGGGCGTCGAATTTGGGGTACTTCACTTGCAGGGAAAGTAGTCATCCCTACCGCAACATTTAAAAAAATATGTCGTAATAGCGGGCCTTTCACAAAACCAAACTCTTTCTCGATTGAACAGCTCCTAGTATCCCCTCTACAACTCCGTTCTCCACTTTATTCCTCCCAACTGACCTGATTCTTCCATTCGAGGATGTTCTCCCAGATAACATTGATTTCTCCATCTTCGCCAAGGCACCAAAGGTCAGACTTTCGACGGATTTCATGAAAATAAAGATATTAAAAATAGAATGGGCAGCATCTGAACTCATAAGGAAAAACAAAATACTACAAAAGTGATAAAAAAGCTTACTTTAATCATCAAAGAAGCTTCTGATGATTGGGGAAAGGGGGAAAGGGAGAGGGGGAGGGGGAGGGAGGTGGTGGGAGTAGAGAGAGAGAGAAAGGTTAAGATAGAGTTGTTGGAGTTGGAGCTTTGTTTTACTCTCTTTTTATTTTTTAGGCTTTTTATCTTTTCTTTTTTTTATTTTCTAGCCTTTTTTCTTACGTTCTTTTCTTTCTTTTTTTAATTAATTAAGATTTTTTTGGCCTTTTCACAATTCTCATTATTTTTTTATTTTCTCTTTTTAGCCTTTATTCTTTTCTTTTTTTTATTTTCTTGGCTTTTTTACTTTTTTTTTGTTTTTTTTCATACACTTGGCGGTGAATCCTTCCAAATGGGGTCAAATAACGGGTCTTGGTGATCGAAAATGCCTGGAAAATAAAAAATAAATAAAGCAAACGTCGAAACACGAATGCTAATAGGGTGATTCAAGAAATTCCGCGAAAGTTTTTGTCTATTTCTTGGCGCTCCGTCAAGAAATATTAGTGTGATGACCGAAAAAGTGCCAAAATGTCTCCGCCGAATCAACTGCTTTCCGCGTTGGCGTAGAAAATGATTTTTTAAGGCAAAAAAACCGCCCATCTTCTTTATCCTGCAAAAAGATTTTTTTGCGCCAAGGAATCGACAAAAACTTTTCGCGGAATTTCTTGAAACACCCTGTATTATAAAAACATGTTTAAAGCCCTCTACATTCCACGATCTAACCAAAACTTACATTTTATATTGACTGCTTCGTGTTGACCAGAACTTGAATTCCATGTATTTCCAAAGTATCGAGTTCTTCTGGCTGCTTGGTCGGAAAGGGGGTAATTCATTTCGTATTTTTCCAAAAGTACTGAAAGTAAGATCCAAATTACGTCATCATAAACTAAAGCAAAGTAAAATATAAGCCGAAAAGATAACTTACATCATCAGGTCCCACTAAGAATCCATAACAAGTAGGAGATTTGTGGGATGATAAGCGACGACGGAGAGTACATCTTTTTCTTCTTTTTCAGTTTAATTTTTTTCTTATTCTTCTTTTCTTATTTTTTTATTTTTTTTTTCTTTTATGTATTTTTTTATTTTTTTCTTCTTATTCCTTATTTTTTCCTTTTTTTGGCTTTTTTTCTTTTTTTGCCTTTTTTCTCTTTCTTTTTTGCCTTTTCTATTTTCTGGCTTTTTTTCATCTTCTTTTTCCATACAATTGGCGGTGAATCTTCAAGGAACTTCCAAATGGGGTGCAAATAATCTTGGTGATCAAAAATGTCTGAAAAATAAAAAATAAATAAAGAAAACGTCGAAACACGAATGCTAGTATTATAAAAACATGCTTAAAGTCCTCTACATTCCACAATCTATACTCCGGACTCTCTGCCCACCTTTCAGCTCGGCTGCTATAGTAATTGAGCTGCAGTTCCAAATTTTTACTGCCTTATCAAAAAGAGCGGAAAAACATTCGGTAAAACGGAATTTTTCATCCCTGCACCTTAAGGGCAGTTTTTTCGACATTTTCAAAAAAAATGGTGGATAAAACTTTCTGATCACTTAGGTAAATTATATGCAACTGCCGGCAAATATTTGCTAGGGGGCTAAAACTGCTAATACTGCATAGCACAGACATAGAAGCGTATATTTATGGCAAAAAATCGGGGAATAGTAACATGCATCGCAAAGGGTTGTCAATTCCGCGCAATACACGGTTTTGTTAGTAACGTAAGGGGTGGCCTATAAAAGCAAAAAGCGCACCGCATTATGCAATTGAACACATATAGTAAATTCATATCCATTATACAGATAGATATCAGGATTTTCATCAAGAATGCGAAAACCAGAACCAAATTCACCAGCCTGCCAGGCTTTAGCGGCTTGTAACTTTTCCAAAAGTTGTCCGAACTGGCCGAAGTAAACATGGTTTGTCCCTACACAATGCAGACTAAATTTATGTTAGTCTTGAACCGGGCTCTTGTAACTTCGAGGTGAAACTAGACCAAAACCAAAACTCGAGAATCGTTTGGCAAATTTCTAACAATTTTGCAGTTAGAAAATCGGAATTCCTACGTTCTTCACTATGTATCAAAGAGTTTTGTAGAGAATTTTCAGCCAGATTTTAAAAAACGCCTTCGGTTATGACCAATTCTTCAGAGATCGGCTATTCCCAAGCGTAATATCTTGTATCGCTAACTCAAACGCGGAAACAAAACGGTCCCGTAGTCGGTTCAAGCATGATTTTACCACAAAAAAAGCGTTGCAATGATACGATATGCTTGAGGGCATACGCCTGGTGTTAAAAAGTATACTCATCGTCTTTGTAGGTCCCTAAAGGTTGTTTTAAGATAACAGAACCATGTCGCCTACTGAAGGTGGTGGGAAAACCCTAGTTATTTTCGGTGATCAGAAATTTTTGTCCACCTATTTTTGGAAAACTCGCATAACTCGCCTAAGGACAGAGATACAAAAAACATTTTTAAGTGGCAGATTCTGCTTGTCATGACTGGTACACATGCCAAGCTTCAAAGCAATTGAGTTAGATTCAATTGAGATATGGACGGTCGGAAATGTCCGGGAGTATAACCAAAACTTACATTTTATAATCACTGCTTCGTATTGACCATGGACTTTCTTCATTTCCATGTCGATCTGAAGTCGAATTCTGCTGGCTGCTTGATCGAAAAGCGTAAATTGCCATTCATTTCGTAGATTTCCAAAAATACTGAAAATAAGATCCAAATTATGTCATTTTAAACTAAGGCAAGGTAAAATTCAAGCCGAAATTATAACTTACATGATCAAGTCCCACTAAGAATGCACCGTGACATAAGGAGTGGTGTTATATTTTTGTGATGACTAGCGATGACGGAGAATAGATAACATTGTTTGTATTTTTTTGCCTTCTTATTTTTTAGGCTTTAATTAATATACGTTTTTTTATTTTTTTTCTTATTTTTTATCTTTTTTTTTTGGCTTTTTTTTCTTTTTTTAGGCTTTTTTTTCCTTTTTTTGCCTTTTTTATTTTATTTTTTTTTGCCTTTTTTCTTTTTCTATTCAATCTTTGTCCACTTGGCTTTGAGAGTCCATCATGGTAAAGGGATTGATCCAATCGGGGCACGAGCTCATGTAAACGGAAGGGTCTGAAAAAGGAACGAATAAAAATGTCCGCACAAAGAGACAACGAACAAATAATGGCAGTCGAAAAACAGATTTCTCCATTTTTTGAAAGGGCTACGGTGAAATATAGTACTTGTCTGGTGTCTACTATAAGAACGTAAGTTAAACACAAAACAGAATCTAGAAATTTAATCGAAAAAGTTCAGGGGCCTGTTTCATCAACGAAAAATAAATAAAATAAACGAAAGGGAAAGCGAGAGAACACCCAAAACACGTTTCGAAGCGAGAGAGTCGCGACAGATTAGTAGAGACCATCTATAGAGCGGCGCATTTATCACAGCGATCGGAGTGACTTTTTACGTCCAAAACGGGGGGTTCTCAGCAGTAATCAGTGGATAACTCGGCTCCCGGTGGTCGTAGAATCACCCTTCCAAAAACCAAATAAAGCTATTCCCTAGAGCTACGTGATATCCAAATTTCATATTTATACTTCAAAAAATGAACTCAGTAGACACCTAGTAGATCGTAGTATTCAACTTTTTTGACGTTTTTTTCTGAAAAACGTTATTTTTTCAGTCAATTTTTAACATAATGGGATAAAATTGGTATCAGTCGATAGCCAAACCTTTACTCTACAAAACTTTTTTAGAGGGGCGGTTTACTTCAAAAAATGAACTCGGTAGACACCTAGTAGATCACAGTATTTACGCTTTTTTTACGTTTTTTCGGGAAAAACCTTTGTTTTTCACTCAGTCTTTAACATAATGGGATAAAATTAGTACCAGTCGATAGCCCAACGTCTAATCTATAAAAAATTTTTAGAGGGGCGGCTTCTTTTGCCCTATGGCCTGCGAAAAGAAAAGTACTTGGCATTGGCTGAAAATAAAAGAATAAATAAAATTTATGTTATTTTAGACAAAAAATGGGGAAAAACTAAAAAAAAAAACCGTAAAGTCAGGGAGGTCCAGAAAAAAATGAAGCTTAAAGATGTTTACACGCGACTTTACAGCTAGTTCTACCACCATCTTCTATAATTATATTATACTAACCCGCGAAATTCACCAGCGTATGGCAAAAAATAGCAAGTGTTCTTTTTTCGGGCGCAGTTCGCAAAAATAATTATTTTTTTTGGAAATAAAAGGGAACTTACATTTTCTCGTACTGATCAACTGCACGATGTATAGGCGGGATCTTGTGGTCAACAACGAACGATTGGTCCCCGAAGAGGTTTATGGTAAGTCCTTTTTAATCCTGGGAGTGAATTTTTGCCAATTACTGAAAAAAATAGAGGTTATTGAGGCGTGACTGCCAAAAACTTACGTAATTAGGTGCTGAAGGCGGAGCTCTGTCTTCAGTGTGGGTTGATCACCCAAGGAACGAAGGAACCTCCTCGTGCTGGACATTTGTTCTTCGAGTCCTTCTACCTGAAAAAACATATTATTGAGATTTATATATGGATAATGTATTTTTTCTTAAAAAAACGCCTCAGTTGGTTGATTTCTAGAGGGTTTTGGCCTAAAAAGTAAATGACAAGAGACAATAAACTTACGAGGCAGCAAGGAGTTACGCATTGATGCGTAGCTCCTGCGCACCATGTCTACGACAAGGCGTGCCGGAGGCTGACGGCTTCTCCTCCTCGGCCGGTCTTCAAAGACGACGGCTTCAATAATTGGGCCGAGTTGTTCGACCTCCCTTGATCTTCGGGGAGGCCGAGGAGGTTGATTGACAGGAGGCGGCGGCTGGCAGCACCGCCTCCTGCACTTCGGCATTCTTCGGAGAGGCCCTGGGGCATCATGTTGTTCTACGGTCTGGACGTCGAATGACGGGTGCGAAAGCTCTGGTTCTTCGACTTGTGTATTGGCTTCAGGTATCGGCGAGGCACTTGTCTGGACTTCGGGAGTTGGCGCCGTTCGCAGTGGACTTCTGGAACGTTCTTTTCTTGGTGACCGAGGAGCGGCCTTTTTCAAATTCTCGGTGAGGCGTTGTTGGAGACGGGCGACTTCTGACTCTGCCTCCCTTTGCTTCCTCTGAGCACGGTCCGCTTCGGTGAGGGCCCCAAAATATTTTTTTTGGATCTCGCTGATCTTGTTTTCGGCATCTTCTTCCGCTTTTTTGATTGCGGCGGCCGCTTCTTCTTTGGCCTTCTTGACTTCAGCTTGGGCCTCTTCAACTGCCCCTTCATAGTACTTCACATTATTCTCCAGGGTCTTTTGCCTCAGCCACATCTTCCGGCATTCGGTCTTCCACAGTTTTCGTTCATATTGGAGACGGTCGATTTTGGCTTCGACCGTCTCGTCCACCGCCCAGTCTTCCCCCTCATCGAAGACTTCCAATGATTTTATTGAGGGGACCCCATGCAGCGTTGAGTGCCCTGTGCTGTATACGGGCGAAAACTGCAACGTGCTGGGGGCGGAGAGATCGAGTGGTGAGCTCGATCTCTCCGTGCCCTCAACCGCCGGCAGGTGCTCGGCCTGTACGGTTGGGGCGGTATTTAGGCCGAAGCCAGAGAGGCCAGGTGTTGGGCTTGGCCCCTCTTTACCCTCCTCTGGGACGCCGGTTTGGTTCTGGCCAACCAGAGGAGGAGCCATGACCGCCGGCAGGAGTTCGGCCCGCACGGCATGGACTTCAGGCTCGGATGGAGGGCACGAGCCATGACCGACGGTGTTGGGAGACACTAAAATCACCAAAATTAGTCGAAGAATTGAAAAAGCATGGCCAAAAATTCTAAAACTATTACTAAGGTCCCTATTTTCTAATATTCTCTTAATTTTCCCCACAAAAATTTTATGCTTTTTCTAAAGTAATCCTTTTTGGTGTTAGGCGGAGATCCAGATGATGACGATCCAAAATCTTGAAGGTACAGATGATGACGATCCAAAATCTTGAGGGTCCACGATGACCGAAGACTCCATATTTGAATCAAGACCCTGCGAAGAATTTGCTATTTCTCCAGAAAACATTCCACATACGTCGAAAATCGATCTACATTGAAGTGCAGTGACGGAAACCGTATTAACCGCAAGAAACCCAAGCTGATTTTTTATGTTGATGGCGACCGGAAAGCGTATTTCATAGTGGTGATCAGGAAATCGACAGCACAGCAGCTCGAAAGCTGTAGAACACTGAATGACCCAAAGATTGGATCAAACGACAACGTGGAACAGGGAGATCCTTCAAAAGGACTCCAGAAGATGAGATGGAACCAAATTAAAGGTGGTGTTCCGAACCAAGATAATAATTGGTCCTTGATTGGTGAAGATCAGGTGCGGGTGGACAAGTTCTGGGTGAGTTGGGGCCATTTCGACGTGAAAATCATGGAAAACAGGTGCTGGATTGGATTCATGGAGATGAAATGGTCAGATTGGTATGCGGATGTTCGAATTGAGCTAAAATAAAGTAGGTTCAGTCGTCGGATGGATGAACATGTCTAAAAAATTCCGTAATTTATGTTTTCTCCTTGTTTCCTCCGTCCTCTAAATGCTTCATTTCAGATATTCGTTAATTCTTCGACCACTTCCAAGGCGATATTGATGTCATGGATATGCCAAAGAAAGCATTGCAGAAGATCATTATTCCAAAAATTGTAGCGAACACTGAAAATTTCAATTGGATCGGGGTTCTGATGTAAAAACGAATTTAATGGTGAAGATGTTGATGAAATGGAATTTCAATGCGCCACTGCGAACATTTTGGTCGTTTGAAGGTGGTAATTTGAAGGAATCTGATGGAAATGGTACGGAGTTCTGATGTTAGTCAAGCCGGTAGGTCGATTTGATGGCTTTTTGATGTTTAGACTGAGCGAAGATTATGAAAACGATGTTTTAGTCGATGTTTAGAGTCTCTGAAACAGTCCACGCGGCACGAAACCGTAAATTCGACGAGCCGGAACGACGAGAAATCACGTCCACCAGGAGAACAGCATTCAGAACACAGCAAGAGGTCTTTCAACAAGATTCTGACAAGAAAAACGAGGACAGGTACCAAGAACAACATCAATAACGTCACTCCACGGACGAGACGAGCTCCCCACCCCTGGGAAATAGTCTAGTACGACCCTAATCCTATCCTAAATAATGATCATGGTCCAGTTGATGTTCATCTTCAGCAATCAACCCAGTGATTGAATTGGTCCAAATGAGGAGATCCAGGAAGTTCATCATGTCATCGGGTGGTGTCTAACAGTGAAACCCCCGTGATAAGTAACAAAATGATCAATTTACGTGGATGGTATAAGATAGTGTAAGTATTTATGATTACATTTAAGGCAATTAAAAATTATGTAAGAATAAGGATATCCAATTGTAATGGTTGATGTTTCAGGACGCCAACGGAATTGGAAATGGACCTTTGGTAAGGAGGAAGTCATCGAGTTTTGAATCATCTTGGAATGGCTGCCTGGACGAACTGAAAAGGGCGAAAGGAAGAAAAATAAAATCGTTACCTGGTCCACGAAGGAGATTGGAGATGAAGTTGGATGACAACTGTAGTAGAACACAAACAGTAGGACCATTTTTGGCCATGAAAATTAATAGTTTAGTCTTTCTTTTTGGGTTTTTGGGAACTGATCAGTGGATGCATTGAAGACCACCAATCAACTTCATCAATTTTGGAGAGACGTCGGCCCAAAGCGTAATGGTTATATCGACCCGGGAGACTGCGGGCTGGGTTTGGTCATCAGAAAGCAAGATTTAGGTAAAGGGGAAATGTCGTAACTTTTGAAATTTCCGTCAAAATGTTTCGAAACTTATATAGAAAACTTAGGCTTTATGCTGACTTGGCTTTGATTTTATTGCCTCACGGTGTGTCAAAAAAAGAAAGGATTTTTTCCAAAATTTTTTTACAAAAATGAAATCCGCAATTTGAATTTTTTTGAAATTTACCGAGGACCTGCCTTTGTGGTTCGAAATTTTTCAGTATTTCGTTTAAAATACGGCGGTCGATCTCTCGGGGTTCTAAACATTGTAAAACGCAAAGAATATTGACCTAAAATCGCCCGTATTTTACCGTACTAAAATAGATTTCGGCGGGAAAATACAGTATCCCTCACCAGCCAAAATTGCGACTTTTTATGTAATATTGGGCCTGGATATTACACTTCACGGTCCAATAGTGTATTTTCAAGGCCCTTAGGTCTTCGTATTGCCATTTTTGGCGGGATTTACGGTAGCAACCCACCAGCCAAAAATGAAATTTATGATGTTACAGGTCCCAAATTAAATCTAAGGTAATTTCGGGTTGCAACTAACAAGGGAAGTACCCCAAGTGCGACGCTCAGATTTTGATGAAACTTGGCACAAATTTAGAACAATTTTTTCTAAGATATATGCGAGAATCCTAGCTCGCGCTTTGCAGAAACAACCGAGATTTTTAGATCGAAAGTCGGCCAAAATTTAGGACTTTTTGCCGAATTTCGGCACGAAAAGTTTCACGCCTATTTCTCCTGTAAAGGATAATGTTTCTACAAAAAATCAAATTTTTCCGCACGAAACTGCCAAAGTTATGGCCAAAAAGCGGGTTTCTCTCTGACCGCTCTCCACGTTTAGCGTGCTCTCTCGGCGGCAAATATCGTTCTATATCTCGGCGGCGCCCGCAAAGCGCGAGCTAAAACTTTGAGGAATTGATATTTAGTCCATACCCGACGTGTGTGCAAAATTTAAAGAAAATCTGAGCGTCGCACTTGGGGTACTTCCCCTGTAAGTATAGGGTTTGTCAATTTGAGCTCGAAATCAACTGTTTTGAGCTCTTTTTTCTGCAATATAATTTCGAAGTACTTCAAGTCATCAGACGACTTGAAGTATTGATATTTTTTTTATTTTTTGTCCCTAAGCTTATGTTAGTTTAAAAAAATCTTAAAATTCTCAAAAAACCCCAAAAAATCCCCAAAAATCCCACTGGACTTACCCGTCGGCCGTTCCCCAACTTCAACCACCGGGACGGCAGCGGTGGAGGAAGTTGGGGCCATCGTCATTGAGACGGCATCGCTGGAAGTGGGCTTGGACATCTTGGACGAGATGGGCGTGGTAACCAGGAATAAATTCAACCGGTGAATGAGAAAATTGCCAACGAAAAATTGGTGAATTTCGAATATGCAAATTTCGAATTTTTGTGCAAATTCGTGGGAAAATTTGACTTTTTTCGAATTTTCATTCAAATTTTTGCAATTTTTTGGAACGTTTCTTGCAACGTGGCCAAATTTCGGACGTTTTTGTGGAACTTTGAAGGCTTCAGGACGGGTTTGGACAAGGGCTTTTGACTGTATGGCATACTTTTGGTGAGTTTTTGAAAATTTTGTTCGATTTCTTTAGCTTTTTGATGTATTTTTTGAATTTATATATTTAATTTTAGATGGTTCTATGGCTAATCTGATAGTGAATTCTCCCAAGCCTTCAGCCTCGGATGAACGGCCACAGATTGCTATTGATGGTCAAAGTCGCCATACAGGAACGAGTTATAGATGATGGAACAAATGGAAGAAGTAAGTTGTATGTTGAGCTTTTTTATTTTTCGGAATTTAGGAAATTGCATCGGAGCCCCACGTCAACGCAAATGTCATGAAAGGCATGTGGTGATTGGAGCCTAGCGGGACTAGAATCGGCAATGCTTCAGTCCCAGCTGACGATACAACGATGAGAAAATTGGCAAGTCGATGGTGCACTGGAGAGCCAATGATTAATTTGGAAGTGGACTGAAAGGTAGGTGTATTTTAGGCCTCTGTCTTTTAGAAGATTATGGCTGGTTTGAAGGTAAGGGTCGTAATTGGCCTTATGCTGAGAATTTTTCTGACATTTTCGGCGTAGATTTGAATGCCTTTGAAGATTTACTGTAGTTGGAACTTATAGTCCCGGGCGTTTCATCTTCTAGAGTTCATTCGAACCTTTTCTTGGAGTAGTTTTGTTTAATTCTAACATTGTCCTGATTATTATAACGTCTCATTTAGGACTCCTGCGACGAGAAATCATTGTCTGACGCATACTGAATTTGAAGATCAGTGCTCTCCGCAATTCCAGCAATTATCATGCTGGAGGTATCCAATCGAGACCCCGGATGTGGGGACAATAAATCGATGATGTTGTAGCAGGCACAAGTAGATGCCTCCCGATCACTGCGGGCAAGACGAGAGATCCCCTTACTTTGGTCTTCAAAGTGTGTCAAAGTTTTTAGCAGGATGAATGAATGTTATTTTTGATCAAATTTTCCTCCTTTATATCGTATTTTACGGGGATTTTTTTGACCTTTGTTTCGATGAGATTTGCCTCATCAAGATGGACAAGTTCAAGGATGATGTTTGTAATTTTTATCTCGTTCAGCCAAAACATTTATTCGTAATGGGCGTTTCATTCAAGGTTCTTGGGGCCGATTTCCTCTTCAAGGTAGCCCGCTCCGAAGATTTATGACTTTTTTGTTTTGAGGAGAGTAAAAAATGAACAAAAAAGTAATGGCGCGCGGCACTTTCAAAATACAAAAACGTTTTCTGATGACCGGCGATTTATGACTCAGGATTCTTGAGAATCCCAATTCCTGGAAAGAATTGTTCCATTCAAAGGGCTCGCTGTGTAAGGTCGGAGGGATCCGATGGGACGGTGAAATTATAATCTTCCAAACTTGAAAAGGGGAGGTGTAACAGAACTTTTAGACAATACCAATAGATAATTTCGTCTTGAAATCCCTCTAATCAACTGGAGATACGACAAAAGTACGACGGTTTTACTTCTTAAACTCAAATTTTATATTATACTTGGTCTCTGGAAGTTCCAAATTTTTTTCGTTCCCAATATGACTTTTTTATGACAAAACTCCCATCCCCATGCGTTACCCAAACAAACAGTCGACGATGGAGTTAAGTAGTGTTGTTATATTGTCCACTTGAGTTACTTTTCGTGAGCGGGTTTCGGTGTTTTCGAACCTTTTGTGAGAGGATGAGATATATCATTTCCTGTCGTTATAGCCAAACTAATTATCTTCGGAGTAATTTCGAGGATCTTGAAGGGTTCCTTTATTGATTTTCAAAGAGAACAGGCTTCTTTTGGTTACTCTATTTTATCTAAATCAATATGAATTTCTGCAAAATTTGATGTCCTGTTGGTCTTTCTAATGTAGACGGAATCTACATTCAGAAGATCAAGACCTTGTACTTTTACTGCCTCTTCAAGACTTCATTGAATTCGACCCTCTTCAGCTCGAGTTTCCCTTTCTCGAATAAGCTTATAAACGTCAAATTAACTCTCTAAAAAGAGTCATTGTTTTTTTCCATTCTTTCGAATTTCCAATTATATTCAGACCGTTGCGCAATCGTTGTTTTCTTTTTTTACTTGATCCGACTTCAGTCTCGGGGGAAAGGGAAAGTATAATAGTTTTATTAACTCGCTCCGATTGATTGAAACTTGATGGATTCGTAAAAAGTAATTTTCAAAATCAAAAAATACGGTAACTCGTTGTAAAGCAATGTTCTTGCTGTTAACACTCTTAATTATAATTTTATAACCCATTTTTTCTTTCTAAACCGATTACCAGCGTCGACTTCGAAACCAGCGCAGGATTATTACCTCCAAAACAATATTCTCCTCTAATTTTACGTGAACAAAAAACAAACATTGGGTGGGGGAGCCGCGCGAAAAATAAATTTTATGAAATGGGTTTTCAAAGTTTTTCAAATTCCAAGCGAATTTGAGTTCAGACGTGTGAACTTTCTGTTCGCCTTGGAGGTTGATTAGGCGCGATGAGGGAGTTCTTAATTGATGGGTACTATACTAGAGGAAACTAGAAGCCTAACTGACAACGAGGGCTCAGATTTTGGGCCGATTTCTTCCATGGTTGATTTACGTCTCAAATCAATTGCTGATTTCTAAATATATATTGGAAGGTATTTTGCAGAGGAGAGATGTTGGGAAGTGAAGAGAGACGGCCGGTGAAGCCGCGGTTTTTTGTTCAAGCATTTTTTTTGAATTTTGATAAGAAAAAATGATTACTCCATGACTTATCCCAATATCCCGTCTCTTGCTGCGCAGTCACAGCCGAGATCTCTTCCACTTCCTTTTCATGTTGTATATGACATGAAAAAACATTTACGCCTTTCGCCATAACTCTTTATTCCGAGTCCTTTATGTATTACAAACAGTGACTTTCCGATCCGTTTAGAAGACTTTACTATATTAGGGAAGTAAAGGGAGTGTTTTTTGGTTTTCCGAGGGTTGCGATTACTTTATGACTTTCGGTTTACAGATTTATTAAGGGTCATGGATAATAAACCAGGGGTTCGATTGCTTATTAGCGCTTCAAACAAAGTGTAATACCCTAAATGAAATATAGTTTGTAGGCTTAGAAAGTTGTGATTACGTAACCGGTTATTAATTGAGCCATCATTTTGTGGGTTGATATAGGAGAGTGGTTCGAAATAGATGTCTAAAGTGGCATACTTAAAGAGATGTTCAAAAAGTTAATCCTGGAGGTCTGGGGTTCGAAGGAATGGGGGTCCGCTAGCCAAGATTTTATCAGCTTTTGCAAAAACAAAGGCTGCAATGACAACTGTTTTCTTTGCGTTCAGACTTGTCAACGAGTTCATCTATTACTGAAAAGAGAGGTTTCAGTTATATGTTCAGTTTTTCTGAAAACTTAACTGATCTAGCCACATCAGCGGCAGCCGAAAAATTGGAGAGTCGGGCATTCAGCGATTACGCGGAGACAGTCGACGATGGAGGTAGAACTTTTGTTAAATATATTGTCACTTGATCGCTGAGCTAATAAGGGATCCAAAAATTATGAAAATCGGAGAAAATCTACTCATAAAATCTCTCTGCTTTGTGACAAGCTCATGCACAAAAGAAGATAAAATTTAAATTTGTGCCGCCTTCCATAAACTCCTGCTTGCCCAATGACCCCCCTTATGCGTTATGTGGCAGCTATCTAATTATTTTGTTTTGATCTCCTCTTACTCTACTTTTTTGCTACATTTTTTATGGTTTTCAAATCAACGGAATTCCAAGTAAGGCTGAATTCCCTCATTTTCTTTTATTTTTCGATACATTTACCAGTTGCGTAACACAAACATTGTAAATAATTTGCTTATTTTGTGTATTCGAAGTTATTTTTCGAGCCTTTTTCCGTTGAGTTCGCTTAATTAGGCGCGTTGAAAATTGGTTCGAACCGTAAAAATACCTGATTCTGAGTGATGGAACGCTTCCAACTGTCAAGTTTCTACTGTTTTCGTATAAATTTTGTCATGGTTCAATTTTTTATAGGTTTGGTCTGATCATTTACTAACAATCACCCTTAATGAGCACTTTAATTGGATTCTAGAACTCGGAAAACGCAACGCGAAATTAATAATTTGCTCCATTTGTCAATTTCTCAACCTTTTCTTGGCTGCAGGCAATACGAAAACATAGTTTGTTGTAATTTATTAAACTTTGTTTTCCGCTTTTTTCGCTGATTTACTTTTTATCAACAGGGTTTGACAATTGCTTTAACAATGTCGGTAACCTACGTGTGGTTTCGAAGATTTTCACAATTACAATTAGCAAAAAGTTAAATAGTAAATAAATTTTAATGTAAATTGAAGTATATTTTCCACTCTACAGCACTTTATTGTCCAAGTTTTACATTGGGTTTAAAATTATTTTTAATTAATTTTCCTCCCAATAAACTGTTTTGAAATTTCTTTTGCTCCTAAAATTACAGTAATTTATCTCTTGTGACCAGCTCATGATCTGGAAAACAACTCTGATTCATCCCAGAATGCCTTCCTTTCCCTTTCATTGCCATTCTTTCCTTTGAAGGTCACTCCGTTATAATGAAACTTGTGCCTCATTAGGTGGAGGAAAAGCGATTCATTTTCGTTTCGACAATTTTATGGGCGTTGGAAGGTAGGAATTTCGTCGTTTCTACTCTCTCAAAACAATGTTTCTGTTCTGGGTGATTGGAAATGTACTTGTGGAATGGGAAGGGCGAGGGTTTGGACAGGTTTAATCTTTGGGCTTGATTATGTACATATATGTATGAAATTGTTCAAAAAATTATTTTTGTTATTTTTATAATACAACTATACACAAAAAATATAAGAAAGCAAAAAAATATTGTTGCTAAAATTGTCTTTGGGACCTCTGAAATATTTTCAAAAACGAAAAACTCATTGACGAAACATGTTTTTTCTCTGGCCGGCTCTCCTCATTTCGTGTGATCTCTCGCAAAGACTGCTGGATGTTTGAAAGTGTGAGCTAATTCGTTTTGGGATTCATCTATGACTAGTTCAGGACACATATCCAAAATCTTGAGAGAATCTGAATACCACATCGGCACGTATTTCTTGGTTATTTTCATTTTTCTCGTCATTTTCTGCATTGAATTGTGACCGATAAAATGCCTTAATGAGCCATTAATTAACCTAGATATTACCATTGATCTCAACGAATAGTACTCCGAAATTCCTTTAGTTTTGACGGGATGGAGGAGATTAATGACAAATTTACAAAAAACAGGGTCAGTCGGGCAGTTCTTTTGTATTTATCAAGTGTTTTTACTTGTCTTCCGCACCGTTCTTATTACGTTCTCTCCATTTCCTGTATTTTGATGACTTATTTTCAGACGTGACCATGATTTTAAGGGCAGATACGACGACTTGGTTGAGAATTATCACGGTTTCCTTTGTTTTACAGGTAAGTTTCAGTAGAAAATTAGGCATGTCGTATTTTACAGATCTCTTTTTCGGCGAATACAATAGAAGATTTCAAAAATTGCAAGAAGGAAAGTGGGTTCAGCCTGAAAGATGAGAGTTTAATCTGTGATCCGAGGAATGATTTGAAACCGGGGACGCTCAAAAAGTTGACTGACATCTTGAGACATGTTCAGGTAAAGAATTTACTCGTTTTTTGCTATATATAATACATAGTATATAAAGTCATCATTTTTTAGATTGTTTCATTTTGATCTTATTTTAGCTAAAGAGCCTCGTATTTTAGACCAAACTGAAATGTGAATGTGCCGATCTCTGTGCTCGCGACACAGATCTTGATGGGAAATTTGTTGGACTTCTCCAAGTAACGAATACCGAGGCTTTGAATGATACTGGGAGGTCATTTGATGAGGTTGCCAATGAAATCTATGAACTCTCGGGGCTCGGAAATAAAGAATGCGACAATGGAATGTTATTGTTCTATGTCAAAGACACACAAGAAGTAAGTTGGAAGTTTAACTTGGATGTTTTTTAATCGTTTTATACAGTAATTGCTTAAGACCTTGTAAAATGATAATATTAACTTTTAGTTGGCTTCAATGCGAGGTCACGGGAAGTTTATTCTCCTGAAAGACCAGGATCTAGACCGTCTCCATCAAATTGCCAGCGGCAATAAGCCGGAAGATTTGAATGCCGCGGCCATGGAGTTCTTGGTCGATAAAGATAATGCGACCCAGCCGGCTGGAGATATTCAAAAATTCCTAAAATCGGCCAGCGATACATGGGCTGTAAGTTGAACCTGTAATTTCACAGATCGAACATTAATTTATATTACCCTTCATATTATTTATACATCACCACTTTGTTCAACTTTCAGCCAATCGTTGGTCTTGTTGTCGTTGGTGTCCTCCTTCTGCTGATCCTGGCCCTCCTCTTGGCTTGCTGTTTTGCCAAACTCTGTGGATGTTGTGCTTCCAAACCCCACAAGAACAAATATTATGTTACACCTGTGCCCACTTACAAAACAGTAGATCCCATTTATATTGTGACCCCTCAAAGTGATCGCCACGATCTTATTTATTCAACTCCGTACTCCGGAAGTCCTCTGCCCCCACCACCGGCCATGTATATGAGTACACCGCCTCCTCCGATCAATTCTAATGGATATTCCACTTATGGTAAGAAGATGTCTAGTACAATATAAAGATATTGAATTTTATATTTTTTCTCGGTGGTTTGTCGTTTAGCGGTTAATCAAAGCTTCGTAGAAGCTCTGGGCAACAAATCACATTAATTTTTATATTCTTTAGCTGGCTCTCCCCACTCGACCAGAAGTCCCCTCCCGATCCACAAACACGATACCCTGTCCAAGGGCTCTCCCAAGAAAGACAAAGATCGGACTGGGACTTCCAAATCCAATTATTCGATCCAGAATTCTTCCTCGACCACTCTCCCAATGCCCGAGACATTTATGGATACTTCTTATTTGGATCCAACGAGGAAACGGGAAACCCAGACGAGAGAAGAGTTCGTGGAATAGAGAAGTTGTTGTAAATAGCCTCATAATTGAACGTTAATGTTATTATTGAAGACATCACTTTATAACAGTATTCACAGTGCGCAATAAACAATCCAGATATATACAATTTTGTGATGATGACCAAATTTCCAAAAGTTTATTTGATATTAAAAAAGTCCGAAATCACCAAAACGATGCTAACCAGATGGACCACAATGCCAATAGCCACCACCATTCCAATCGAGACAAATCCAGTTTGGCGGAACGAGGCCCTGAGGGCACTGTGAAGATCATCCCCGGTCTCGGTCTCTTCGGGCTCACTTTCCGGACTGATCGAATCCAGAGGAGTCATGGGAGGCTGGGGAGCGGTCTGGCCGGGCATTTGATTGCCTGGAGGAGGCAGATCGCCTGGGGGGATTTGATTGTTTGGAGCCCTTTGATAGTCATAGTCTAGGGGCATATTTTGATTGGGCACAACATTGTTGTTGGTGGGATAAAGATAGGGATTAACATAGGCTGGCTGGACCGGAGGAGGAGGGACTGCTCCATCTAGAAAAAATAACATTTACCGGCGACGTTCCAAGTGCGACGCTCAGATTTTATGGGAGTAAATACATCGAAAAGATACAGCTAAGACGCGACAAAGCAAGATGGGATCAAGGAATGAATGCCACCTTACAAAGGACCACTCCAGACTTAAGCAAACCGAAACGATTGTCGAAAGCAAGTGGCAGGGCTTCTTACATGTATTAGTGCGATTATGTTGATATAGAAATAGGCACAAAATTCCTAACATAGGACAATTGCGAGACCCCCCGCTCGCGCTTTGCAGAAATGACCGACATTTTTAGCTTGAAAGCCTCCCTTGGTTAAATCAATTTGGAAGCACAAAGAGAACAGCATAAAAAGAATTTACCTGGTAACATTTTTTCGTATGGTTCGTATGGGTCCATCATGACCTCGAACACTGTGGGTTTACTGGGAAAAACGACCGATCCAAAGTCGACGAAGTGGAGAGAACCATGAAAGAAAATAAAAAGAATTTCCTCATCAATGTTTGTCAAAAAATTTGCATAATAAAGGAAATTGAAATTTTCAACCAAAATCAATTATTGTATTGATCAGCCTGTCGAAAAAATACAGAGAAAATGTTATAAAATTGGTACAGTCGCGCACCAAATAACGTCCCATCATTACACTCAAAAATTAATAAAAATTTAGCCCTCTTTGAGGGCGTCGATTTTGATGTTCTTGTGGCGACCGTAGCAAGAACGATATCGAAAATCTAGAAACGATTTTGCTACCTTGATTTGCATAATTAAAAAAGTTAATTTTCGAAAGATTGTATTCCCAAAAATCAATGATTTAAAATCTCAAGAAGCATTGATTTCGATGTGAATCTCGATGGACTGACATCCCGCCTTGAATGGATCTTGGGGATCCTCGTCTTCCCTGCTTTCCATCGACTGAATTATAATTTTGTCCTTGCTGGCTGGGCCGGGGATTCGAATAACATCAACGCTCTTCTTCTCCTTGCCCTTCAGCATGGCATAGACGGGTTTGACGCGATAGAATTCGTTGTTGGTGGTCTTGATCTGGAAAATACTTTTTTAGATTACAAAATCATGGGTTTGTGAATAATCTTAATACAAATTAATGCCGAGAGAAGTTACCTTACCCGAATGACAGCACATTTATCTGTAGTGCCAGTGATTTGAAGCTGAAAGGAGCCTCCGTTTGCAGCGACCTTGATTGATTTTGGGGAGACATCGACCACTGGGACAATCTTCTCGTGACTTGCCATTTTTGGAGGAAGAGTCGACCAGACTCGACCAATGCAATTTATTGAATGCTCAGAATTTTAATTCTGTGTCAAGGACAGTTCGAATTGCCGCAGTGCCTTTAATTTTTTAGGCATCATATTCATTGGATACTGGGCCAGGATCTTGTCCATCACTGAATCAACTGTTCGGAGGTATCGGTGGAATTTGGTCTTGATTGCGAAGATGGTAGAGGATGGGCCCCTGAAAAATCCAGACTTATACTGTAACTCAGACTTGTGCCAAGTTTCATCGAAATCTAAGAATTTTTTTATCATGGATTTATATTATCCATGGCAAAAATTGGTCAAAAATCGCCGAGTTTTACAGAACATGATGTACTAAGCGTCCCAAATTCTGTAAACTGCCCTCAAGCCCCTATCCAAGTCACCTTACCTTCAAAATAGCGTCATGAAGGTACTTTCCATTATCAAAAGTAGTCGCTTCGAAAATCGATTGGAGTGCCTTGTAAATATCATGTGGTTTCCATTCCACAACAGTTGTCTTAACGGTCACCTGAATAGCCGATGATGAGCTGTACCTCACGCTGCATAAGCTGTAAAAAGTTCAGATCTTTGAAGTAATTGCGTACGGTGCCACAAATGTCGGAAAGTCAAGGGCTGGGCCGCAGCTCAAAGGCGTGAGCGCATTCAGTGGTTCAATATTTGGCGGATGCACAACCACCAAAACGATAGGATCTTCTTAAATGAGGCCCTTAGCACGTCGGCTAACGTCGAAAACCGTCCAAATCCGGGCCGTCATCGCCTAAAGCGGAATTTGTGCCAGCGGCAAGAATTCCATGGTTTTCGCGGATCAAGGGGGCAAATTCTAGCGTTAATCTCGATTTTCTGTTGACTCAGCAGAACCTTGGCAATGCAAACTTGGCGTTCTAATCGTAAGCACAAAAGTTTAAGTTACGTTTGGAGTTCTATATCGCTCGCCACCAAAGGCAGCCACTGTGAAACTGGCTTGACGTGTTATCAATAATCCACTAAGTTGCTGATATCCATCGTTAGTTTTGCTAAATTTTGTTTGGTATATAAAATGTAGCCGTAAAAATAACATGCATTTTTTTGGGACATCCTGTATTATAATATTATTTTTCGTACATTTTTTTGATTCCAAATGCACGTTTGAACCATGTTAACATCCCTGATAGTCATGTTTCAAGGTTTCGTATTCTCCTGCCCCCCAATCACCCATCAAATCACTCACAGATATCAGTGAATGTCGAACACCTGCGGTCATAATCTTATGCTTCGGGAACTTTTGATCCCCTGGTGCCATAAAAACGGTTTTTTGTTTATTGGTAGCCCCCGTCTGTTTATTTCGCAGTCACAAAGTAACAAATATAATAAAAAGTCGGCGGCATCGTAAGGGACTACTTTTTACGGCCATGCGGTCATTATTCCTTTTGGTTTCGTTTGTTGTACCCTTGGGGCATGGATTTTTTGGGATTTTTAATTTTCAAAAAGAGGAAAAGCCAGTGGATTGTAAGTTTCCAAAATTCGAAATTTTTGGTTCTCTAGTGTAACATAGAAAAAGCATTTTGTTTCAAAAAAAATAATTTTGTTTATCCAGACATGGAATTGATGAAAGAATACGATGGGAATGTGGATCATAATGACATGAATCTGGCCGTCTTGGCAGGCAACCGAACCTGGAAAGAGAATCGAGACACCACTTATGCCAAGTTATTCTACCATGTCTACAAACAAAAGGACTCTGTTAAAGCTCCCTATGATCGAGATGTTTATTTGAATTCAATGAGGACTTTGAGGAAGATTGCGCCGTTCCTGAGAGAGGTAGAACTGGACGGAACTGATCTCTATGACGTCACTGGACTTCAGGAATTTGAGGTAAAATACTTGTGGGGGAGATAAAAAATCTTTTTTAATGGTTTATGGCCAACACTCTTATTAACTCTTTTTTAATTCAAAAAAAGTTACTCAAGTTTTTTAGATTCTCCGAGCAATCCGTCAAAACTACACCGACATTCTCCGCGAAGTCTATACTATCGTATATGCCGCGCAAACGGCCGGATACATAGTCCACAAGGCGAGGGGCTCTTTCTTTTTCAAGACCAATGATTGCACTTCTTTTAATTCCACTCGATTATGCCGAGATCACGTTGGAATTCTGGCTCAAGCCCTCGGGGGATTGAATGCGTCGATCTCACAGAATGGTGCCATAATCAGACACAAGGTTTACAACGTTCCCTTCGAATACGAAACCTCGTATATTTACAATCTAGTGTAAATAAATTTTTATTTCTTCTGATCTAATTCGACTGAAATTGGATGGAAGAAGATGCATCGTTTTCTCCCTCATCCTCAGCTTCTTCTCCGGATTCTTCAACTTCACTCAGATGGCCAGAATCCGAGGCTTTTGAGGGCTGAGTCAGTAAAAGGGTCTTGCGGCGAAAGTCCAGTTTGGTTACAATGTCTTGGAGCTGGGCGTTGGTCCTAAAAATAGATTATCATTCGTAATTTTTATAGACTGATATTACGGTAGAATATGACTATTTGCACTTACTGATATTCCTTCCACAACGCTTGTATAACCTCTTGAGTATAGAGTTCATTTGCCTGCAAACTAATCATTTCCAGGACAAAAACAACATCCGGATGGACAACCCTCTCACAAAACTCTCTCAAAAGTAATTTAAATTCCATTTCCGGTCGAATAAATCGCTTCACATATTGGGTTCGATGGTTTGGCCATCTCAACAGTAATTGCCATTGAGCAGTGTCGTGCAAAGAGAGGAAGAAAACAAAGACCAACCACCAGTAAAGGAAGAGGAAGATCTTCTCGTTGAACATATTCAGCATCAGCACGCATTGGATGCTGAATCTCTGGACGTTGGCCAAGGTGCGGACAGTGAAATCACAGAGGGCGACCCGAGGAAAGTTCCCCGAAAGCTCCCAATCTCGACCCATTGTAATGTCATGGAGAATATTAAAGCCCCAGAGATGGTTGTCTTGGCCCAGGAATTGATTCATCATAATGAATTGGCCGACCAGATTGACTAGGTACAACAATTTGGTGGTGGTGTAGACACTAAAACTGTATTTTTAGGGATGCCTTGCATAGATTTTTATCAAATTCGGCAGTGATGGTCAGGATTTTTGGTGCGGACCTTTGTAGGTTTTTGCAATGGACGATCTTACTTTGTCAAATAAGTCCCGGATAAAAGGCCATACTTCATTGATGCCCTCCAATGTTTCCCCGCGTTTTGTCGTCGAACAAACATTAATCTGAGGCTCTCTTCGATGATTGCTGTGATTGCATTTACTGCCTTCGCTCTTTCTGTCTTCTAAATTCGTAACGTTTCTTGTGAAAATAAGAGTTTACCTCCGCTTTATCCACATCATTCAATGATTTTATAATATCAGTCACATCAACTCCCGAGCTCTTATTCACCTTGCTATAGAAGATGACTGGTAAATAAAAACAACCAGCTTGTAAGGCCATGATAAAAGGTACCCATTGATAGTAAAGAAGTTGTCGCCGAACTCTGAAAAGTTATTTTAAGTTGTTTAGGACACTAGATTAGAATTTCTGACCTTTCGTCGACCTGGTTCGGAATATCTTCTTCCGGACTCACCCAATATGTATTATATACAAAGCTAAAATTAAAATTGATTAAAAATACTTTTTAGAAGCCTGATTTGCAAAAACCCCTTACCAATAATTTTCTGCATATTGTTCCCAAGCTTTGGAAAACTGAAACAATCATAATTGGCTTGATAGATATTGCCGAAATCAACATAAAATCTCTCACTCACCTCAGCCGGAACCCAGCATTGCAAAGGCTGTCCGACATACTGTCTGGCCGTCAAAGTAATCGCCATCACGGTAATAATCAAGGTGGAATAATAATAATTCAGCCTGTCGATTACTGTGTCATCTAGTCTGGGTTTGATCGTGGTCAAGAAGTTGCCCAATAAGTTCATAATTGATTACGTAACAATAACAAAAGTCATACACAGAGATCAGACTTGCAGTCGATATTTGCGCAATCTCTTAGAGCAAGAAGTAATTCTTGTCGCGACGGGGATTTAAGAGGTGAACTGACCCTTGTCCACATTTTAATAATTTTAGAGAGCCCTGTTGGAAAGTGGTCTTCTCCATGACGAGGGAGTAGATGTTTTGAATTCAACTTGACAAAATATTTACCAAATTAAATTTGTAATGAACGACAGAACTTTATTTTCACCTTGAATCCCGGTTACCGCTGGGATTTTAAGCTTCAAATTCGGCATGAGAACAGTATGGGACAATTTAACATCATTCGTAAAAATCATCCCATTTGGTGCATTTTTTATGCACCTTTTTGCGCAAGACCAAGAACGGGATGAAAAGATTTTTTGAAAACCGCTTGTAAATGACAAGTCAGAATGCAGTAAGACATGATTGTGGTATCGTTGTGATCCTGACAATTTTCTCTTTCCACCTCTATCAAAGTTTACTGGGATTTCCATTTCTTTGCCCTCAGGTGGCTGTACATTCTCGTCTATTTCCATCCACATTTTTTGGCTGACGAAGCTAACCGGAGGCCCAACGAGTCTTAAAAATCCGTTATTCATGCTCGCAACGCTGTTCGCTTGACATTGGAATTAAATTTAATTTATGTACATACAAATCACATAGAAATAACCCGTATTTTAGTGGCTACCGAGATCCAGCTGTTCTCAAATCTGACTGTAAAACATCTTTGGAGGACTCCATCAAAATCGGCCATAAATTCGATGCAATCCAGCTCATCGGGATGCCCAAAGTTCTCCACCAAAAACCTCGGAAATCGCTGATAACAAAAACTATTCAAGCTGGTACGATTCCTCTGATATGTGATTAAGTCGGCGCTGATATGGGATTTCTGAGAGAAATTGGGGTATTCGGTCAACAAATCGAACCAAATCGACATCGCCTCGGGCAATTGGTCTTCACGCTTAAAGAAATAAATGTTAAATTTTTGTAAGAATTTATCACCATTTCCGCATCCAAAGACACCAAAAATTTGTCCAAATTGAGGCCATAATCCGCCCAGACCTTGATCATTCCATGGTGAATATACGTGGCTCCAAAGACCTTCAGATTTCTGAGGTTGGTGAAGAATTTGGACTTATTATTCACCTTCGTATTCCGATTACACCCAATATAAGCGTCTTTCAAAATGAGTCGTTTGATACAATGATTCTCCATATACGTACCATACTCTAAAATAATATAATTTTTATATTTTCCAACATCCCCGAACAGTGACTTACCCATTCTGCCTGGCCCCTTGACACACAATTCTTCCAGGTCCAACGGGGGTACCCCTGCCATCACATCAACTCCGCCCACAATCTCCCTCAAACAGGGCTGTAAAACCCTGATCATATCATACTGTAAGAGATGCGCCCTTCCAATCTCTGTTGAACAATTTACTCGCTTAGCACCCGCAATAATCGACAGTACCATTTGATGCATTTTCTCGGAGATATCGTGCTCGAAGTCGATGTGAATGTGGATTTCCTGAGGTTTTGGGCGGATATACCACAAAAGGACCAAAGAAGAGTTGGGGCTGGAGGAGATCTTGTAGAATCGCCCATTTCCCGAACCCCATCCGATCAAATCTTCATGGTGAAGATAAGAAAGGGGTGGTTTCTTGATAGGAGTTGTTGTTGGAGGTCGAGTGAAGAATAACTTGAGGTAATTCCGGGCTCGCTGACTGCGGACAATCCCACAGGTGGTTTGGAAAAACTTTTTGGAGAGGAGCTAAAACGGTACTACAAATAAAAGTTTTGAGATGTGAAAATAAAGTCATCATTTTTATGACTTACAGCGATCTCAAGAGGTGATAAATTCACCAGCTCTTTATTCCCATAACGATTTTCTTGGAACTGTTGGCAAAATAGGAACGTATTTACGATATATCGAGAACATTCGGATGACAAAGTGATGGCATCACTCTCTGTATTCACTTGATCGGCAAAGGTAACATGTCTCAGCTCGCTTGTTATGTGATGCTGGATGCTGACAGTGGTCATAGACAGGACGTTCTTAAATATTCGGCACCTTAATCGTATCACAAAATAAAAAAAATAAAAAAATGTAAAGGAAATTTCAAGTTTATGTAATATTACGTAGAATGTGTATATATAAACCAGTCAAGATGACAAAAACGTGAACCTTTTCTTCGAAAAAATATTACCCTTAAAGAGAATCCAAAAAACAGCTTTTAATATGGAGCCAAAAAGAACACTCTTTCCTCGGGATGACGTCACTTTAATTACTTCTTACTCAAATAAAAAGGTCCTTATTCTCGGTTCAGACGTGCGGTCCGAGGATTCGGCCGCATTCTTGCGCACTAATTCTTCAAAAACTTCTTGGCCTCAGGCATTTTTCGTTTCACTTGAGCCGTAAAAATAGAATCCGACATTTTTTTCGGGGAGCGAAAAGCAACAAAGTCTATGTCAGACGTTTTATTGCGAAAACAAAGACACAGATTTGTTGTTAAAGTAGAAGTTGAATAAATAAAAGTAATGGCAGGGTCGAGGGAATTATGCAGACATAAAAATTTTGTTTTTACTGCAAAAATATACGTTTGATGAAAGCCCACTTTTTGTAGTTCCCTCTAAAAACAAATACAATGCTGCCTAATCTGTATTGCTTCGTATTTCGAAGATCTCTAAGGTAAGATACGATAACACAGTACTTTCCAATACATTCAAAGTAAATATGGAGAGCTCTACTCGCTTCAGAACGGAGATACCATGTCTAAAATAAGGGGAAAACAAGGGAGAGGGATTAACCGAATAAACAAAATAGGATTCTCTCCCCACCAACCCTTCTCTAATCAGGATTATATAACTTTAGGGGGCAATCTTTAGACTTTCATTTGGAAATTATTTTACTTTAACGAATTGAAAGGAGCAACGAAGTAAAGTAGTCCTCAAAACTACAAAATAAACTTTATTTACTTCAAATTGGACCCTAGATACGATTAAATGTTCTCACAATTCTCTTCAAAACGAATTTCTGGAGCGAAGAAACCGCTGGTTTGGTCTGGAGCCCGGCTCCATTTCTTCAACAAGTCGTGGATTCTCTTTCGGACACCTTGGATCTTCATTGCGCACTCTCTGGCCTTCAAAACGTCCGATGAATTTACTCCTTTCTCATTCAGACGCAACCTGAAGGTATTGTAATCTTAAATTTAGGACTTACAAGATAGATTTGGTTATGAGAGGGTTGCCAGCTCTCTGATTGTCCCTTAAGGCATCTTGAGGCTCATCCAGAATCTCGGCGAGAATCTCATCTAAAACTTGACGAATAAAAATGCGGGAAAACTTTGTTTTCATGTCATGACAATTTGTTGTGTCATAAATATAAAATCTTATCATACGGCATATGTATACCCATTAATTTAATGAGAAATTTTTTTCCGAACTTACAGTACTTCTCCAGTGCTTCGTTGATGTGATCATGTAAGTTGGTGACCTTCGAAAACTCTTCATCATTTTTCTTCATCAACTCAAACCCTTTTTCCACTTCCAGTTCCAATAAGTTCGCATCTGCTTGGTACATCTTTTTGGTAATGGCATGCTGATCACACTCTCTTTTCCAATTAGATTGATACATATTCGTGTAATCTGTCCTAATATTCAACTCTGAAAGAGGTCTTGCCAGTCTCATCTACAGTAATGTCAGTTTCTCTACCATAAAGTGCCTGATCTGCCTTGGCAAACGTTGATTCATCACGCCAAAGGCCGAGATCCTGATCAAACTTTTGCGCTCCTGCCAGTAACTCTTCCTTTGTCTTTTTGTAGCATTCTTCTTTGTATTTCTAAAATGACAATGTATAATACGTACTGTATGTCATCAAAAGATCTCGGCAAAAACACACTTTGAGCTTGGGCCAGAACACGGAATTCTCTATCTGCCCCTCCCCAACCACGCAAAATCTGCTTACCGCCTCTTTACCGGACTCCCGGACCTGTTCCTTGTCCCATTCCTCCTTCTCGATCCTCTCCTTGAGCTCTTTTTCCGCTCGAATCACCTTCGAAGAGACTGCCGTTATCACTTCATGGGTCTTCATTTTGATTGAAGCTGTGGCCAAGACTGCGACTGTTCTAAACAAACTGTAATGCCATTCATTAGACACTTACTTTATATTCCCTCCAATTCCATTTTTGACGGAGTCCACAGCATTTGAGATATTTTTCTTGACGGCAAACCTGGCTGGACGAAGAACTCGGGCTTGGAGCACGTTCTTCAGGCTCGCTTTCTGACCGTACATCTCCATGGTCAGTTTTGAAAATGATGATTTTTATTTTCACAATTAAAAAAAATTAAATTGCAAAAATTTCAAAAATTAAAATTTCCAATAAAAAATTCCATGTTCATTTACTTGTCAAAAAGTTTATTTACAAATTGAATTATTTCAGTTTGGCATATGATTCATGGAAGGCAGAGGCGTAATCGCGGATGTCCATGATCTTGGCGCTATAATAACAGAGCACGTTCATGATCACCCAGCAGTATTGTTCGGGGGTTGCGACGAGGCCAGGACGTTGTTTTCGGAACTCTTTCAGAATGGTCTTTAGCTAAAATTATCCAAATTATGTAAATCATCAAACAAAAGTCTCATTTCTTATTAGAAACTCACACAAATCTCCTGCCCTTTGGTAACAGCAACATTGGCGGCATGGAGAAGAAGAACGGCGCCAGTCCGACCACGTCCGAGCTTGCTGGCTACTACAATTGGAGCTGAAGCTTGCATTCCCTGAAATGAAATATTATTTTCTTTTTTTTATCAACTACAATAATAAAGAAAATTGGACTGACGCCAGGGAATTGTTTCCAGCATCTCAGGAATGCCATGGTGTGCATTTTTGGTCTGTCTTTGTCCAGCCATCCAGGGAACACAACAAGGTTCACAAAGATAGAATTGGAGCAGGCATCAGGTAACAACTCCAATTTGTAGACACTAAAATCAGCGTAAGAATCGACTCGGCGATTGTTGACGAAGATGTCCTTGTAATTGCAATGTTCTCCCGCCTTCTGTGGCCAAAAATCTGGACTGTCGTTCTCTTTTGGGGTACCGGTAAGCAAGACGGTCGAACAGTTTTCCTGGAAGACTAAAAAGGCATATTTAATACAGTGAGATCCAAGATTTGGAATTTAAATTCCATTGTCCTACAAAGCAGCCTTACCCATTCTCCAAAAGTCATTGATAGTACTCTCAACTGGAGATTGGGCTGCAATAAAAGGTCGGTCCAAAGAGGGGACCTTGATCCAATTGGCATTGTAATAATCGGTTCCTGGGGGCACATTACACGTCAGGACGACTCTCAAACATATAAATATTCAAGGAGGCGCAGCGAACAGGGATGAATAATCAAATTATGCCTTGTTTTTTATATAGCAACAGCCAAGAATGACTAAACTTTGATGCGCTTTCGACGCCTACAAACGGGGCAAATAAAAGTATTGCCACTTTCGCAAAATTACAAATGTAACCGTTGGGAATCTCGAAAAAATAAGCAAAAGTTTAATAAGCTTCAACAAATTGTAAAGACTTTTACGTACAAAAGACATCTTTTTGAACTTCTAGCCACAAAAAAAAGTTTTTTCTTACCGGGTTTGATCCGGACAAATATTCTTTTTGTCTCTGTTCCTCGATGAGTTCTCCTTGAAGGCCTTACATTCAGGTTTCTCCATGGTCTCGGCCTCTTTTTCCAGTTCTTCGAACTCCGTTATCGCCCCCTCCGCTCCCAATTTTGCATATTTTTGAGCAAAGTTGTTGATCGAAGCCAATCCGGCTTCGTTCAGCTTTCTGCGGCCTCTGACAGCAGTTGAAGTCTGCACCTTATCTCTAAAATCGGTTACCAAATATCTGTAGTTATTTATACCATCAATTTACATATATATATTACACATGATGACGCCAAAACATTTTTTTAATTTATTACATCTGTATCCTCCGGAACTCCCACCGTATCTAATTATGCCTATTCGTAATTACAAGGAAGTTTACAGCGTAATATCCGTGCCGGGCATGTCATTTTACTGGAATCGATTCAATTTCCGTGTTATCCATCCCAGTGTAACTTCTAAGTTTAAAAATTGAGTAAAATTAGCTATTCAGGCGATAAATTGTTGTGCAAAATGTAGCCCATGTTTTTTGGGAGATATTAGAGCATTTACTGCGTAATTTTAACCCACTTACCCCATGGTTTTCCCCGTTTTTATTCGCTTCGAACGTCTCCTTTTCTCTGCGCTCTCGTCGATCGGCTTTCTCTCGTAACAACCGTTCCGTCCTTGTAAATTCCAAAAGACTAATCTCATTGCTTGGGAGAAAATGACGAATTATGCAAATTTTTTTGACATTTCCAAACCGTTTTTCTTCGCCGACGCAAAGAGGGAGTAATGAAATTAAAGGATACACTGTCAGATAAACATGATTCGGACTTGTTCCCTTTATGTCTCAGAGAACATTTGGAAGTGTCAGGAACAGAAAGGAAAAACATTAAGGTTACGGTGGGAAAGAGGATGTTTCCAAGGGTAAATTTATGGGAAGACTGATTAATTAGGCGCTTAAATTATTAATCTTTTTTCATGAGGATCATTTTTTTATTATATTATATATGGCGTCATAGCAAAGTTCCATTCAAAAGATCTTATAATTTGGCCAAAGTATGGCCAGATGACACCAATTTATTTTTTATTTTTGTCATTACACAGATATTTGAACCAAAATCTGAATCTGAGTAATTTGGCTTCCACTAACCTTGTGTTGTCGATGTAGTCATCTTCACAATTTACATAGCGCTTGTCGTAGTAATAGAAAAAAGACACATGTAACAGTATAGACACGTATGAAACGTGCGTAACTGTCAACGTACTAAGGTGTAGAAGTAATAATATTATTACTGTACGTATAATAATATATTACATTCTTCAAACGCATGGAATATTGCCAATTAAAATTCTCATCAAGCCTCATTTAAGCCACGACCGTCCCGGAGATTTTGGTGTTTTCGAATTCGGTTTTCAAAAACTTCGAAAAGTGCGGAAAATCGCGAATAGTTGCAATTGCTCCGTTACTAGGATACTTTTAAATAAAAAGTTTTTCGTTGTCTTTTTAAAATCAATGTTATTCTGTGTTATGTATGCATTTCAATTGGAGAGGCACAGTTTTAGTTTGCCTTACTGATCAGTCAATCTTCCAGAAACGGGATCAGCCCCAAAAGCGAATTTTTTGAAACTTCATGTTATGGCTGACAGATTCCATATATCTGTCATCCAGAACTCAAAAGAGGCGCAACTCCCGCTAACTACGTTTTTATATTACCTTTAATGCATTTCGAATTATTTATTTTGAGACTCGATCTTCTAGCGATGCTTTTCGTTATCAATCCCCAATTAGGATGTCCAATAACATAATCATCATGACCAAATTTTGCCAAATTTTGCTGCAATAACTGTTTCTATTTAAAGGTCATCCATTCATGTGCTTCTCCTTGTTTTATACGTCTTTACTGTCTAATGGATTCCACCGTCCTCAATGTTCCATATCCTTCGGAAGGCACTTAAGGTCGAGGAATTCATCTTCTTCTTTTCCAAATTCTCGGAAATGCATCAGTCATTTGAAAGGAAATTTTTGTCATAACTTTATTTATTATGTCACGCCATTCAGATCTATCAGCAATTGTCATAATCAAATATGAGACAGATATTGATCGCTAGGAACGGTAAAAATAACACCAAAAATTTTATATAAACTACGACATATTATGATGGCATGGGCAATATAGTAATCAACAGATGGTCCAATTACTTTTTATTAGTTTTAGCTTGTATTTTTCACGAAATGATCCCTTTTTGTAATTTGATTCCAATTAATCTGAATCAATTGTTGGCGACTTCAGTGAAACCGCCAATTATTTCCCACGAATTTGCATAAAGTCAAAGGACAAAGTCTTCATAAGATCAATTTCCCCTATTCTCAGAAGTCGGTGTCTCGCGCTCCTCTAGTGAGCGGTTGTGTGTGTTTCTCGTGTATTGCCCAATAAATATTCTCCTAATTGTCTAAATCGTTTATATCAATTATAAAAAAGACTTCAACTTTCTTGCTTAACTCATCGCATTTTGTGCTCTTGGACTTCTAATGTTTCAGTTTTAAATTACACTCAATTACAGTATGAACGGTTCATTTTAATTAAGCCCCGCCCTTTTTTCCTCGGCCGAATTACATTTCCGCCCCTTTCCCAAGGCCAAAGAAGGATATTGGAAAGTCCCTACTTTAAAAGGACTCTTTACAGAGTTTCCACCGATAAACAAAGCATCCGCCCATTGCTTTGCAACACCAAATTATCACATTACTTTACTACTGGGTCTTTAATAATTAACACTTTTCTTATTAATTCCCTGGCTGTCAGTTTGTCATCCTTGTGGACCTAGAGGAATGACGTCCAAGATTTTGATCGCTCTGTTTGCTGGTAAGCTGGGTTGATAAGAAATGGAACAAAATTTTATAGATAATACTATGATTTGATTATAAAATAAGATATCTAGAATAAGGTCTAATTTGAAGCAACTTTTTTAAATACGACGGATCAAACATCAAGCATGTATATAGACTGTTATGTTACATTTGACCTTTGAGACCCGGGGAGCTTCCGGCTTCAATCTCACCAAATTTAACTCCGTTTGAACCCCGGAAGTTGGTCATTTCCGGTTGTTACAACAATCTAACTATATTTACATTCAAAAAATAAATAGATAAAGTAATCCAGATTCGAGTAGTTTAGATCATAAAAATCAAATCTTAATTTAAAACTGAACTAATCAGGTATAATCTTCAGTTCTCTCCCTCACATGTATCGCCGACGCCCAGAAATATCGACGGATTCGGAATCTCCGAGAAGCCGTCTTCGGATTTCCCCCTGGCTCCGCATCATCTGAATCTACAGTAAGTTCCTCTTATGATCACTCTAGTAAACTTTTGAACAAAAAGCCTGCCCTTTACCCAATTTCCTCCCACCTCATTACACTCACTTACATATTTCGTGCTTAAATCCCGTCACTCTCCCCATACATTGTCGTCATATCTCAACTTTAATATCAGATATTGGCAGTGAAGGGAGTAGGCCGAAAACCTTACAGTCTACAGTAGATTTACAATTTACGCAAAGCATCCTTGTTTACGAATGAGACCTTTTTATTTCACAATGCACTTATAATGATTAATATTGAACCATTAAAACTGTTGTATTTTAAGTGCAGCAAAAACCGGAAACGACTATATTATTCATGACATCTTGTTCATGAGTAATTACTCTACTTTTGTCCCTTGTTTCATGAATTCTCGATTACTTTGGGGGCTTGCAATTAGCCTCGCATCAAAAACACATCTGACATTACTACTGTAACATTATTTTAGGATGAGAGTCCAGATGTTTCCTCGTTTTTTATGCCCAAAAGAGAGCAGTTATTGGATCCGTTCACCGGCCAGAGATACCCAGCTAGCCGAGCCTCAATCCGCAGAATGTTCCGGTTCAGCTAATCAATTTATAAGTCAATAAGATCAACGACCAATAAACTACTTGCACTTGGTTCCACCTTCAATAATACTATGCTAGATAAATCAAAAAGTTATGTGATAGATGTGCCATGTCTCGAAATCCTCTCACTTATCTCCGAAGACAAGTTATCTGTTACCGTCAATAAACCAGCTTTTTTTTATTTATTTTAGACAATAAAAACAAAAAATAACAAGTGTCCTAATTGGAAGAATCCAGAGAAACGCAAAAAATTGGTACCCTCCCAACATAACAAACCGATCTCTTACGGCATTACGAACTCTGATCCAAATCCATTTTCCCCACTTTCTCCTCTTTCTTGACATCAGCAGCTAGACTTCGCTGTTCCCAAAACAAAGTTCGGTCATAAACTCGTCCCTTTTGTCTCGTCGGGGTACCTGTTTGATATTTGACAGGCTCCGGATCATAGTACTTATCTCCCTTGAGATTGATGCAGAAATCGAAGACTTTCGGTTTCTCTAAGGCTTCAAGAATCTTCTGATCCAAATTATCCTTGTTCACGAAATTGGCCGAACGTTCCTAAACAGAAAAAGCTCAGATTAGGTCAATGTTATGCACTTCAAATTGAGCCAACTTACAATTATGGCCGCGACTTCCTTCGTCCTCTTCTCCGCCTCTTCATATTCTTTATTGAGCGTTTCTTCCATCTCCTTCAACACCATTTTTCGGATTTCTTCTTGTCTTTCGGCATCTCTAATCTTTCTGGAAAAAAAAATATATTCTGTCAATAACATCTAAACACTAACCAAAAAATAAAACCTTTACCTTTGTTCAGCTGCTTTTCGATTCCTCTCATCGTTCTGAGCAATCAATTCATCAAGTTCAACAAGTTCTTGTTCCCTCAAAGCCTCAATTCCCATTCCTTGTTCCTCTTTGCTCCTGATCTCGTCTTTAAATACCTTCTTGATGGATATCATTGCATTGTTGTACACATGCCTCCGCCAGAGAAGCTCTTCAACATATTCAGGTTCTTGCCAAGGAACATGAACAACATGGTAACGAACAGTCTTGGATGGGGGAAGGATTGGGGGCTTTCTAAAGAATGAACCATTTACTGAATCTTTCTGTACCGAAAATCACCTAAAGTAAGAAGAAAATATGGAATACTTACCCTTGTTTCGGTGCCTTTCTTCTCATTGATCTAGATATGATCAAGCTCCATGAAGTCCCTGCATTCTTACACAATCCCGACGTCGATGCCATGAGATTTCTCAATGAAACCTTCCGGATCCCATCAAAAAAAAAAAAAGAAATTTGCAAATTCAGAAAATAAAAATTTGGCACTTCGTTTCAAAATTAGACGAAGTGTCACTATTGATGGAATTAATAAATTGGAAAATTTTGCGGATAGATGAACATGAATGCGATCGAATTACATTGTAAATGCCGTAGAAGATAAGCAAACGAACGTTCAGACGCTTTACTGGTTATGGAGTTAACCGAGGCTATTGAGAAAACTCGGGTAGATAAGGTCCAGCTGATTCGAGGGCCCCGTCCTCGACAGTTCGGATCTCTGGTGCTGACTGGACATCATCTAATCTTTGCTCCTGAACCAGATAATGGAACGAAAAAGAAGGAAGAACGTACGGAGTTCTGGGTAGGTTTTTTTAAACTTTATTTTGTGTCAGTTTAGGGTTGAAAATCGAAAGACGGGGAAAATTGTGGCCTTGGACGCTGGAATTTGTTTTTTCGGAGATTAGATAGCTGTGAGGGGATAAGCTGTTATTCACCTGGCCATCTCACGCCTTGTTCTTCTAACTGTCGTTGTTTTAGCTGCTCCATCGAGCCGTTGATCGGGTTGTTGTTGAACCCGGGTCCTTGCCTGAGTTTCCATCTGTGTTACATTTGAAGTGCAAGAACTTTTTGGTCTGCTCGTTTATTGTCAAGAGTCAGAGTGATTGCCAAGCCGTTGCTCGATCTATTGAAAGGCTTTCTAATCTCAGTAAGTTATTGTAATTAAAAATAAGCTTTTTTATTTAGGTAACATTGACTTTGAATATCCATTCTATCATCCACAATCATTTGAGATGCTAGACAATGGCTGGACAGCGTTTGACATTAGCCAGACCTATGCCAAACTTTCGATTCTATCCAAGGATCGATGGAGGATATCAGATGTAAACAAGAACTTTGACGTCTGCCCTTCTTATCCAAGTTTAGTAATTGTTCCTCAAGGCATTGGAGACGATTTCTTGAGGATCTCTGCGACATATCGAGATGGTTCCAGATTCCCAGTGCTTTCGTATTATCATTCTGACACCCAAAGTTGTATTATTCGGTAAGCAGTTTGATTCCTTGTTGTTTGATCTGTAGATGTTCCCAACCTTTGGTCTCTCCGACAAATCGGCGGTGCAAAGAAGATGAACTGATTTTAAATTCTCTGTTATCCCCCAAAGCCCGAGGTGTTATATTCGATACTCGAACGGAAGCCATAGCCTCAGCTGCCAGAGCCAAAGGTGGAGGTAAAGAGCAACGGTATCATTATAATCAATGGAGATACGTCCATGCGGATCTTCCTCAACGAAAGGATTTCAAAGATTCGTTAACAAAATTGATTGACGCTTGCATTGAATATGGCCATACAGAGAAGTGGCTGCACAAACTTGCTTCCTCGAGGTGGCTACAGTATGTTTCGGATGCTTTGACGGCAGCTGGAACGATCGCACAATGGGTTCATTGCACTGACACGGAGACTCCGGTAGTTGTGCACGGCGGAGAAGGGACTGATACCACTTTATTGGTGACTTCGTTGAGTCAGCTTCTACTGGATGCTGATGCTAGGACTGTTAGAGGGTAAGTCTTGGTCTGAACGGTAGGAATTAAAATGACAAAAATATTTTTTTTATTTACTGTTATGTAATGTTGATGTGAGTTTTGCAGATTCCAATCTTTAATAGAAGCGGAATGGATATCAGCGGGTCATCCGTTCAGCCTCCGATGTGCCCATTCAGCGTTCGGCCATGGAACTTTAACTGGGCCACATGAATCTCCCATTTTCTTGTGTTTCCTCGACTGTTGCTGGCAATTAATGCGTCAATATCCATCAGTATTTGAGTTCAATGAGCAATTTCTGATTCTCGTGGCGGAACATGCATTCGCTTCTGAATTTGGGAGCTTTTTGGGGAACAATGAGAAGGTAAATATTTTTTGTATCTAAACTTACAAGGGAAGTACTCCAAGTGCGACTCTCAGATTTTCTTTAAATTTTGCACACACGTCGGGTATGGACTAAATATCAATTCCTCAAAGTTTGAGCTCGCGCTTTGCAGGCGCCGCCGAGATATCGAACGATTTTTGTCGCCGAGAGAGCACGCTAAACGTGGAGAGCGGTCAGAGAGAAAACCGCTTTTTGGCCACAACTTTGGCAATTTCGTGCGAAAAAATTTGATTTTTTGTAGAAACATTATCCTTTACAGTTGAAATAGGCATGAAACTTTTCGTGCCCAAATTCGGCAAAAAGTCCTAAATTTTGGCCGACTTTCGATCTAAAAATCTCGGTTGTTTCTGCAAAGCGCGAGCTAGGATTCTCGCATATATCTTAGAAAAAATTGTTCTAAATTTGTGCCAAGTTTCATCAAAATCTGAGCGTCGCACTTGGAGTACTTCCCCTGTTAGTTAATCTTTACAATTACTAAATAATTCGAGTTTTAGGAAAAATTTGAGCATAACGTAAAGGAAAGATCGGCATCATTATGGTCGTATGTTAATCATCCCAACATCCTGGCCGACTACATCAACTCTCTTTACCAGCCTTATGACTCTGTTCTGTGGCCATCTGTAGCAGCTCCTAGTATTGTAAGATGCTTATAAGTAACCGCTGATCTTATTATATTATTTTAGATCCTTTGGGAAAGGTTTTACCTCCGTTGGCAACGAAATTGGACAAAAATCGACCAAGTTTGGGATGATTTGGGAGAATGGAGCCGCAGGGAAAAAGATTTGAGGAGCAAATTAATGTCCAAAAGGTAAAATTTTAGCAATCTCTGTATTTATCCTTGTTTCGTTTTCGTAAATATACGATAAAAAATAGCTAATATTTATGGCTATTATTTTACTTAAAAAATGAAATTTAACAAACAGTGAGCTTAATAATTAATGCAATAACCGTATACAAAAACGTGATGTTTTAGCATGTCCGAGAGCAGATCTGACCTCAAAGCGAACGGTGATATGAAAAATGTGATCGATCAAATGGAAAACACCAAAATCCACACATAAATTATGTGGAAATGGATAGTATTTATTCATCTGCTTTTACTCATGTTAATATATTTAATATTTATTCGTATTTTATCATGTTTATAAAGTTCTAAGCTTACGATCGTCACTTTCTTTCGGGGTTTTTGCTTATGCAAATTTTAGAGAGTAGTTTGGGATATTCAATTTATTCGAAATTTATTTTTGACTTACGGTTGACAGTTTCGATGTCTGTTAATCCGAGTTTCCCGCCCGTCCCCGAAAGTGATCATAATGCCCATCTTGATCAAATTGCTGTGGAAGTTGGTCTCGAAGACCCTGTAATGTTCGATGATCCCAGAATTCCGAATGAAGACGCAGCCCACATCCCGAATGGGTACAGAATCTCGGATAATAATGTGTTCGGAGCTTTGGTAGGGGTGCTGAACCAATTTTGTTTACGTTCTAGCCTCCAATCACTGGATATCCGCTGTTATTTACGGGTGTTTTGAAGTGCCGTTATGATGCAATCAAGGTGAGCAAGTGACTCCAACGCCTTTTGTAGCGATTTTTTCTATTTCCAACATCAAGTTGAAGAACATCTCTATATTACTTTAGATCCTCTTCGAAAAGAAATTTGGTCCGACCTTTCGTTTGATGGGTGTGGATGTCCTCGACGATCGTTGGTATGTCTATGTGAAGACTTTGGGGGAAGCAGCAGAGGTTATTCTGCGGATGGACAAGCTCGTGTTCCATGGGGGAGTCCTTTGCGTCAGATATCTGCATCCAAATGGGACTTTGTTACACGTTAGCCAAGTGAATCAACTGATCCAGCAACGAAATTACAATACAACGGTCACGATGACCAGAAGGAACAATGGATATCTGGAATTCAGTCCGCGGCAGATGCAGGTGTTCAATGAGATTTTCGAGGTTTGTTAGTTAATCATTATGTTATTCGTATTTTTATCTTCAGAACTTCCACAAACTGCCGTATCGCTTTACCAGCGGAGTCCCAATTGATCCAGCCATACGAGCTATTCGAAAGACACAATGCAAAGCTCCTACAGTAATCAGAATGGCTCTAAAAGAATACGGGTATGCCCTTTTGAGCACATGTCTGAAGGGAAAATTCGTTCAAGACGGCTGGCTGAAGATAATGCCGAATAAGCCAACTGTTCAGGAGGAAAGAAGAGTAGCTGAAGTAAGCATAGCGCTGTATAAAATTTATTAGTTATTTTTAGGCTTGCCAAAAACAGCCTCAGGAAAGTTGGGAACCGTTTGGCCAGGACTCTATAGATTCAGTAGAGGTTTTCATTCAGTACATGAAGGCCATGCTCCGCCGATTTGGCCCTATGAATATCTACACTAGTCTGAGGCTCCGTTTAGCCACTTTTATCGGCCAATCGACGTTTCAAGTAGGCTCAACAATACGATTACATTATTTTAGGCACCAGCTACTGCCAGAGAATTGATTTACTTCCTCGAACAGAACAGCCCTGATTTTGTCGTTGTTGATGATACCATATTTGATATTACGTCCTCAGATCATGTTAGAATCCTCCGTGACCACTTGACGAATGAATTCTCGAGATCCGACAAGTTCAGTATCACCGATTTTATGAATCGATTTATAATCAACGGAAATTAATTATTACGATAAATGAATAAATGTATGTGGAGTTTTCAGTACAGACATCTGTGACTTATGTGTCATGTTATCATTTCTATCAGCCTATTCGTATAATTCAATGAGTCCCACAGCGAAAATCATAATCTTGGCATTGTGATATAACCTACGTTCGGCCGAAATATTTTTTATTTTTTGATATTATTTGTGATTCTTTATTGATCTGGCTGTAGATCGAGCCAATCAGTCATGGTAAGGCCATTGTTTCTATCATGATATTTTTTAGATAATCTTTACATCCTTTTACTTTTTTTATCGATTCTATTTTAGGGAAAGAAAAAACACTTTATTGACAAGTCCAAGGCAGTTACTTTCCGTCTGGAAACACGGGTTACAGAGGATCGTCCTCCAATCCTCGGCCCTCAGGCAGAACTCACAAATGTTGTTGATGTAACAGACGAGGAGTTGCTGGAGAGAGAAAGGCTGGGAATTTATTATGCAGACAATTACAACTACCTAAGTCATCTCAAGTCGAGGGATGAAGTACGTTTCTTTCTGTTGTCATTTTGTTTCTTTAGGAGATAACAATATTACTGATATTTTTTCTAGTTGCCCGAGCTTGGGATCCCGACAGAGAAAGTCTCCCTTCTTCCGCAGAGTTCATCTTCAAGTAAAAGTGAAATCGAAGTTGTTCAGCCGGGCAGAATTGAATCTGATATTGACCCCAACATCGATCCCGAACTTCTGCAAGCCATGGAGGAATTGGAAGGACAAGAAATGATGGGAGAAGAAGACTTTGATCTCGATGATAACTTCTTAGAACTTGCTGGAGGAGTTGATGAGCCAGAACAAAGGAAAGTATTCGAACAATTCCGGCAGAATAACAATTTTGGATCAGATTCTGAAGATGGAGATGAGGAAATTGATTCAGAAGATGCCGGTGAGTTACTTTCATATTATTTTATATAAATTTAGTTTTTGATCTTTTCTGGTGATTAATTGTAGCTGATTATGTTACAGATTTCATGGACGGTGATGGTAATGACGGTTTTTTGGCTCCTCTTCCAGCTAAGCCAATCCTCAAAAAGTCGGATAAAAGTGAATTGGATCAACGTTTCTCCGAGTTTTATGACAATATGGATAAGGAAGATGACTCAGAGGATGATGAAGAGTTTTTTGAAGGTGCTGAAGATGGACTTTTGGATGATTTCGCGGATGAATATAACGAAAGAAAAGATAAAGTGATGTATGAGAAGCCAGATAATGAATCTAAACGGCTAACTCTTGAGGCGTTTGAAAAACAAGAAGTGAATCCAGAGAAAACAGAGAAAATCATGGTTCCGGTGAGACAAAAGAGGGCAAAATGGGATTGCGAATCGATTGTCTCGACCTATTCTAATGTTTATAATCATCCCACGTTGATTCAAGAGGAACCTAAGAGAAAACCGACGGATCTGACGAGGAAGACGATCAAAGTGAAAGATGTAGTGAGTTCGATGTTGTTTTTTGTTCACAAAAAATTTGTTGTTTTTGTTGGTCATGATGTATATAATCTTGTTTTAGGAGATGGAAGATGACACTCGATCAGTTCGTTCAGCCGTCTCCACCTCCACTTATCGACCCAAAGACGAGACGCCGGAAGAGCGCCGACTTCGGAAGCAGGGAATAAAAGAAGAACGCCGAATACGCCGAGCCGAGAAGAAGGCCAACAAGAATGTGTTCAAGGAGGAGAGGAAGAAAATGAGCGCCCAACGAGGACAGGTCCATGTGGACGGTCGAACCATCGCCTAAATTTCTATCGATTGTTTTTGTTATATTGTTATCCATAAAGAATTTTGTTTTGATCAGCGAGGATTACTGTAGTCCGAGCATTACAACATCCCCCCCCCGAGGACAGAAGGCTGCCTCGTCAAATACGGGAAGAGAAGAATCGAAATTCGGGAAATAAAAGTTCCTTTTATGTTCAGAGATGAATCGGAAGAAGACCTGAAGTATTACAATACTTTAGGTGGTTGGGGTTGTAGTTTTGGAGCTGGAGGAATGTGGGGAATGGAAGATTTTGGTCTGAAATGATAATCCATATGGTTTGCAGACGTTTTTTAATTTTTTATCAAAAATTTACATCTGATATTGCCGATGATCAAATATAATATAATTGTAACAACGTTTTGCCCTTTTTAAATATGGAAACCCAATCCAAAATACCAAGATCATTCATAACCCATTCAAAATCTATTCTACGAGCAGGGGTGGGTGCGTATTCGAATACCAAAAAAACGTTTTGTTTGTTTTGAGACAACGCGGACTTTTTGATGTGTTGCGGCGATTTTCGGGGAAAAAGAGCGCGAGAATTGAAGGGGGAAAACTTCCCCAAACTGCCTGGAATATCGAACAGTAACTACTGTTTTTGCTATTTATGAGGAAAGGGTAATCGTTAATGAGTACGAAAACTCTGGGAGATCGTTCGAATATTTTGGATTGATTTGGAATTGGGTTTTCAGAGCCAGAGATTGCGTTTTTGGAAAAATAAAGACAAAATGGGCTGAATTCATAGTAATACTCTCATCATTAATACAAAAAATTATTTACAGGAGAAATACTTTAAATGCAACGCTTAATTTTCTCCAAAGTTAGATCAATTCCCACGTTTTTTTTCCTTTTTTCGATATTCGGGTTTGATCTGCGCGATCTTTTTTTATACTTTCGGCGATAAAAAAGATTCTCTTTCTCAGAATTTCCTTTTTTTGCAATTCTGCATTCCTTCCGCTTTTTACCAGTGCATTACACAACTTTTGACAACCATCTACTCGAACGTCTGATTTATTTTTTTTTATTTGCAATTGTGCTTTAGTCATCGTTTCTCTCAATTTGACTCAAAATTACAAAAATCGAAGAGAGGCAACTGACTTCTGATGAATGTATACAAAAAAGAGAGGGAAACTGTGGTTTTTGAGTGGTTTTTTTTTTATTTTTTGAAACTTAAATCTGCTTAAAACAAAAAATTAACTTTTTGATAACAAAATTTTGATCCGGGTAAAATACGTTAACAGCATTTTTTTGTTCTTTCTGCCGTTATTTTCCGTACCCGCCCCATTTCTCCACGTCGCATTAATTTTATTATATTATTTTACATTATAAATCTCCCCAAAAATACATCATCCTATTTAGAAATCCCGTTCAAAATTAGCATTATAATATGAAAACAGCGATTTCATCCCCCAAACTGTTCTCAGCCGTCTTTTTTGGTGGTTTTCAGGTGGGGAAGGGGGGCGTTTTAGAAGGTCGTCGGGAGAAAAGATGAGCTGGAACCCCAAAAAATAAACTTTCCCACACTTTCCGGAAGCCCGATCGGCTCTCGATCGGGCTGAATTTAATTTATTCAGGGGCTGCCGTATCGTAACATCATAACTTTATGAATAAATAGTCATCATTTGTTAACTTTTTTGTTTTTGAAAATTTAACCAATCATGTAAGTAAGTGAAATTTTTTTTGAAAAAAATTTCTTTTCGAGCTTTGTTCGTCACTTCCTTAGTAGAAATGACTAAAATTGGATCGTTTACCTCCCTTTGTTACGTAAAAGACAGCGTCTGATCCTAATCAGATCCCACGATGAGCCAAAAATTATTTTCTTCAGCTCTTTTGAATCGCTTTAAACGGTTTCCGATTCTCTTTATAAACATCTCGAAATTCCGAATTTGATTCTTTTCAATTTTAAAAATATTATTTTAATTTGTGGACATGAAATTTTTCATTCCGGCATTGTGAAAGAATTTTAGCATTTTTTGATCGTTTCCTGGTCCTCGCCAAGTTTTTTTGTATTTGCACAGTGCGAGAATCCCCATTGAATTGGGGAATCACCTCCATTCAAGGTGGATTTACGTGTCTAAATTTGTGGAGCGGGGTTCTTTGGGGGTCGGAAGTCAAGTTTACTGGGAAATTATGGATATTTTTATATTTTTCTTAATGAAAAATTACATTTAAGCCAAATTTTTTGCTTCTTTTGTACAATTTATGAATTTGATGAAGTGTAAATCGCGTTAGAAAACTTACGCAAAGCATCTGATTCAATTACGTATTTTATCTTTATTTCCTCATTTTAAGCCAGATTTGATCAGGGAAGGACTTCAAAAGTCATCAAAATTTATTTCAATCTGGATTTCTCATATCAACCGGTAGTTGATCCCCTCTTATAACCGGCTAGCCACCCACATCTCTCTGGCCAGACCTTACTTTAGCCATCGATTTGCTCAACATTCCAAGAAATGGCGAAAAAAATAAATTTGTGGAAGAACATGATCTCAATCACAATTTCACTCTACTTATCGACCAATCTGCTACTAGTGTCGAGTATCAATTGGGACAGTGACATTGTGCCGACGCAACAGGAATTGGAAAATGCCAAAAAAGATGCCTTATCTTTGTACTTTGGGATCAAGGCAGAGGAAAATCAGACGTTATTTCGAGGCTGGAAGGAGATGAAGAAGGTCGTCGGGGACTTTGAGGATGTCCCACTTAAAGAGTAAGTGCAATTTCGACACATTTTTGATCTGGCAAATCCTCAATATAAATTTTTTTAAAATTTTAATTTTTTGATTCCGCGAAACAAAGGTTCAATTTGCTAATGTAGACCAGAAAATTGAGGCCTAGTATACGAAATAGTACAAGCTCACGGACTCTCCTACATTCCACATTTTACATTTGGACCATTATTGATGTTTCCTCAACGGTTAAAAAAATTTAAAATGTTTCCAGACAACGAAATCACAATTACAAGGAGATGACCGTGTGGCTGAACAAGTATGCCAACAAGTTCCCCTTCATCACCAAACTCCATTCCATTGGCCAGAGTGTTCAGGGCCGGGAACTGTGGGTCCTAATTATTGGAACAAACCCTCGAGAACACGAACTTCTCAAGCCCGAATTCAAATATGTGGGTAATATGCATGGAAATGAGGTGGTTGGGAGAGAGGCCTTGTTGTATCTGATCCATATATTATGCGAGAATTACGGGAAAAATGATTATTTGACTCGGATGGTGAACACAACGAGGATTCACATCATGCCCTCGATGAATCCGGATGGGTATGAGATGGATCGGCCGGGCGATCGGGTCGGGTATATGGTAAGGGACCGGGTTTTAGATGAATTGGACCTTTAGTTAGGTCTTTTTTGATCAAAATCATATTACATCTGCCTAAAGTCATACGAAATTTTGTTCTAGGGCCGCGCCAATGCCAATGGAGTCGATTTGAATCGGAATTTCCCAGCGCGACATCCCGAACATGCAGATGGATCGGGCGGGACAGAGCTGCAGCCGGAGACAGTGGCTGTAATGTCGTGGCTAAAGTCGGAACCTTTCATTCTCTCCGCTAATCTCCATGGGGGAAGTTTGGTTGCCAACTATCCCTACGACGACTCCGAATCCGGCAAAGACGGGATCTATACGCCGTCGAAGGATGACAAACTGTTCGTGGAGATGTCTTATAATTATGCTCGGGCTCATTCCAATATGTATAAAACGGGCAGAAGATGCGGACTAAGTGAATACGGAGACGCCTTTTACCATGGAATCACCAATGGAGCTGGTTGGTATGTGCTGACTGGTGGGATGCAGGTAAATCTTGTCTTTTTTTACTATTATTCATATAAATCAATATAATGATTATTTCATTGTCAGGATTGGCAATACGAGCATACAAATTGTATGGAGATCACTATCGAGATGGGATGTTTCAAGTTCCCGACCGATGAGATGATGCCAAAACATTGGGCTGACCATATTTATTCCTTACTTTCCTTTATGGAACTTGTTCATCAAAATGTTTACGGAGTAGTTAAGGATGAAGATGGCCAGCCGATTGCTAATGCTACGGTGGAAATAATTGGTGGAGGTCAAGGAAAGGGTGTAAAGACCACCGGTTTGGGGGAATACTGGAGAGTTTTGGTTCCTGGAAATTATACTGTAAGTGTCTGCTACAATATAAATTGCTAATTTTTTTACTACAATATAAATTTTTGAATGGTATGATAAAAATACATTTCAATTTAATGTTTGTGACAATTTGCAGTTTCGAGTAACCCATCCGCACCACGAAGCACACGAATTCAACGCTACAGTACTCCCCAACAAGTCCACTTTACACAATATTACATTGGAGGGGACCAAATGTGATTCCGATGACAATTTCAAACTCGGAACCTTTATTAGAGGCTATGGCAAGATAAAATTGGCAATCTTCGGAGCCGGTGATCCGAAAACAGCCGACGGTCTCAGGGAATTTAGTGGGGAGTCCTGCCAAGGAACCAAACTTTTGGCCGGACTACCAGCTGAATTGAAACAACGATTACAAATTATAATTGTACCGAGCTATTCCAAGGCCGATCACTTGGATTATATTCGATCTCTGAAGCCCGATGCAGTGCTGGTTTTGGCCAATGGACCAGCTGAATTGATCACTTTTAATGCTGGCCAGACTCAACCAAAAAGTTTTAACAAGAAATTATTCGAACAAACAGTCAAAAAGTAAGTTTTCACAGTTTCATTAGGCGTTTTACTGGCTTTTTAGTACTTTGATAGTACCATGAATACAATTTTAGCATTAACACAGCTTTCGTGATATTCGACTTGTTGACACTACTATTTAAAACATAACAAATTACCCTCAATCCAGGGGATAATCGTATTTGGACTATTGGGGGAGCGATTACTTTTTATTTTATTATTCACAATTACAAGTCTAGAGACTACTTTTTACGACGAAAAATAGAAAAAATTACGTGACATCCCTGAGAACTCTTTAAATAACTGAAAAAAATTAATTTTCTTATATTTTTTATAACGTAATCTTTCTTTAGACTGTTTGGAGACTCGGAATGCGGCCCCAACGACGGATCTCAATTAACGGCTTCGGAATTGGCTTCAAATATAAATGCCCTGGGGCTAAACAACGCGTTCGAAGTGGGTGTGGGAGTCGGATGCAACCAGTCGGGGGGCCATTTCTCCAGTAATCTCTACTCTCTGATAAAGGTGAGTTGTACAGTACCTGATGTTAATGATTGTACAGTACTTGGTGTTTATGATTTAAAAATGGGCAATGCCTAATACAATATCGAAAAAATGTGAAGATTTTTTGTCTTGACTTCTAAAAAGCATGAAATTAAAATTCTTACTGTGAAAACTAACTGTAGGAGTTTGTGGCAGCAGAAAATGTTGGCTCTGAGCAAGTGTGTTTGAGTGCTAACAATGTGGTGGTGTCTGGAAATGTCGACTTTACACTTTTTCTTCTTTTTCTGCTCTTAAAGTAGGTCTTTTTTCAATTAATTTGGCTGGAAATCTCTTTTCTTGAATTTTTCAACTGTCCATTTTATCTTATCCCACAGCACAGTGCAGCTTTTTTCTTAAAAATCTCAAAGATTGAATTTGTTTTAATCATTCCTTAGGAAATATATTTTTTGCAAAAAATAACCTCTCCTCACTATCACCCTAAATTTAAATTTTACCTCGGAATCTTACTGCAACTGACGTCTTTTTTTATTTCTAGCATCTTGGTCTGATTCCCGAGCCGCCGACGCCCTTTTTCCCGTTGCTTCGGATGCGTTCCTCGATCGAAGTCTGAGAGATTACTGTAAATGGGCTTCTATTAGACGATCTACTACGCTTTCCACTGCTATATAACCTCAATCCATTGTGAAATCTCAGCCTTTTGTGTTACAGTAAACTGGTTTTCTTTCGCTTTGTGTGCCGTCTTTTTGAGGTAGAAATATTTTTTGTTTTTACATTTTTTGGACAAAAAAAAAATTAAAAAAATCTTGAGATTGAGATGACGTCATTTCGGAGCAAAATAACTTTAAAAATTTTAATTTGAATGTTCTAAAACTTTTTTTCGAAATTTGAATTCTTTGATAATAATTTAAACCCCTTTTCCCTTAATAAGTAATAAATTTTCCCGATTTTAGGACCTCGGAACAACTTTGAAAAAGGATCGAGTCGATGAATACTCGGTGATTCCATCGATAAATCCCACGGATCATTTCTCGCCGGAGGAAGCCGAGCTCTCGACTTCGATTGGCTTGGATCGGATAACTGAAGATGCCAGTTGTCAGCCCAAGATTATTCAACATAGGGACCTGAAATTGAGGGCTTTTGGCAACCACAAGGGACCTTATACACTGGTGGTCGCTGTGGAAGTGGTAAATTTTATATTATATATGTAAATATATTGTACTTGGTATCAATATGTCCATTACGATTACTATTCCAGAAAACAGAAGCCCTCCTGTATCATCTCGGATCTCGTCTCTGCAACGAGACTGAGGACGCGAAACAAACGCCTGAGGCCCATCATGTGGAGAACGTCCTCCGCCATTCTACGGTAATCCTTCTCCCGGAGATTCCTCATACTCAAATAAATTGCCATGATTATCCGACCATAGCTCCATTTATTCCATTATTTTCGGAAGTTTTGGAAGTCATTCCGGAGATCGATTACATTGTAATCATGGCTTCTGGAGGAGTGAAAGTTAGATATATCGAGACCGAGAAAAGGATTACAAAAGAATCTTTCGGGGAGGAATTGGGACATCTTTACGTGGAAAACCAGGATGTGATGAAGCAGGTAAGAGAGTGATACAGTATGAAATTATATATTTTACTACTCTAGGAAGAATAATAATCAAAATTGTAACTAATTTGCTCAATATTATTTGCTGTTTCAGAACGATCAAGATGTTTGTGCGAATGACAAGCGACCAGGTCCAGTGTTGGCCCCGTTTAATTGGGCAGTCCCAACTCTTGCCCCGAGGCTGAAACTGCCCAAATCTTGGAGGCCAATGGAGGCGCTTCTAGTCCAGACGGCCTGTTGTTATGAGCCTCGGGGGGTTCAGCATCTCTTCGACGAAAACAAAAAGGCCCTCTTTGCTCTCTTGGATAAGGTAACACATTTTTTGGTAACCACAGAGATCAAAATATTACCCTAAATTTGGTCACATTACTATTTGAAGAGCAAAAAGTTTTAGTGTCAAATCTAAAAATAATTTTTACACTACTGCTTTAAGGTCTAGGAGCTAAATTTAGACCCAATTTTGAATGCAGCTCAGGTTTAAATTCCTCTTTTTTCCTTCCCATTGTAGTTTAATGTCCCCAAAATAACTTATTTCCACAATTTTTGATCCCTTAGTTACCCTGAACTTTGGTCTTTGTATAATTTTTGAATTTCAAATTACAAACAGACCTCTGACTCTGAATGTTGCGTAATCGATTTCGTCCTTCCCCTTAGGCAGATGGTTTCATTTTGCAACCCAAAATCTTCGACATGGCCTCATTTCTCAAATATTTCGGATTCAAAAAGGGGGCGAAGGATGGAATTTGGGGAATGAATCATTTGGAGAAATTGGAATAGCTCGGATTGTGAAGGGATTTCCAAAAATAAATTGAAATTCCGGTATAAATTCGTGGATTGCGAACGGGGAATCACTGTGTGAGATGATTGGGGATCCTGAAAGCAAGATTTTCAACTTGTTCTTAAACTTTGATCAGATTGTTTCGAAATTCCGACATTAATTTTATATTACAATAGGCTTTCTTTTGACTTTATTCTATTTTTGTGACTTTTTTTTGTAGATTTTCGTGTTTCGAATATTAATCATCTTAATTTTCCGTAAAATTTCTGTCACACAAAGGCTTTGTTGTCACACTTTCCTCTCTTACATTTTGATCCCAAATTTCCAATTTTCTTCCAATTTGATCTCGAAAGTCCCATTATTCCCCCCGAGTGGCATCCATAAAATGCTTCACTCGGCGTTCTCTAAACTTTGACTTTTACCTCAGTATCAGAGAACGCGGAAGAACGGACGGGAAAGGGGAATAAGAAGAAAAGAATATAAAAAAGGGAATGAGTCAGGTTGAGACGGTTCTCTTCTCGTTTTGGACGGGCCGTTTAAGGAGGGATGGAGTTAACGGGGGCTAAGGATCCCCGGATTCCGAAGCCTTTTCACGAAGAGTTGGCTTCAGAAAGGCCATTATATTATGCTAGACGGACCTTTCCGAAAACAGGTTGGTCTAGTATAATATCGGGCGGTCTTTGGACCCGACCTATCCATATTTTACTGTGCAGGTGTCCTTTCTATTACCGTCTGCGCCAAATTTGTTTTCGAATGTATAAACAGATTTATTTTCGATCTTTTTGATTCCCGGGTCAAGTGCAAAGTAATGTAATCAGGAGCTTGTTCTGTCTCCACTTTTGCCACAGTTTATTTTTACATAGTGTAACTTGCCTCTTTATACAGCATTAATAAGTTTTCCGATGATTCAGGTCAAAAGGCTTTTCATATTATCCTTTATGTTTAAAAAGGTCTCTCTGCCCATGAAAAGTCTTTTGTTTGGTTTCAATTAGTTTATTTCCTAAGAAAAGGGATGCCAAAAGATGGCTGGCCATTTCTTGGAAGGGCCTAAAAGCAATGATATTAGCCCAAAAGTCCAAGATTATCAGCCCCATTTTAGAGACCAATGTGATCCGCTTTTTGTTTTGTAATCGTTTCTCTTTCTAATTACTGTGTCTTCTCTATGCGGTAGTCCATTATTATTTATTTTCTAGACACAATTAAGACCCGGAAATTGGGTGCTCTTCCTCTTTTTTAATTTCCGGAATTAAACTTTTTTTATTTATCTCCTTTCTCTTCGTCTCCCATCCCCTCTCCGCATAACATAACAGAAAGCATATATACTTTTAAAAAGTCTCCACAAACCGGACAGACACAACATTCGAAAAGGAACACTTGTCTCCATTCGCCCGGAGGGGATTAGTTCGAGGTGTGGGGAGAGAGTGTGGGGAGGCGAGAGACGGACAGAGAGACAGCTGTTTTTTTTCTCTTCATTGTTTAGGGTTTGGGTTGTCTGCCTCAAATTTTATTTTTTCCGGCCATAATTACACGCCGGATTGGCCATATTTGGGGGAGATATGGCCCATTCACTTTCATATGTAGACAGAGGCCATTCGCCCTGCGGGGATTAGGTCTTTTGGGTGCGGAGTTTGTAATGTTTATTAAGTCTTGTACTTTTTGTCGGTGCCTGCCAAGTTTCTCTACTTTTTTAGAGGAAAACTAGCGTTCGAGAACTTTACCTTCTCATTTTCAATGCTATCAGAGTTCTGAAGTACCTTATGTCATATCCAATTTGGTTTGTTTTACCTACTTTTTAGACTACGGTCTTGTTTTTGATGCTTATTATTCATGACGTCATCGAATGGGTTAATTTTGAATTTATTGGCTGTTGTTGGTCTGGTCTTGTATTTTGCCAAAGTCTAGGGTCGTTTATATTTCGAAATTAGTCATTCCCTTCAATTTTTTTTTGTTTTTGGACATTTCAAAATCAAGTGTAACGTGAATCCAAAGCCAGACATATCCGATTGATCCCAATTTCCTGGTCCCGACTTTTTAATAGTATCACAAGCAAGTGTTCCCCGTGATTTGAACAAATTATGGCCCCGTTCCCATTAATCATCCTCTTTTTTCAGCGTGTTCAAGGTGTAACGGGAGTGGTGTCCCAGGGCGGCGGTGGGCCGCTGGGAAATGCCACCGTAACCATCAGATTCCTGGATCTGAAGGATAAGGAGATCGGCTTCTCGACGGTCAATTCAGGGTATTTCCATCGATCCCTGCTGCCGGGAAAATACCAACTGACCGTCTCTCATCCAGGATGCGATGACTCCGATCCCTACGAATTTGAGGTGAGCATAAAATTATTTTTGAATTTCGGACTCTTATTTTATCATTTTCAGTTCGAAAAGGATAGAATTAGATTATTTTTTGTTTGGTTTTGTTATAGATGCCATGGAGAATATACGAATTTTTGATTACAAAACTTTTTGGACCTCAGAAAGACATAAAACATATCTCAAATACAAACTACAGCCCTATGAAAATACTAACTTTGTCCATAAGAGTCGTTCGAGAGGCTACGCACATCTCCCAAAAAAATGGCGATGACGCTATAAATAGATGATGTCATTAGAAAAAAGATGGTGGGGGTGGATTCTTTTTTCCTCCAAACGTATTCTCCCCCTTTTTTGAATTGCTTATGAGTAAAGTGACAGGTGGGAGGATGCATCATTATTGCCATCGTGACGTATGAGAAGGTGATCTAGGTGTGAGATCCGCTTTCTTAGAACAATTAATTGTAATGGGGATTTACTTTTAAGAGATTTTTGTCGAAAACTCATGTTTCATATAAAATAAGGTGGAATCTTTTGAAACGTGGATTAAGGTGGTCGAGAAGACTCCCTTTAGGCCTTCGGATATCTCCTGAGGCAAATGTTAGCAAAAGTCCACTGTAAGATAACAAAAGTATCAATGTTTACACTTTTAGCACTTGTGTCTACTACAATACAAAATTGTGTGATTTCAGGTGAAACCGTCAGCCAATACTCATTTGGATCTCATTCTTTATCCTAAGGGTACCTTCAGATTCCGTCATTTCATTGCGGGCTCTCTTTCGCTGGTCGTTTTGGGATTAATTTTTGTAAGTTTATATTGTTTTAGACGTGAAATTTTCCTTAAACTGTGAATGATTTGAAGTGTAGTTTAGAGAATAATACGAATTGTTTCAGTATCTGATATGCGGTACAAGATGTCGTCGACGATTTTACCCCGAGATGGATGGCTTCGAAAGAGTCCCCTTGAAGGATTACGCAAGTGACGACGAAGAAGAAGAAGTACTCAACTTTAGGCCAGAAAAACGATAGATCGGGGATCGGTTGAGCATGCTGTTGACACCTCTTCTTAGATTAGGCTTCTCTCTGTTTGTTTATAATATTGTTTTATATTATTCATGACGATTGATCTGGGAATGATCAAAAACAGGTCAAATAACCCTAATAAGTCATCAATTTGCATCGGTTATTGTAGATGACGTCTTATCGGGGTTATTTCAAGCTGTTTTATGACCATCCGGACCTTCATCATGACAAATTTTTACATATTTTCCAATTGCAACGGTTTTAATTTATTCCAACCATCATTATTTAGGGGTTCTATTAATATTTCTCCGAGTAAACGGGCTTACTGTTTAACTAGTTACACCGACTTGTTGTCTCTCCACCTCACATCTCCTTTAATATCATCCTTTATATCCATCCATCGGGTTTTCTCGGCGATGTTTTGCGTCGTGCTCGTCTCTCTCAAACAAACTCTCTTCTTGACACTGGTGGCTGAATCGCTCTGAGGGTAATGAACTTAGCTCAAATCATCAATTTTATGTTAGGGAAAGTATTCTGATGAGATATTTTAAATTAATTTTGAGGTAATATACGGTAGGAACTCTCCTCTAAACAACTGTTATATCTCACCTATTTTTAATGCCATAACTTTCAGAAATGTAGTCGAAATTATTTATTTATTTTCATCAGGACATCTAAAGTCATATGGGATAATGCAATCTCCATTAAATCCCCTTTTTAAGCGATTTCTGCCATCAGCCGTGAGAAAGTTCGTACCTCATACAAACAGAATTGTAACTCTCATCCCCTCTTTAGAACTAACTCATTAAAAAAAAGGAATGTGGACTAAACTCTTGGACTAGACGGTCTACTGTGAATATTCGATATATGGAAGAAAAAAGTTAGAACAGAAATAAAATGTTAAAAAACTCAAGCTGATGACATCTTGAATACTGGCTTCAAATGTAGTAATCTTCGTGACTATTCGACCAAATTTCCAAAAAATGTGTCATCGTGACATATTTCTGGCTATGTAAAATCAAAATGTAATGCAACCCCTTTATCAACCACATGCTTTTGAAAGTATGGTAAGAATTGGATTGACGTAAATGCGCAGAATCCTATAGAAACAATTTCCGGATGACGCATTTTCTGTAATTTCCAAAGATTTTTGGCGCGCCGAAAATATTTTGATTCCTCAACGAAAAATTTTTTTGCAAAATTTGGAAGGAGGTGTTTTGCAGGTTTTGGGAGTGGAGAGAATAGTTTTTATGACTAAATTCGTATTTTTCTACCATTTTTTATGCAATGTTCAACAGCTCATTTTCCATCTTAAACAATATATATTTCATGCTTTTTGAAACATTTTGGATATAAGCCGCCTTTTTAATTACTTATTTTTATATTCGCGTGTTTTGCGACTAAATAAGGTTCAAGTTACGTTAGTTTTATATTTTTTTTAGTTTGGGGATGAGCCAGGATATTCGTAATTTCTTTACCCCAAAAGGAAAGTCTTCTGCGACTCCGAAACAGCAAGTCCGCACTGCTATAACCGATGAAAAAGAGAAACCAATAACGCCAACTAGGCCCGCTCAAAAGGAACCGAAGAGGAAAAGAAAAGTTATTATATCTGACAGTGAATCCGAAGAAGAAGATGCAGAAGCTCTTTTCGATAAGAAGTATCAGAAATCTCATAAAGTGAAAAATGTGGTCAAGAAAAACGAAACAACAAGCAGTAGTGCGAAGAGTATGGCGAAGAAGAGTCGGGTCGTCATTGAGTCAGGTAAACATAAGTCGTTATTTAAAATTTAGATATAATTCAGAAAAGAAATTAGAACTTACACTTACTATTCTTCGTTTAGATTCCGAGTCTAACATAACAGAAGAACCTCCGAAGAAGATCCAAAAGAAACCAGCCGGAGGATTGATTGCCAAACCGGCAGTGAAACCAGTAACTAAAGAAGTCTCCCAGCCAAAGAAAATCTCTCCAAAACCATTAAGACCTATTAAGGATGTTGTCACAATATCCGATTCTCCTGTCAAGAAGGTTTGTGCTTACTAGTTACGTTATTCTTGATTTAGAGTCCAAAGAAGGTTGAAAAACGCCCACCGAAGGTAAATACAGCAGAATCTCTGAATCTGCCTCCGTTGAATATGATCGGAGGGCATAAGCTGGAACAATGGGTAGATAAATACAAACCAACCGAGATAAATAAGGTCGTCGGGCAGCAAACTGGGCAGTCGATGGCACAGAAACTGCTCAAATGGCTGAGGGATTGGCCTAAACACAATCTAGGGGCTGCTGGAGCCGTGAAGAAGTCTAAACCTCCAGGTTGGTTTATTTTTGGATCAACATAGACCTCAAGTTTGTTGTGCATCGCTAAAAATTTTACTGTTTTAGGGTTCAGTCAAGGAGATGGAAGTGCCTTCAAGTCGGCCTTGATCTCCGGACCTCCGGGCATTGGGAAGACTACTATGGCCATCCTTGCTTGTCAAGAATTGGGATTGAAGTATAAAGAAATGAACGCTTCTTTGGCCAGGAACAAGAAACAACTTGAACAACATGTCCAGGAATTCACTCACTCCAAACATATGACCAACTTCTATGGCGTCAAGTCGACGAAACCGGCAGTTCAATCTGGCGGGTATAAAGTGGAAGGGGTTTTGATTATGGATGAGGTTGATGGAATGAGTGGAAATCAAGATCGCGCTGGTGTATGTTTATTTAATGTTTTTGTTTTTGAAATTTAGATATGAATCCAAAGTGTTCGCTAAACAACGTTAATATTTTAGATTGCCGAACTCATCCAGATGATCAAGAAATCCGAGATCCCAATAATTTGCATCTGCAACGATCGCCAGAGTCAGAAGATTCGATCTCTGGCCAATCATTGCTTTGATCTTCGTGTGCCAAAGCCCAGAAAGGAACAAATCATGGCCTGTCTGCTGGCAATTGCTGCCAAAGAGAAGCTGAAAGTGGACAAAACATCAGTCGAAAAGATTGTAATTGCAGCGAATCAGGATGTCCGCCAGTCCATTTACTCCTTGCAATTACTGGCTGCTGGACAGAAGGGCACTTTGCATATTGACGCGAAGAATGTGGAGTTGAACATCTTCGAGGCCGCTCATCAATTGTTCAGCAAGGACACGGATCTGAGGAGGAAAAGGGAACTTTTCTTCAGCGATTACTCCATGATGCCGTTGTTTGTTCAGGAGAATTATTTGGCTGTCAGATCAACCGAATTCGAGTCAGTTTTGCATTTTTTTATATACTTGGAGTTTAGGTTTTTCAAAGGGCATTTTTGTAAGCCAATTTGAATCGGCTATTACGTTTTTAGTTTTTGGCCAACTGTTTGTAATACTGCTTGTAATTGCATTTCCATTCTAGTCGATCGGAACAATTAGCAGCAATGGCCAAGGCAGCAAGTTGTATCGCCTACGGCGATCAGATGTCCAAGTTCATCCGGCAATCCCAGAATTGGTCTCTTCTCCCCGCTCAGGGTACAGTAGGATGTGCTCTTCCCCCATTGTTCCTTGGCGCCGGGAAAGGCGCCCAAGTTGATGGATATTTGACTAGCCAGTTGGGATTCCCGGCCTGGTTTGGAAAGAATTCAACCATGAAAAAGAGACATCGCCTGGTCAAGGAACTGCAAGATCACATGGGATTACGGTAGGTTTATTTTTTGACTTTGTCGTTTCGGATCGGATGTTTTTTTAACCAAATCGAATTTGATGTGTGTTTCAGAATGTCCGGCCCGGTCCACTCAATCGCCACTGATTATGTCCCCGTCCTCCGAAATCGATTATTACAACCGCTGGCTGATTCTCAAGCTGATGGCATACCGTAAGATTATATTTTTTTTCTATTGAATCGATCTTTAGAGAGGTCGTCGAAACATATCATGCGTATGATCTGGTCAAAGATGATATGGAAGCCATCAACGAAATCGGTCTCTGGGATCCTAATAAGGACATTGCCAAGAAAATAGAGACTAAAACGAAGGCCGCGTTGACAAGGGCGTTGAATAAAGATCCTCAGAAACATCATTACACTACCAAGAATGATGTTGTCATACCCACCAGAACCAAGGGAAATAAGAGAGCCGCTGCTACTGCTGCTTCTGCCAAATTACAAAATGCAATTAACGAGAAAGAGGGATCAGATGAGGAAGAAGTTGAGGAAGAGAATGCAGAGGTCGAGGCCGAATTATTCGACGCTTTTTGAGCTTTACCATTCATTTAATTCACATATACCTAATTTGCTTAACAGTGTAATGATTGAATAAAACGGGAATATTAGTGTATGAGATGCAGTCAAAGGGTAGAGACAATACTTTATTTATGCGTTTGAATACCATCAAAATAATTTAAGGATCACAGGAGATAGTAAGCGTTCTGAGTCAAGCGTAATATTTATTTTCCGTCCTTCCTTCTGCTCTGCGCCAAGATTTCATTAAGTTGATTCAGTTTTATTTCCAGCACTCCATGCTGGGAAGAGAGGACTGGATGCGATCTTACAGCCAACGCCAGCAAGTATCGATATTCCAGATCGCTGAATTGGGATCCGCCTTCTTTTATGTGGGCCAGCAATTGGTCCGGTGACTTTTGGAACAGATCGAAGAAGTTCTGGGCTTTGTTCAGTTCGATTTCGGGCCTCCCGGTCAGTTTGCTAATGGTCTTCTGGACGGCGAAAATGTAGCGACAGATTCGTTTTCGGCCGTTCTCGGAAAGCTTGGGAATATACTGACTAAAACGCAAATATTATATAGAAATCCAAACTTTGACTCACCTGCAATGGATGAAGATGCTTGCACAGAGATGGCCAAGTCCGTCAAACAGATATTTCAACTTATTCGGGGCTATATGATGGGTCAAAAGCTGGTAAAACTGAGTCAGATCTCTGCGGAAGTTCTCGATTTCCCTTTCATTTTCATCTTGAGTATTTCCCCGAGCCAGTGGGAGAAGATGGTAAAAGCAATGGACTCTCAGTTCCAGATGGAGCATCAGCAAACAGGTCTCGGACATTTGTTCCACCGAGGTCAGACGCTGTTCTAGGGCGGCACTCAACAATTGTTCCACCACTTGGCCATCCGGGCTTCTGATCTGAACCAAACATTTCATGGCCTCCTTGGCCTTGGCGGGGATCGTCGAGATGAGATGGCGCATGTTTACACTGAACCATTGCAGACTTTCGTGCATACAGATGATGGCTTTGGCATGGTTAAGGTCGGTGATCACGGCATGGGGATCGATCTTGGCCAGGGAGCCCAGATTGGATATCAAAATCTCGGATTCCCTCTGCGTTCGACGGCGGATCTCCTAAAGTACGATTTATGAGCCATTAAAGATTTTTTTTGATCAAATCTGTGCTATAACCCGTACCTGCTCGGACTCATTGAGACTCAGCATTCCCCCCGGTGTCATTTCTCCAGTTATTGGAGTCTGATTGACTACTACTTGCCATGACGGAAGTGACTTCAACAATCTGCTGATATCCTCATCCACTGCCCAATTCGCCGAAGTCTTTGAATGTTCTATCGTTTGGTTACCTTTCACGGTGCGGCTATGAGTAATCTATAACGAAAAGATGGTCAAAATGGCAAACCCATTGAAAAATTGAACAACCAGACAAGGACTACTTACTCTCGAATACATTTCGGTCGCGATTTTCGTGTACTCCTCCATGATCAGCACCCACAACGAGGCAAATCGTTGAGTGTAAGCGTCCATACTGTTGATGAATTGTCCAATTTGTTCACACAATTCGAATACTCTCTTGCAGGAAACCAAAATTTTCTAAAATACGATCTCTAGACTCTACATTACTATTATATTTCAACAAAATTCTGCTTCCTTAAAAAATAATTTCATCAAATTATATTCCCCTTACCGCTTTCGATCCCCCCACAGAAGCCAGAGTCTGCCAGACTTCGTTTCCACTTAGGGCGTGGTCGATTTTCTGATCCATATCCTTCCGAATCCTCTCAATGAAAATGTCCATAACGAAGGCATGGAGGAAAGTGTGCAACTTGCATGGGGACATGTCGATGTTGGCCTCAATTTCATGACAAAACCTGTTGAGAGGGTGGAAAATCTGGATGATATTATAGGGATCGGCGGGGCAGATTAGGGCAAATGGCTGCAAAATCAAGATACAATCTCATACAATAGAATCAAAACTTTTTTACGTTATAAGCCCCTAATTACAGTATCCCTCACCTGCTGCTTGGCGACAATTCCACTCGATCCGGAGACAGCGGTCGTATTCGAAAAACGGAATAAAACTTTTCGTTTGTCGACCGCTTTCTCGGTCGAGTTCTCCGACTTCATGGGGTAAATGTCGACATGATCGCTGACCACCGTCTCCATCACTGATTGCATTCCGTCCCAATAGCGCCAGATGACGTCACGCTTGTAATCCTCGCTATTTCGAAGTCGTCCCACCTGTTCGGCCAAGATTTTATGGCCATAAAAGCAGGCGCGCATCTCGGAAATCAACTGGAAATCATAAATATTTATATTATTCCAGACATCTCAAGCCTACCACATTGATAAAATGGACAAGATGCGACGAGTCTGGGCCTTCATTCGAATGCAATGTACTCAAGAGACTGACAGTGTCACTGAGGGCGATCTTGCAAAGTTTCGGAGTCCTGACGGCCAACTGATCGAGGGCAGTGTCCAGTTGATCAAAGACCATCAATGCCTCGAGGGCATCCGTAATTTTCAAATTGAGTTCGCCCTTCCGATCCTTGGCCAAGTCTACTCCAATTTGGGTTTGAGTTGCTGTAATCCGAGTGATAAAGTCGGGGTATTTCTTCTCCAAAATTCTGCAGCAGACGGCAGATTCAGCAACGGATGTCTCGGGGAGTTTGCGGATGATTTCCAGGAGCTAAACGTATGTCGTTTTATCTAATTCGCCTATTGGAACAATCACAACTTTAATTCCAAAAAGGTTACCTGCCGTTCAAACGGCTCAGCCACCAGCCAATCGAGTAACCTCTCGATGATTACATTCAGAACATGCTGACTGGTATCGATGATGTTAGATCTGAGCTGATTCAGTCCTTCGATGGCCGATAAGGGTCCATTCAGTGCAATGTCGGCTCTTTTTAGTTTATCGACAGCCTCCCTGAACTTTTCCTCTTTCATCAAACTCTCCACAACTCTTTCCATGTTCTTCACTTCCTCTCTAAATCCATTTCAAGCAAACCAACTCTTACTTACATCTGTCCCAGAATCTGCGATATTTTCTTTTGCTCCAGATTCTCCATCCACAACTTTTTCAGTTCATCGCGGCGGCTTTGAAGAAGATTTTTACTCGCCGACAGAGCATTTTGGACACGGTTTATTCTCTCGCGGCATTCTAAAATTTCAATAAGTTAGATCGGAGGTTCTCCTATCTAGTAAACGCAACGACTGCGGACTCCATGCTAACTCAGGATGATGACTCACGCAGTCATATGATGCCTCTCCGCCCACATGTTTACGCCTAGGGCGACCTTTGGCCTATGACGCACGTCCGTTGTAAAGTATGAGTCACAAGAATGTTCTAGTCCCTTAGGACAAGATTTGGACATCCAGATATAGCCTGATTAAGCTTCTGTCCAGGATATCTTGGCCCTTGTCAACGACGTCCGCAGCTCCATCTTCGACACCTCATCAAATGGTACCATCATCAGCATTCCAGAACGTCCAAGTCCCGCCCAGCCAGTGCCCTATATAAGCCCAGCCAGTCGACCAATCCAGGACGTTCCCATCGGCTTCGATCGATCGGTATAAATCTCGAGATATTATTGTCATAGTATACTATTGTTGTGTTGTGTTATTCGAGCTCATAAAGGTACAGAATATTCTACGTGGGTATTGTATTAGACGGTAAGCTATCTGTGCGCTACGTTGCGGCTTCAGTATTCTGAAGCAAAGATCCACCGAAAGTCTAGTCAAGCAGCCCACAGGGTAGGGCAAAGGTAGGGCATCGCGCTGCCCTCTTATTCATCTAACTGGTAGCAGCGAGTGGTTGTCTAATTTTTTAGACGGTTCAGTACTTCGTCAAGTACTGTGGTTCACGTTCATTAGTGTTTGGAGAACACTTGGTTACAATCTTATTCGTCCGTCAGGCTGACGATGGAACACAAGCAGACCGGCACAGGGTCTGATCCCGTGCTCAAATTGTTCGACAGGACATGCGATTCCATACTTATGGGACGCCCGAACTCCGACGATGTCAAGAAGTTGTTGGTAATCTTCCTCGAGGATTGTCGAAAATTGTCGACGTATTTGGCACGAGAACAACGCGCGCGCTCTATTGCGGAGTCACAGACAGCTGTGGCCACTGGAAACGCTCAGAAGGAGCTGAAGAATCTGTGGAAGGCGGTCTACTCACTCGATACAATGGACTTGGGACTGGAAATGTGGTCCTCCGTCATCAACAAGGACGTCAAAGACCTCAAGGCCCAATCGGCCGACGTCAAGAAGCTTTCCGACGCACAGGAAGCTAGCAAAAAGGTTCTTCTGTCACTCAGCAAGCAGGTTGATCAATGCCTGGCTTCTGAGGATGACCGTCGCGCCCAGATCGCGAAACTGGAAGAGGGTTTGGCAGGAGTTCGAGCGCTCTACATCGAGCAAGCCCGTGCGCTTCGAGAGCTCCGCAAGGATATGGAAGCCTTCGCTGAGGCCATCGAGACTTCCAAACGGAATGGAAATTCAAGCGACACTGCCCTCGACCCGGGAGGTGGACATGGTCCCGCTCCGTCCGCGCCTGGAGGTCGCGACGTCAATGGTGATGAACATGTTGATCAACAACTGGGCGATCAACCTCGACCAAGCTACGACTGGGACGACATTCCCAACGAACTGGCCGGTGGTTCTGTCAATGTTCAAGCCGACGATCAAACCCCGGCGGTAGAAGAAGAAGAACAGCCTATCATCACCAGCCTGGAGTGCAACTCCCTGCTCAAGCCGTTCGATCCAAATGGAAACATGACTTTCCCGGAATGGCTGGAGAAGTTCGAAGACTTCCGTGATCAGCAGAGCACGCCCTGGGCCAACGATGTAGCCGTCAAGAAGCTCCGCATGTTTCTAAGCGGCGAGCCTCGCGAGAGGCTGATCAAGATTGCTTCAGCTGCAACTGCTGGAGAAGGAGGAAACACGTTCAAAGACTTCGAGCAGATCAAGAAGGAACTGCTAGAATCGTTCAAACAAGACGGTGGTCAAGCAATTGCCCGAGCCGAATTGACAGTAATGAGGCAGCAACATGACGAACCTGTCAATGCCTTCATCCAACGTCTAAAGCGACTGGTGGCTCGACTTGACCCTGATCTACCAGCTCCGATAAGAGAGAAAAGGGTTTTCGAAGAGTTCATGTCGCGTGTCAGGGACGACATCGCGACTCCACTTCGATTATCCGTCCCCGAAAACTTCGAACAAGCCAAGGCAAAGGCTTTAGCCATTGAATCCATCAACGCTTCCAGCCGACTCCTCGCCCGAGATTCTATGGCGAATGGATTCGCAACGATGGTTCAATCGCTCGCTGGTGTCAACGTCAATGGTGACAAAGGAAATAGCAAGAAAGGATCCTGCTTCTATTGTGGAATAGAAGGACACTTTGCGAGAGAATGCCGGAAGAAAGCCCGAGACCGTCGACATGGTCGGGCTCCCTACTACGAATCAAATGGCAACCTTCGCCGACAAGGAGACTTCTGGAGACCATCAAACAGGAATGAATCATCGACATGGAGGAGTAATGGTCAAGATGAACCCGCTAGACGGTCAATAAACCTGGTAACTGTTCAAGAATCCGTCAAACAGGAGGATCCCGTTGTGGCAAAGACGGAAAGAGAAAAGGCGATGGAACTCTTGAAGCGAAAACACGAAAATCTTCTGAAGCGACACACCGGCTCTTCCATTTATTCGCTTCATCCCATGAACATTGTGCCGTCAGTGGTGCTCCTCGTCACCTGCATCTCTGTGCTCAGCCCCTCGGCGGAGGCAATTCAGCCGATGATTTGCCAACACAAATTTGGAAGACGGCTTGTTGGTCTACCCGAACCGCCAGATTGCCCGCAGATTGATGTTCGTCCAAAAGTCCGTCCAACCTCTCTCTTGTTGGACATCTACCGTGAGAATGAAGACCTCAGTAGCACACCCGCTGAAGTCTGCCAAATATTCATCTAACTAATATACCAATTTAAGCAGCTAACATACCTCTGATGTTCCTGGCGACATCTCTAAAAGACTCCACGCTTGTCTTTACATCCTCTTCTTGTTCAGTGAGCAGTCGATCGATGACTTTTCCCGAGTCCTGATAGCCGGTTTGAAGACGTTCACGGGCCAATTCTCGTTGATCATCCGACGCACTGGTGGCAATTGTGCGTATCACATTGATCAAGAGGTTGTTCTAAAAACACAAACTGCACATATAAAGTTCTTTTCTTACCGACTCATCCTTGGCCTCGCTGATCTTCTTTTGATTCCCAATCGCCATCTTTTTCTCTCCGAAATGCTTACTTTTCTTCCTCAAGCATGGCAAGTAGTTATATTATACTTAACTATAATTGTTTACATTCTTAGAATTTGAATCAACCTTCAGATATCAAGATGTTCTAACAAAATTTAAACCCCAATGACTAAATTAAGTTGATTTATATCATTTATCATATAAGATCATATGGAAAAGTCGGATTAATAATTGAAGATCGGGTCAAATTCAACAACAAACAAGCAACAACCAACAAAAAGCGAAAGGATCTTAATCATCAAAGTCATCAACAGTATTGTTGTAAGTCTTGACGTGTTTCCCCACTTTGGATCCTGGAGCCCACGTAATAAAGTCGCTGAGATCTCGAGTAACCAGATAAGCCGGATCGGTGATAAGGTTTGCACCAACTCGAACATGACCTTCTTCGACCATTTGGGTTGCTTGACGAATCTAAAATGAGGTCGTGAATAACACTCAACAAGTAATTTGAGAGTATAATCAACTTCAACTTACACTCTTCATCATACCGGTCTTCACCATCATCGTGGGCAGTCGTCTTCGGCAGAACGTCGAGGCTGAGATCTTATCCACCCTCTCCAAGGTATCAGCTGTGATGATTAGACCAACATCATACAGTTTACCAAGTAATTGTCTGACAAACACCTTCTTGTTCGGATTCTTATCCGGCATATCTTTGATTTTCTTCGCGAACTCACGCACCTGAAACCAAAAATAAGCTATTCAAGCCATAGAATCGTCTAATCAAACTGAAAAAAATTGCGGAATGTTCCTAAAAGTTCAGCAGAATGAAAGGAAGACTTACTTCTCTCGCCAATTTGTTATAGTACGTGTATTCTTCCCGCTTTCGGATCGCGAATTTGGCCATAACCTTGTTTTCGTTGAGGTTGTTGTCCTTCCAATCGATGAAATCCACCTTCTTCAAGAGCTTCTGCTCATGGAATTTTAGTTTTCGGACCATCTTAAAGTCAAATTCTTTCTAACGAGGGAATGGTCTGAACTTCCCCCAGCGTTTGGGAAAATGACTAGTACAGGTGGATAGAGCATGTCAACTTTGGTAAAAAGAGCCATTTTCCAGCTGCGGAATAAGCCCGGCCGACGAGAAAAATCGACCGAAAGTTCCACAAAAATTTCCTCTTTCTCTTCCCTCGGAAAAGATGAGCGGTGTTCAGTGATTCGGTTAGCCGAGTGGATAAAGCATCCGCTCGATATTCTTTTGGGGGTTGGTTCGATTCCGGGGTCTCGCGAAGGACCGTGATAAGGCTTTGATGAGCAAGATCAAACTTTAAAAACCCAAAAAAATATTTTGCCATTTTTATACGTTTTATAGGGGAATTATAACAAAAAAATAATTGTCAAAAAAGGAATTTTTTGGGTGCTTCCGAACCTTCAAAGCGATGGAACGTCGAAGTTATACTTGTTTGGCTTTGAAAAAGGCAAAATAATTTTTTTGGGGTTGTTAGAGTTTGATCTTACTCATCAAAGCCTTATTCCTTCGCGAGACCCCGGAATCGAACCAACCCCCAAAAGAATATCGAGCGGATGCTTTATCCACTCGGCTAACCGAACCACTGGACACCGCTCTTCTTTTCCGAGGGAAGAGAAAGAGGAAGTTTTTGTGGAACTTTCGGTCGATTTTACTCGTCGGCCGGGCTTATTCCGCAGCTGGAAAATGGCTCTTTTTACCAAAGTTGACATGCTCTATCCACCTGTACTAGTCATTTTCCCAAACGCTGGGGGAAGTTCAGACCATTCCCTCGTAAGCTCACTTTCCACAAACTTTCAAAGATATTTAAAAGTAATACAACATTTATAAACTCTTTGAAATTATTAATATCTCTCAAATTTATTAAATTTTCTATACGTTTGAATACAAAAACCTGACGTGAAGTGCAGAAAAGATGCGAAAGAATAATTAAAGTTGTGAAATTATACTACTAAACAAAGACCGCGACCTTTCCGGAGCAGAGTAGAGACGTTTCTTTGGGAGTCTACACTCAAAATTCTAGACCACTACCATGAGTTATTTATTTGCCGAGAATAAAAGTTTGGAAGGGAACCCGTTTACATTAGAAATAAGATTACTACCTGGACTAAATAAAGTAAACAAGGGTAAGAAATGACCGGAGGGAAGGGATATCATGAGAATAGCATCGAGAAGGCCTTCAGCTCCTCACAAAGATCCATTCACAGAAATTTGAATATTCTCCCAATATAATATTAAATTCTACACTAAAAACTAAAATAATATACAAAAAGACACCGGTATATCTGGAGGAAGACATTGCAGACGTAAAGGCCAAGCAGATGACCAAATATAAAAAGAAAAAGATCCGAGGAGATTTGTTTATGATAACCAAAATCTAGAATCGCTTCCTCTTGTTGAAATGATTGTTGGGGATGTTAGTCGAGTCCATGGGTGAGTGATTTCGTTTCCGGTGTCTGAGAACTTGATTGTGGAGGAAAGTGTTGAGCTCGGCAGGACGGTGATGGGAGTTTGGAGAGGCGTTGGGTGGGTTCAAAGCCTAAAATAAATGCTCTAGACAAAATATTTCCATTAATAGCAAAAGCTTTCAAACTGGCCCAAGTCCCGTCGTCCTAAAAACAAAACAAATTCAAAATAAAGGTACTCTTACCTGTTGAAACAAAGACACGGCCTGAGTGACCCCTCCATCGTTCTGATTGGTCATTCTTCTTTGTCTCGCCGGAATCCCATAATCATTCGGAAGGAGGGCATACTTCTGCAAGATATTATACACATCTCCAGCATCAATCTTCGCGCCATATCTCTTCAAAGCCAACAATTCTTTGGCCAACTGAAGTCGTCCTTGATGCATTCCTTTCTCATATGCTCTTTTCGAAGCTTCTGATCCTGCCTTGTACAATTGGGTTGTGTGGACGGCAGCCGTCTGGAAGGTACGCCAATTGGGTTGTTTGAAAAGGCCAGAGACAGAAGCACAGGCTTGCTCAAACTCATTGTAAAGCGAGTCGTCGAGTTCATCATCTGAATTGTTGGAGGCACGGGGATCCATGGTTCCTCAGAAAACCGTGATGTTACGAGAGTAGAGAGTCTAAAAATACGAAAATAAGATCATAAAAGACCGTTTTCAACAAATTATAACTATTTTCTATTTCGACTCCAAACCACGGTACCCAAATTTTCGTGTGCAATATGCGCAAAAATGGTCTCTCGATTTAAGTTTGCCTATAGCAACACCAAACGCGAGTATCCGTGCTGTAACGACCTCCCAAATAATATAACGCCCGATGGCTCCACAAAATCGATAAAGTGTTCCACTTCTCACTGCAATTACACCCCTAAACTCAAGATAAAAATCATAAAAGTCTCACCTTTTAACGGGGTCTGATCTTGCGAAAGACGACTGATATTCACCGACTGTCTGAGGGTTCAACGAAAATGGAAACAAACCGAAGAACGATGTTTCGAAGATTTTACACTTTTCGGACACCTAAAAAAAGGTAGAAGAATAATTATAAACTTGTTGCAAATTCGTCTCCACGCGTGGCAAACGCGAAAAAATAAAAACAACAAGAGGTGTAATGGACAAAAGACGCTACCCTAACATCGAACATTGACGAAAGAGAATTAAACCCTACCTTTTCTCAACTTCCACCTAATCGTAGCTATGTCAACAAGGCTTATTTGCGACCAAACATTCCTTTCAAATTTCAGCGAAAGCTGCGAAAAGTTAGTCGGAAAGCCCACTGAGACGTGAAAATTGGGAAGCGATCATAAGATGGGTTGAATAAACAATCAAGTAGCCACCTTATTCATAGACGAAAGGTCAAGTAATTAAAAATAATGGTCGCTAACAGAACCTACATCGTGTCAAAAAATTGAGGGAACAGGGACTGAGAGATACGAGAGAAGATTAGAAAGAATATTAAAATTTAGCATTTTTGTTATATTACACTGGGGATCCGAAGAGATCTTGAGTGTCAAAATGTACTAAAACAAAACTGATGAGTAAAACAACGCCAAAACAGACAATTCGAGGGTTTTTTTGCGTGGGACGCTCGCTGACCTCTCGAAATCAATAAAAACGCGACAATCTTTCCGCAAAATCGCTTTGGACAGCGCATCTTTCGAGTCAAATGTGGAACGCAACGAGCTCTACAGGGTGGGCCACTAAAACCTTCCGTCCTCTTTTTTTAGATTTCTCCGCGGAGACTCCGCCGATTTTCATGAAATTTAGATTTTTCTGGAGCTGAGATGCGCCATTTTCAACCGGTTGAATTTGAAAAAAAAATATCCTGAATTGACCTTTCTATGCCTTTCCAAAGTTTTTGAAAATTATTTTCGAGCCGAAACCGCTAAAACTTAGGAAATTTTTGGAATGATTTTGAAAACTCGGTCATTTTTTCGGGTTTTTGGGTGAAATCTTACTTGGTTTGCCTCATATATTTGCAAAATACTGTTGTAAAAACTAATCTATTTAACAATTTGATTATTAATATTTCTATCTGAGTTCGACATGTCCACCTCCTCTTGCAGCACGAACTTGTAGGGGCTTTGAAAGTTAAGAACAGCTCGAATTGCGGATCGTGAGCATGGTTTAACTTCAATCGAGCCTGGCTCCAAGCTTCAATGCGCCAAGCCATGGCTTGTAGCCTTTTTTCACTCTTGTTGAAAAAAAAATTTTTTTTTCAACATTCATACCCTAAAGGTAATACAGACAACACTTTTTTTTGCTTTTAACTTGCTTTAAACAAAGTTTTTTAGAAAGCGTACGGAACTTTTTACTCCACGATTTTACCAAAAAAGCCCGAAATTTTTCAAGTCCGAGAAAGGCTATTGAAAATCATTCCAAAAATTTTCAAAGTTTTAGCGGTTTCGGCTGGAAAATAATTTTCAAAAACTTTGGGAAGGCATAGTAAAGTAAATTCAGAATATTTTTTCCTGAAATTCAATCGGTTGAAAATGGCGAATCTCAGCTCCAGAAAAACCTAAATTTCATGAAAATCGGCGCAGTCTCCGCGGAGAAATCTAAAAAAAGAGGACGGAAGGTTTTAGTGGCCCACCCTGTACTTGCATCTTCCAAACAATGCCTTACCAAGGGCTAAACTAAAATGTTTACAAAGAATAAATTGTATATTAATATCTCTAATTTATTTTCAAAGATAGCAAGAAAAGAGATGAGAGATGGCCGGCCTACTTCCTGCGGATATTTTAATTTCCAAACAAAAAAAAGAAGATTAATTTCTTGCCAGAAAACATTTAATTCAACTAATTGTACTGTAAGCGGATGAATATGAGCAACAAAAAACATCCACAGGGAGGATTGGGATACTGTACAACCTGCAAGAACTAATGACCAACACGTTTTTCTAATTTTAACACCAATTTCTCCTCAAGTAAGATAAAAAACTTCAAAGTTTTAGAAATGACTAATAAACTACAGCAGAAACCATCTCTGAAAAAACAGCCTGTTCAGTAGTGACAGACATACTCTCACGCCGGACGACTTCTTTATAAAAAGTGTTCGCCTTGATAAAAAACATCAATCGATAAAAATCAGATGTATAATGTAAATTAATGCTCAATGTCTGAAGTTACACCTAAACTTTTCAAAGTAGGCCTAAGACAGTCTGCAGCTTCAACCGGAGGATCCAAAGTGCATTGATTTTGTCGTCAAGGCCACCTTTTTTACAAAGTTTGAAAATAATTCAAATAGATAAGGGATAATATAAAACGACGCCACAGATACGGTCGATAACCGAGGGCGTAGGCGTTTTGGCCAGTCCGATATCTCAAGAGTTTAGGGGACCAAGAAAAAGAAGAGCTTTTATCGGGAACAATCAGGAAAAAGAGATCTTGTGGGTGTACGAAATGTCACGGAATTTATTGGGATGAAGTGTCACAGATTTATTGGTTCTGTTTAAAAATGGAACGTATACTGTGTAAATATACATAGGGATAACACACGATGTTTATGAAAATCGAAGTTTCCTTGAAGGCCTTGAAATGAGTTCAAAATGAGAGCAGTTGATTAGGTGGTTACTTCGCTAACTTCTCCTCTTTAATTCGGCCTGAAGAACCTTCAATTTATGTAAAAAAGTCTAGCCAAGGGTTTGGAATGGGTGTCAAAGAGTAGGAATAACAGCTAGATTTCCTTTTTTATCTTTATGACTTTGTTTTGAAGAAAAGGAGATTCACTTCACAATTTTTACCCAAAAATCATTGACCTGCACCCTAACACATACAAATTTGAGGATCATTTTTTTGTGTCACCCTGTAATACAACATGTGCGAAACAACATGATAAACTTCATTGATTAGAATCGAGAGAAAGGAAGTCTTCTCCGCTTATAATTGTCTTCATTATGCCTCTCTCCCGTCTCCAGATATTCGTCATACATATTTCTGACCAATTTCCCATAAAACAAGGATCCAAGAACATTCACATGGGTGTAGTCATAAAATATAATATTGTTAGTCCTCTCGTTCACTGCATAGCACCTCTCCCAATCACACACAGCATTCCTCCAGTCGACAAACATGCATTTAGAGCAATCCACATAACTTAACCGTCTCTGGAGATTCGGTAAGTTATCGTCGATGATCTGAAAATGATTTGAATCGCTTTTACGTCCCTTCAGAACATACCTTTCTGTCCACCACGGCCGTTGTGAAATCTCTGTTGGTAAAGATTTGCCGTTGAATTGAAAAATATAAAAATTTATCGGGAAATTGGACGTGAACACGAGGTAAAATTACCAACTCTTTGGCATGGCTGTTAAGAAAATGGACAAATTTCATGATCTCCTGATAGTAAAAGTCATTCTTCATATCCACTTCAGTAATTTTTGAGTCCAGAAATTCAATATATAAGAGTGAAGACAGAAGATTTCGGAGGAAAATTTTGAAAATTTTTCGAATTCACTTTTTTTTCGATTTTGGAGTAAAAATTTTTTTTACTCCCAAAAATGCCAAAAAAAAAAGTAAACACGAAGTTTACTCCAAAATTTGAAAAAAATTTTGATTTTCGGGAGTAAACTGGGAGTTTACTCGCCGGGGCCGAGAAATCGAATGGCGGCGAGTAAATCTGGATTTTGCTCGCTTCCAATGCCGAATCCTGACTGGGAGCCTCCCAGTCAGGAATCCCGCGATTCCTGCAGTCAGGAATGTTTTTGACTGGGCGGCCTCCAAATCGACATCCCAGTCACCTGAGACGAAGAAACGGGGAGAAAAAACGAAGAGAGCGAGAGAAACGCGCGCTATTTCGTGCTCTCTCTGCCTCTCTGCGCCCTCTCCTCGTTTCCCGCTCTTTCGCTCTCTCTCTCCTTTTTTGCGCTCTCTCGCTCTTTCTCCCGAAAAAGAGAGAGAGAGCGCGAAACGGAAAGAAGGCGCTGAGAGGCAGAGACAGCACGAAATAGCGCGCGTTTCTCTCGTTCTCTTCGTTTTTTCTCCCTATTTCTTCGTCCTAGTCAACAGTTATTGACCCCTCACCCAGTCAAGAATCGCGGGATTCCTGAATGGACCACAGTCAGGAAGTTTTGACTGTACGAAGAGTCAGGAACCCCGCGAATCCTGACTGGAGCCTCCCAGTCAGGATTCGGCAAAATTTTTCGAAAGTTAGGCGCGAATTACTAACGCAGATAAAAAAATTTTTTGCGCCCAGGGGTCAACTGTTCCCCGGGAGTAAACTCTGGATTTACTCGCCGGCACCTTCGGCGAGTAAATTCTGAGTTTACTCCAAAAAAAGGCGAAAAAAAAGTAAACTCGGAATTCACTCCAAAAATGGAAATTTTGAAAGCTATTTCGATTCCTACTCGCCGACCCATAAAATTTCTCGATTTTTACTCTCTTTTTCAAAAAAAAGTGAATTCGAAAAATTTTCAAAATTTTCCTCCGAAATCTTCTGTCTTCACTCTTATATCTAAAAAATGCAAAAAATAAGAGAATTAGAAAAATTCTTACTGTATTGCTAATATTATGACGTCATATTTTGTATGTGATGTTGCTATCATTTTTTTCATTTGTTCTTGATGCCTGATGCATCTTTCTCGATGTCTTGGTTCTACATGACTCAAGAAAGGCATGCAATAAACGACTGAAATCAAAGAAAGTTCGGCATAAACATCTTTGAAATGATATCTGACGCCATTGTAGAGGACTGCAGCATGGCTGTTCCCAATAACCAGCATCGATTTGCTCCCTTTCCCCTGAAAGATTAGATTTGTCATCGTTCTTAGTTATTGTCAGCGATGTTAACTAAAAAATTGGATATTACTTTATCATGACAAATGAATTCGATCTCCTCCAGACCCCCAATATCTTCCTTTGTATCAAACCATTTCCTCTTATCATCACACTTTATGTCCATAAAAGTAAATATTTCCATTATCGCGTTCTCTTCTTGAACTTTATTCACATCTTTCATCGTATAACTTGTCTCCTTGTATAGATCGAATGGTAATTCTTGAAACTTGGTAATTCTACTCTTGTCGAAAGACTGTGTTGAGATTTTTACAATATCCAAGGATGACATGTAACAAGTAAGAAGTAGAATTGCGCCATATAGAAGTGTTACGGCAAGGATAAGATGCCAGAATTTGATGATTCTTTGTAAAACTTTCCCAAAAAGTTCATCAAACAGAGCGCCAACCACAATGGATGACAAAAGAAGGTATAAACCGACTAAATTGATGAGAAATTGCCTTTAATACCACTTACAAAGGCCCGTGTTTGCTTCAATTTCACTTGAAAACCAATATTTGAAAGCTGATATCCATGTCCAATGTACCAGGTATACTGTATATGAGACTTTTCCAAGATACCCTAGCAATTCATTGGATAGAAATCCGTGCTGGTAGTCGGTTCTAATCAGCAATCCCGCGGATATTGTAACGAATAGACGGTTAAAACAAGTTGAAAGGGAGATCGGGATGATATTCGATGCTATGATGGCTGATAAGTAGAAATAGTAATAAAAAGTCGTGTTGTGCGAGCTTTTATCCTCTGAAAATATAGCTTTCTCCTTGTTATGTTACCCACCAAAATAAAAAACAGTGACCCCGCAGAGGAATTGCCATAATCGACAATGTAAAAATCCATGGGATAAGGTCTCTGACGAGCAGATTTGAAGGGAAAACGAGGTGATCATGAGGAAAAGCAACGTGAAATATCGATAAGTCTTGCTTAAATTGTTCAAAAGTACCACGAATAATGGAGCGATGAGATAAAATTGTAACTCCAAGCAGACTGACCATAAATGGAGAAGGAATTTCCAGCGATGCAGCTAAAAGAATTCTCTAGCTTGAATTTTTTTGCTTGCTCTGTTCGGAATAGTTGATATTATTAGACTTACCAATGTGAAATACCCTTCTGTCAAGAAGATTGGGGCGATGTTTGCCCAGTAAAAGATTACGGTATAAGAATCCCAGATGATTTGAGGGTATTCTGCTGGTGATATCAAGTACAACGAAGCCCAAAGAAATAACGAAGTTAAGGATAAATAAGGAAGGAGAATCCTTCGAAGCCGACGAAAGAAAAACGTTGCGATAGTTTTGCAGGAGATCTCTTGTGAGGACAAAATTGAAGTTATCAGGTATCCAGAGATGACAAGGAATCTGGAAGTTAATCCTCAAAATCAAAGGAATTCGAGCAGTCATTTCGTAGAAATACATTTTAGGGGTTCTAAGCTTGACTCGACTCACATATCGACTCCCAAGTACCCCATGGGTAAGATCTCCGGCCAAATATGATAAATCAACACAAAGATCATAGCAATTGCCCTGAGGCCTTGAATGTCTGATCGAAATTTCATGTGAAATAATAGATCAGCCAATGTTCCAAATTTTTAAAACAAGCAAATCTTGAGAAGTTCCACCCTCTGGGATTTGAATTCCGATAATGTTGAAAGAATTCATCAACTGGACCTCCCATAATTTGGCCTTGAGATTACAAAAGATTAACTGTAAATCAAATAGCGAACTCATTCCGAGAATATTTATGGCTATTTAGTAATATTGTCGGCACTTGTTTTAACAAAAAATTATTTTCATCTGCGCAGTGACTAACCCCCTTTTAATAAATTTCGAAAAAGAAAAAACCAACAGTTGATAATAAATTTATTCTCAAAAATATTGTTAAAGCAAAAAAAAATTAGAAAATTAGACTAAATATTCTTAAGACTGGAATATAATTATACTTGTAATGATACAGAGAGCGACCAGGTTACCGTAATACCTAATGGGGAAGGTATAATATAAAAAAACCCGACAAAAGTCACTTCATCGAGTAAAATTTATATTACACCAGATAACAAAAAAAGTTACAAACCATGGAGGATATTTAGTTGGGAGTGGAGGCTTTGGCGTTCGTTTACAGCAGTCTTAGCAGAGTGATGGCTTTGAAAAGGTATCTCTTCAATCCCATAAAACATTCTAGATGTTATAAAGGGTCGAAAAGTCATAACGAATAGCCGACTGAAGGTAATTATCACTTGAAATGGACTGCAAAACCCATAGATCATGAGATTTCCACAACCGTTAGAATTTAGAGGGATGTAAAAAGAAAAAAATATTTTTTTAAATTAAAAAATTCGTAATTCTTTTTACGTCTAGAGCATAAAACATCGCCAAAAACTTGATTCGTCCTAAAGAAATTAGCTGTTACACCACAAAAAAAGACCCAGAATTCATTGGAACCTGTAAAATCTGTATGTAAAAAGTCAGTTTAAGGAACTGCTCGTTGACTCAGGGGTTCTTGATATGTCCATCCATCCTCGCCGACCTTCTTGAAGAACTTCTGTTGATGGTCTATTCCCTTCTCCAACCTTTCCTTGGCCTCATCTCTCTGCCGTTGTTCAATATATCTCTTGGCATTCGACGCGATATTGATCTTGTTTCTGAAGAGTGCGGCGGTGACATGACGCCATAGGCGTCGGCTTTCCCTTTCCGATTGTTTGGCGACAGGTTCGCATTCCTAAAATAGAACATTACGAATTGCGCATAAACGTTACATAACTTTCAAATTTGTCTACTACAATATAAATCCCTACCTTCTTGACTTCTGGTTTGGCCTTTACATCGATGAACAGCTGTTCATCCGCAGATCCTCGCTTCGCAAAGATCAATCCATTCCACTCTCCTCTCAGAGTCATAAACGGTTTCTTCATTCCCTGTTTATAAAGATTTCCCGCAATTCTGTGAGGTTTTCCGCCGAAGATGGGCTTGGTCAGGAAGTCGATCTCGGCGTGGTAGCCCGTCTTTTCGCATTTGACTTCAACTTTTCCACCGAGCTCTACCCATGGAGTTCCCATGATGGAACGGCCGTATCCATTGGGGAATGTGACCACATATTGTTCATCATATTCGTGAAGAGTTACCGTGGCATGTCCAATATTAGCGACACCTAAAAACAAAACTTTATATATTGCAACTTCAATTCTGCAATAAAAGCAACTTCAATACATCAATAAACACGTCAACTTACCAATCGACAACCCAAGGAATGAAGACTTGGTCCAAATATGAGCGCAAAGCGAAATCTTTTTACCCGGATGTTCAGCATAAAAGGCTGATATTGGGGGATGATGGGAGACCTGTTCGGCGATGAATGTCACCTGATTCACGTCACTTCCCGGGAATGGACCCGACTTTGTTTTCTCTCCGGATGGAGACTGACCCGGGACAGACCAGCGACAGCGGAAAGTCTCACCGAGGATCGGATTGTAGGGCTTCTTGGCCACACCCGACTTCCGGGCTGGGTAAAACGCGTTCAGATAGTAACGGACAACCGCGACGAAGCGTTCTTCTGGCGTGTTTATGTCAGAACTGCGGACAAAATCTTCGGGATGGGTGAAGAAGTCAGCGTACATCTCGAGGAGGGAGCGACGTTCCAGGATGAAGGTCGGAAGGGTCACCTTAGTCAGGTCCATTCCAACGCTGACCTGCAATACGAATAGTAAAATCCTCGTCAACTTTGAAATCACATGTATCTAAATCCAAACAAAAAATAAATTTTCTTACCTGACTCAGAAGATGCATCAAGACACTGCCATGTTGTTGCTGGACATTTCCGAGCTCGGACTCATCCGTGTTTTCATAAATGGCATCAAAGTCTTCCTGACTGTCCCCCCAATCTGGTTCATCCGTCTTCTCCGCCAATTTTGCTGAGGTTCGTCGATTCATTGGGTCACGGTTCTCATTACCGGGCATGTCCTACAAATAATCATGTTATCCATGAGATCACCCTCTCCAAATTTAAAATAAATAAATTTTGAATCCTACCTGGCTTGTGGCCGAGCCCTCGGGTTCGTTCCGACTTCTGACACTGTGCTTGTGTCTCCTGTTCCGATGATGTCCGTGATGATGTCGATGACTGTGAGACGGTTGATTTAAGGAAGGGGCCGCGTCTTGGGTGGGGAAGGCCGAGTGAGATTGCTGCGGGTAGATGGGCTGGTCAGTCTCGGTGCAATCGGAGGGGCACTCGTCGTCGTAATCGCTCAGCTCGTCGGAATCTCGATCGTATCCTCCGGAAGTGGCGTCAAAGAATTCGTCGTCTTCGCTGCTCGAGTAGGTGATCTGAGGGGGAAGGACGGGTGGCTATAAGATAAAAAATTAAATTCTAACAGCGACTTAAAACAACCCCCAAAATAAACAGTTCAACTTAATTTTATACAACAAATCCCCGATCCCGACCCGAAAAATCATCGGGCCCTTCAAAAACAGTCTCGAACAAACTAAAAATAATCTACACGTTTCGAAGACCATCTAAACACAATTTATCATTACAAACGACGCTTACTCTTATCCAGAAACAACCGCCAGAGCAAGAAAATCAGTAAGAATGAAAATTTCCGGCCAAAATTTGCAAATAACAAATCCTCCGAGATTTTTAAACTTATTTTTGATGAAAACGCGCCCAAATTACAATGCATTGTGCGGCAAGCACGTAACCTATTGCACAGTGCATGCACTTCGTTGCGGACTTCACCCGCAAACAGATTCCGAATATTCAAACAGAACAAAAAAGCGAGATTCCATTTCCTCCATAGACCATTAAAAATTCCCAAAAATGTAATGTTCGGAGCATAAATAAACACATCCAATTTTCATTAGACCCCCAAAATATTTGAAATTCAATGCCGGAAATTGGAGTGGAAAATCCAACAAAAAACCTTCCGGTTAAAACAAAAAAATCTCCGATGTTATACTTCTATCCAAAAAATTGAGGGAAGTTTTTAGCCTTAGGGGAAACGGAAGACCAATATTAACTATGGAAATAATGAAAGTGTGAATCTCCAGATATTAGAATGGGCTCTTTGAAAGGACATTCTAATATCAGAAGACTCTTGGAACAAAACCTCTTGCGTACTTTATTACTTCCAAGAAAACAATACACTTTAACTCTTACAAACCGATGAGAAAACAGTTACAAATTGAGAAATCATTTTGAAACAGCCATTAACAACCAGGAACTCCACTCAATCATCGCAGTTAACCGTAAAAAACGTAGGGTCATATTATTACAGCTCAATAAAACCGTTCCTTTTCCAAGAGAATGATGTTTCCGACATTCTCCTTCAAAAACTTCAGAGAAAATATAAAATCCCGTGAGTTCCTTAGCACTTCAGTTATTCTTAGCGCGTGTTTAAAAAGAAAAAACACGCCTCTTTTATTTACGTCTTCATCTGGATAAATGTTTTCTTTTACGTCGCGTGTCGGCGAGGGAAATGGCTGTTCTTGGAGAGTACGGCAAAAACAAGGACAACGCAACAAAAGCTCATTTCGTTTTCTACAAGATACGAAATCTCCAGAAAGCCCGAATTCTCCAAAAGAAGCAACGATGAAGACCGAAAGTGTGGTCAACAGCTGGATTTAGAAACTTTATTTACACTGTAACTCTTTTGGTCAAAGGAGTTACAGTGTACATTTAAGTTCCAGAAGCCCGAAATTGCACTGACTTCCAAACTCTTTCTTGGCTTCAAAGTCAAAAAATTTTCTTGGCCCGCAGAGCCCTTTGGGGACATGAGAAAATTGCAAACTTATAAAAAAAGATAAGAAAGCTGGGAAAGAAACATCCTTTTGACGTCACAGTTTGGCCGAGAGTTCGAGGATTCACTTCAAACAGATCCAACACATCGAAATGTTGAAAATATGATGAATCCCTACAAGCAATAACTGAAGAAACACACAAACCATGGACATCGCTAACTGGTCAGAACGGGCTCGGTAGATTATTCAAGCTATAAAATAATCACCATATTTTCAACTACATGATGACATCAGTTACCACTGACTTACAGGACTCCAGTGTTCAGAGAAGTCAAGTAGCCTCTGGTCTACCCGGAACCCACTTGAAAGTCATTCTGGGCTTAAAATTTCACCCAGAACTCGAGGGCATTTACTTTTTCGGGCCGTTCGTTGTAATTGAAAGCCTTATTTGAGGAAGAAGATGGCTGAACCCGGAGGCCAAATGAGGGGAACGCCGACCGTTCCTCGGCCCCAAATCTGCACAGGAAAAAACAAGGGGCAGATAAATAGACATTGATTGTGTTCGGCTTATAATTACAACAATACCCAGGAGAACGCAAAAAGTAAATCGGGCCCTTATCATTGCGACAAATCAGGGATAATAACCCCGTTCCCAGTCAAAACACATCAATCAAATGAATTACCGACCATTTTTTTGGCCTCTCTTGGTCTAGTCAAACAATTTACTCGGCAATACTACACCCTCGACCTGCATTCCAACCCCACACGCAATCCCAAAATCGAAAATTTTCATACAAACATCAAGTATAATATAAAAATTGAAATCTCTCTACAACCTAAGCTCAAACATTCAGGGTAAAAAACGTGCGAGCCACTTTAATATGGTGGATCATGGGGTAGAAACCCGTGCGCGAAAACCTAATCAAAAGCCCCCATTCATACAGGTCGGCTCGCGTTATTTGAACTCCGTTTTAACAACCGAAATACCATCACGTAATGCGATTTCCGTCATTTTCACGTCGTTTGCAGAGGACTGTAAACTTAAAATAATCTTGAGAAACCACTCAGTTGACATTACAAAAAAAACTTTTTTGGTAAAAGCAACTGCATCTCTTTTATGCCGAAAATTCCCGATTGGAAGACAAGATAACAGGCCCAAAGGGAAAAAATCGCGCAGACATCAAGTTCTTCAGATTGCATCTTCAGAAAACATTCAAAGTTGTCTTCTTAACAATATTTTGACTCATCTTCAAACACCAAGTTCAAAGCAACCTCTACAGCAACGTAAGAAATGATATACAAATTTATCAGCTACACTATGTCCTCCCGCAAGAAAGAATTTACAATTCGTGTTGGTGACGAAAGTGAAACACATCTATTATATTACACAAGCCAAGCATTTTGCTGCTTGAGCATTACTTCACGGGCCATTACTTCCCAAATGATATCATAAAACATTCGACAGACATCCCCACTCATATATCACTGACATGTTCCAAACATATATCATCCGCACTATGAATATCACTTCAATTACCTGCATCTATCACAACTTAACCAATAACCTAATAAAAAACAAGAACCAACCTCTTCTTCCAAACGCCCTTCGCCTTTTCCGTCAGTTGTAGTTCCATTTTGAGAATCATTAAGATGAGGTTGGAACTTCAATTGAACCTGTTTTAAGATGATTTGTGAATGCTCGACAGTATTCTGAAGCCTCCTGGTGGTCAATAACACTTCGTTTAGATATCGCTTCTTCTTTTCCTCGGCTTTCTCGGAGTTCGCGTTCAAGGTTTCTAACTTTCTCACCTAAAATAAAAAAAAGATCCTGTAGAATATAAATACGGGAAAACTTTTGCCATACGTACTACACAGGACTGTTTGACTAAAGCCAAATAATGTAAAAGAAAAAAAACATACAATCTCCAACAAGTCGGTCAATTGTCGTTCGGCAAGTTTGACTCGGTTGTTGAGATCAGCCACCTGATCGCCAGGCCGGGGTTTGTAGATGCCGCTCTTCATGTGAATAACTCTTTCCAGTTCCTTTACCCACATATCCCTCTCTTTCACGTCCTTCCCCTAAAAGATCAAAACAAATCAAACATGCAAAGAGAAAAGTACTTTGGAGGTTATGATTAACTTTATAAACCATTCTCGATATTACTTTGGCTTGTCTAACAAAAAAAGAAAAGATAAAGATCTTTTGTAAACCAATAGGAAACTTGAACGTGATGCTTACCTGTAAATGGAAGACTTTTCCATCGACGGAGATTGTAAACAGAGCCGCATTTTCTCCGTCAATCCCAATTGTAGCTCCATTTAATCTAATACACCCTCTCTGCTGACCTCTGATCATTTTGTCTCGACTAGTGTAATAGGACAAGGAATCCTCATTCAGCACAAAGTATCGGTATTGCCATCCTTGGACTACATTCGTCCATTTGGACAGAGAACCCTCCATGGCTGGGAATTCTTGTTCCGCGGTTCCTAAAGACAAGACCAATAAAAAACGAAGAAGAAATTACCTGAAGCACTGGCTAAACTGTTAACTGAAGCGGCCGAAAACTTGACTGGACTGGCAGAATTGTTCCCCTGAGTTTCTGTTTGATTCTCAATTAGATCCTCACACTTTCGGACTTTGTTTGACTTCTGCGATCTGCAATTAATTGTAATTTTTACAATTGAATCGAATAATTCTGAATGTAAATATGGGGCCTCGACTAAACATGGAACTTCAAAGAGAAATGGGAAGAAAGCCGATGTTTATTTTTGGTATTTGGGCGATAAGTGGAGGAAAACAGGCCAAAATTTGCGGAAAAAACTGGGCTAGAAAAGAAATGTGTTAATTAGATAAGTTCTGGACGGGAGAACACAAGAGCTGATGACTCACGGTGTCAACATTCTCATGAGGACCTTTAGGACTAGTGTTTGCAAACAAGAAAAACATAAACTAATCAGACGCAAAGTAATTCGATTTGGAAGGAGAAAGATGAGAAACAGCCTCACTTTACCAGCCTTTTATTTAGTCTAAAACTAAAACGGAAAAGAGCCTCGAAGAATTTGTTGAAGTAAAACAAATTCCTCGTAACAATCCGCGGTCCCTATTCCCAACCGGAAATAACCGAAATCTTTGATTTATGATCGCCTAAAAAGCTGATAAACATTTTCCCCTAACTTTATAACGGACATCTTAACTGCTGACAAAAGCGGCCTCAAAGCGGAAAGAGTAAAAGAAATCGAGGTTTGCTTGACTTTACCTGCGTTTTGACTTGTGTTTCGACCAGAAATGCCGTCTTTTTCGGGAGGAGGAGGCCTTTCGTCTGCGCTGTCTCATTCCGCGGGCCAACAGCCTTACGGAATGGTCAAGTTTCTGGCCAAACCAATCCAGTTTATCACAAATTTTGGAGCAAATCTTTACAAGTCGGAGCGAGAAATGCTCGGGAAAGCGTTTTCGGATTAAAGTTGTCGGTTTGGGCCTTTTGAGGGGCGAACTCTGGTAGAATATGAAACAAAGAGCGTTTGGGAGATGCGGGCAATGCCCATGCGAACACGGTAAACCCCTCGCACAATACAATTCACATTGTTCTAGACGCTTTGCGGGGAGGATTTGGGCCGGAAATGGCAGTGTTTGTAGAAAAATTGACTTCAAATTATAGAGTCTGGCACATAAAACATGGCCACGGCGTGCGTGACACAAAGGGAATACGACGACAAAACATTACACATCTATAATCCCAATTTGAATGGGGAGGGTTACTTATCATAAATTAGAAACTGACGGGTTCATTAGAATGGCGAAAGTTTCTTTATCGCTGTTTTGTAACGAAATGGCATCATGCACAACACAAAAAAATTGTCAAAACTAGATCTGTTATAAAAACACCCTTTCCAATTCATTTTAGTATAAAGCATCATAAATAAATCCATTAGCACCTGCCATACTCCAAGCTAACTAATTCAGATTCCATCTGCACAAATATAGCCCTAAAATTGTGAAAATCCTCATTAAAACGAGAGAAGAATCTGGAAAACAGAACGGAAAGAGATAAGTCAAAAAGCGCGTGTCCACCCGTTCCACTGCAGATGACATGCCATGTGGAAGAGAGGGCTGGGGAGACGGGGAAATGTCGCAAGGCGTTCATGACATTTCTTTCGGTTCACTCAAGTCATGTAAGTAGGATCAAATCAGGCCCTAACAACGATTATAAACCAAGATTAGGTTTAATCAAAAAGAAAACAAGTAAAAATCTGGCGAGCTTCGTGGTTATTCAATGGAATTCAAAAGGAAAAAGAAAAAATACTTGTCAGATAAGTCACCCAAATGTCTCCACAGAATCCCTCAGCCATTCTGCAGACCTCAAACAACACCCATATTATATTATCCTTTCCAGCCATCTTCCTCCTCTTCCCGCACATATAAATTCACTCCTACGAGGGCCTCGGAAAACTGCCAGAAAACAAAACAAAAAAACCTCGCCGGACTAATAGCCTATAACATCCATCGCCGTTCCGTGGCGAGTCAAAAAGTCGGATGGAAAAGTGGCGTTTCCCGTTTCGCAGTCCGTCTTGGGCCGTTGGCAGGATAATTGTGAGTTCGTTGAAAGTGCACTGACAAGCGGATTAATTTAATCAAGGCAGTTGCGGCCGAATTTCAAGTAAAAGAGGTCCTACGTCAGATATTTGTGGATTTCGCTGCTAAATCTTCAGACGAAAAGGTCAGAGATAATTTTATGAGACTTTTCGCATTAGAAAAAACGTAAATCTCATGCAGAAATACGTAAACAAGAATAACACTAATATTATTCGCGGTGAAGAGGAAAGGCCATTCGTCGCTCTCAAAGTACAGGGTGGTTCAGCCGAAGCTTCCATCCTTATTTCAAGTATTTCTCCGCCGATAATGCACCAATTTTTATAAAATTTATATCAAATTGAAGCTGATGTTCCCCATTTTTTGTCCACCAAATATGACAGGGTCAAGTTCAAGGATACCCCGTACTGACCTTTGACATTTTCATTCCAAATTTTGGAGCCCGAAATCGGTGAAACAGCAAATTTTTGGAATGATTTTCAATTGAGTTTCTCGGACTTGGAAAATTTTAGGATTTCCGGCAAAAACAAAGTCGCCAAATTCGATGAAAATTTTTAAAAAAAGGTAAGGTTTACAGAAGTAGCAAGTAATTAGGAGTATTCCGTTGACTGCCGTCAATTTTTTCACCTACATCTAAATGTCTTATTTAGCCAAAGACTCGAATATTTTCCAAGTCCGAGAAACTCAATTGAAAATCATTCCAAAAATTTTCTAAGTTTCACCGATTTCGGGCCCCAAAATTTAGAATGAAAATGTCAAAGGTCAGTACGGGGGTATTCTTGAACTGGGGCCTGTCATATTTGGTGGACAAAAAATGGGGAACCTCAGCTCCAATTTGATATAAATTTTATAAGAATTGGTGCATTATCGGCGGAGAAATACTTGAAATAAGGATGGAAGCTTCGGCTGAACCACCCTGTACTCTGAGGACACTATTTTCGCAACTCGCTCAATCTAAAAATGGAAAAGAATGTAAACATAAATAGAATACCACATGAATAGTAAACTAGAGCCTTCGAGAGCTCTTCGAGACGACAAAAAAGCTTCAAAAGACGGGAAGACCGAAAACTGGCAAGTTCCAAATCATCCGCAATTTCTCCAACCCATCCATTCACGCCGTTTACCCCCTTCATCTCGTCTTTGAACCGCATTTCTTGTTTTGACATCGAAGCTTCGGAAGAAAATAAGAAAAATAATCCGTTGACACTTCGACACGATCAATACAATTTGTGACATTTCGTTAAATCGTACAGATTTTGCAGAATGGCGATAAAAGCTGTGCGGAACTGGCAAGATTAGAATTGAGTTAGTCTAATCAGTGAATATTCATAAGGTTACGAGAATAGGAAACTTTTTTGACACTTCGCAACAATCAATAAACGCGGGACATTTCGCTGAAATAAATAAAGTTTTTGCGAAAAATGAAAGCGAACTAAAAAGTGATAGATAAAGTTCGATTTGGGGACTCTAAGCCTCTTATTAGAGTCTTTTCTCAAACAGATAGATACTTTTTTTGTCGGGGGTGGGGAGAAGGTAAGGGTTTTTGTCGGATTTCCAAATTTGGAGTAATCCAAATAAGCCGGAAACACCTGTAAGTAATGTCAGATGGATTAATAGTTGCCACTATTTTATTAAGAGCAAGAAAAGCCAAATTTATTTGATTCTTTGGCTTTGTATTGGAGAATCTATATTTTTTTGATGAGTTTAGACCAAAATAATCTTAAAGTAAGGTGTTATTGATAGCGAATGACTCACTTCCTTGATCCAAACGATTTCAAGGACATTGTGGAGGGATTCCTCCTGGGTAGATTGGTGGAATCCATAATTACTGGTGGATCCGAGTTCCTGTGACCTTTTTTGAACTTCTCGACACCCAGAGCCCGGGCCATTCGTTTGCGCATCCGATGGAGCTCCAAATAAACAAAATACAGTCGGTTGATGGTTTATGACAGCTGAAATGCGCTTGAGGTTATTATGGTGTAAAACGCGGGGAAAGTGCGAGTTTATGTACTAATGACATTCGATGATTTATACTTGGGATAATGGAGTTTTTACCGCGATAGATTGAGGGGATATGACCGGGAAAGATAATATGTTTCGAAATACGGAACTTTGCATTCCAAAAGCGTCCAAAAAACACTGGGTAATGTTATCTATGACTATAACATTTTTTAAGGACAATACCTAACATTTTTTATCTCATTTTCTGATCTCTCTCTCTCTCGACTATTCCAACATAAGAATTCCCCCTCGACCTTATTTTGATCGCTCACTAGCCACCTTGTAAGGGCAATACGTGCCTCTTGATTTGATTATCTCGTCTCACGTTCCCAATTCTAGTTCTACAAACATTTTTATTTCCTTTTCCGGTCTGACCATAAAAATAGTTTCCCCAGGGCATTTTACATTTTTATTCGCATTATGCCCTTAACATCTATCCTTACATTCTCAGGTCTGTTCGCGAACATTTTAAGGAGTGGGGGGATTCCGAAGACAATGGCATAAAAATAGGTGGGAAAGGAGGGGAATTTGGCGCTCCAGGAGATTAAAGATGCGGACTGCATGTTGTAGATGAGGTCTTTGTTAAAAGTAAGACTCCTTGAAGAAGGTTCATCTTTTCAAAAGGTTTTGGGAAAGGGTGTTACGTCATAAGCACGCAGTATTGGGCAAAACGGAAGTGGATTTAGTTAAAAATCGGTTTCAGTGATCGGCCATGCCATTATTTATGCAAAAGTATAGCCCATTACTAATCGCAGACGCTTGTCATTTCCATTCCAAACTTAATTAGGCATCCCGTCCTCCCCGGAAGCGGTCCCTCTCCTTTTTTATCCCTTTAATTGGAAAAAGTGACTCCAAATTCGGGCTATTGATAAACAACGCGAAGAAATCCTCGATTAGAGCGCCTTTGTTCGCTCCAATGTTTTATGGGAAAGCAAGCGAATGGTCGATATTTCAAATATTTGAAGAAGAATTTTTAAGTGCCAATTCTATATGCCCTTAGGGTTTTTAGGGATTCTGCAGAAAAGCGTCTTCTTCGCGGGTTGTTATTTGATTCACCGTGTGTTTTTTGGATTTCATTTTAACTACTTTTCCTTTGCTGGAATGAAATGCCACAGGGAAAATTTGAGTTAACAAAAGCAAATATGATATTATGATAGATTATAAGTCAGCGACCTTTTGAACTGACTTCATAAAAAATTTGTTTCCCTAGCAAATATGACATTTTTTGTCATAATTTTTTGTTTGGAAGAAACCAAGTTATTGTTTTTTCGAAGTTTAGAACCACAATGCTTACTAATACCCTCAAGTTTCCAACAAAACGTGTTAGAAATAATGACTTTCCCAATTCCGACATGAGTAGGTGTAATGGGTCCTAAGAGCATTCCAAAATAACTAATTTCGAATAAAACCCCGTGACTGCCCGTAAATAGAAGCCTCGAAATATTTTGGAAAGATAGATTGGAAAACGGACTTTTTACCTAAGGGCCCGAGAAAGGGAAGAATGGTCATGCCTTTTTTGGAAGAGAAGAGTCCAGGAATAGGTAAAAGCAATAGAAGTAAAAAGAAGTTCTAAGATAACCAACAGCACTTTTTTTCGAAATATCTCGAGGTTATTAGTTGTTTTCAAGGAGTTGAAATCTTTGTTTTCTGCTGTTCATCTCGGGCAGATCGAATTTTTGGTTGATAATCTGATTATCCAAGGGCCGATTTAACTTTTTGGCTAGCTCTTGAACGCTTGGATACTTAAATTTACAAGCCATAATTTCAATCTGCCAGTCGTTTCCTTTAGTAAATTTTCAAAATCTAACGTAAAATACTCTTTTTTGGGTGAGTCATGACAACATCTTTACGGACGATGAAATATGGCCTGCCCCCGGGCTTTCACAGGATTGCACATCTTACTTTCTAAAAATTTTCCAAAATTTTTAAGCCGCGTTTTCGAAAATCGCCTTAATTTTTCGCTCGTATAGAGCGATATTTTCATATTTTCACTAATATTTTTTACGAAAAATAATTTCAGTTATGTAACCAACAGTAGAGTAAGATGCTATGTTATCGAAAACTGCGCCATTCAATATACATTCTGCTGTGCGTCCCAGTACTTTTATTGGTTATTTTGTACAGAAAAGTGGATTTTAATGAGGTAAGTTGATAAATTATCCAAAAATGAATATTCCCGGATGAAACATGTGCAAAAAGATTTCGGAAAAAGTATTTTTAATCCCAGAAAACACAAAAAACAGGAAAAGCAACAAGTTGTTATCCGGTAAAATGAGACCTCGGGGATTTCAAAAGCTTTAGAAGTAAAAAAGTTTTAATCCGGAGTAAAAAAAGGCCAGCTTGACCCCTGAATAGAGCCACCTCTCTTTTACTTTACACTCGACCGCTGTTTTCCTGTCCCCAAATCTCTTTTTTCAGGACAAACAAACAAAAAGAATATTGGTTCCAGACAAAATTCAAAAAAGTTTTGTCGAAAAGTTGGATTTGCAATGAAAGAAATGCAGATTTTTAGCTAAAAAAGATGATTTTGAAAGAAAAATCTAGCAAATCCACAGTTTCCGAGATGAAATAACCTAAGGTATTTTAATAGTATCAGAACCGGACAAAAAAATTATCAGAAATAGTGATTTTCCTAAAGAATTTAACTTTGAGACTAAGAATTTAACGGAGATCTTGCAGAAAACACAAGTGGAAGATGACTCAATCCGGCTGGAATCCTTCAGATTGCGTCAAAAAAGTGAGTGTTCCTATCAAAAATTCAGAAAAGAAATCAATTGTTAAATATTCAGTCATCAAAATAATCTAATAATACGAATTTTTTGAAGAAAAACCTGACTAAAGTAAGGTGAAAGTGATTGATTGAAGTTGGAATAGTAAAGAACTTGACCATTAGATGGTTTTGAAACAGTTTTTCACATTTCCCGCATTAGATTTTACTCACAAACCATAAAAAATAGGTTTTAGACTTTTTTGATATTATCAGTCTGTCGGAAAAATAACGGCGGATCGTCGCATCAAAATGTCTCGCCTCGCCGCTGTCGCGCATCAAATCCCAATCCGCGGCTTGCAGTCGCAAAGCGATGATGGGCGATTCCGAGGCGCGACGATCCGCCGTTTTTTTCCCGACAGACCGATATACTAGGGACAAAAAGTCCGTAGAATTTTTTCGCCGCCGACGCGGGGAAATGCGTGCTGCTAGTGGAAAAACGGGAAGTTGTACTTGCCCTGGTAGACGCTGGTTTTCTAATTGGTCCCTTTTCGGAAAGTAAATGAGCATTATAAGTGGACTGGATGCGAGGAAATGCGTTGTTGGCAAGTTATACGAAAAGATAACATCCGGAATAAGGGACAAGATTATGAAAAGGAAAAATACTATTTTCAGGCTTTTGTGGACGGGATATTGAGCTGATTTACAACGATACGGAATATCCAGAATGTCTGCAAAAGTTACAATGGATGACTGAAAAATGGAGTTCAGATAAATGCTATGCGGAAAATGGAGTGGACGGGTCCAATTGCAGTGTCTATAATTACATATCAAACGTAGAGAAACATTGCAGAACTATCGGGAATAATCAAATGTAAGATTGGAAAAAATAAAATTTACTTGATGCCAAGTATATATAAAATAAGTAATATAAATTCTTCCAGTACATATCAGCCAACCCCTTTACTGCCTCCGAAACCATTGGACATTGAGGATTTAATGGCTAGAATGTCTGACCATCCCACTAATTACGACTTCATCAAACGCCGAATCCGGGAATTGGCCCCGAATTGGGAAAAGGCGCGACAAAACTTGGCCGCCAAACGATTTGTGCGCCCGCAAAAGGTATGAGATTAGCCGAGTTATATCCGGGACTGACCCCAAATGGCTAACATGCCAGGAGCTTGCGTTAAAAGCCCGCTTAGAGGATTAGGATCCATTTTAAATAGATTTGAGGGGCCAGTGTAATAACATTATATGCGGGATGTAGCTTGCATTATAAGCTCGGAGTCGACATGGATGTCAAACAAAATTAGAGCCCAACAGCAATTTACTGTGTTCTAGATCTTCCTCTACCTGGGCTTCCTCACAGTGAAGAAGAATAATTTGGCGGAAGCGGCCGACAAGGGCGGCCCGTTGGGAGAGCTGGTCCAATGGAGCGACCTCATCGCCTCTGTGGCCACTTTGGGTCATAATATAAGTGTCTTTGGAAATTGGAGTCGATTCAAATCGTGAGTTACAATGATCCTAGCCTAGGTCCTTATACCAAGTATAGGACTTTAAGCTTTATAAATTTACTATACATTTTGTAACAGAAAACGTGAAAATCCAAAAAAAGAGGATGGCCAAATATGGCCTCGCAAATGGAAAAATAAACTTCAGATAAGGATGGCACGTTGTAAACACACGGCGGCAAAGTTTACACGGAAGTTCGGGAACGGAAAAGGGGGACATTCGATATCTCTCATTTTTTTGCATTTAAAACCCACTAATCCTACTGTAAACTATATATTATGATTGAACATATAAATGAAAGTAAACTAAAATTTGATGGGTAAAACAACGTATTTTTGGCAATGTTGGGCACTTTATCTCCAATTCGAATGTTTTCAGAGCCCTAACTGAATTGGATCAAATTTCGGCATGTCCTAAGAGCACAAGTGAAGCGCCGACGGTCCTAATTTTCATCGACATAATGGGATTGCGCCACATTCGAATGAGACTGAAGACATTTTATGCGCAGAATCTGTAAGTTCAAAAAATAAATGTGGAGCAGAAATCTGAACTGTTTGCGAACGTAAAACAAATCAATTACTGACTTCAGATGCCGCTTTCGAGTGTTAGATTCGTTCGGAACACACGCCGAATTCAACCATCCCACCTATTTTCGGAAGAATTACAAATCTCTGGGCGCCAAATCGTTGAAACAAAACCCCTGGGGCGGAAATGGCCTTAATTTGAAGCAGTTCCTCACGTTGTATCCCCACACCGATGACAATACTTTCCTCGGATTCGTGGTGCAGACTTTTGAACAGGAGGATACGAAGAGGGAAAATTGGACGGTAATCTACGGAAAGGAGGCTTATATGTGGAAGGATGCGGGAAAAGTTTTACAGGTAAGAGATACAGAACATACGAAGACTCACTTTATCAAAGGCTTTGGTCAAAATTAAAAAAAACCTTGTCGCCTCCAGTTCTATAAAATGATGACGATCATGACGAATTTTATAGAACTGTTTACGTATTTCTCTAGATCGCTTCGGAATTCACTCAACTCCACGCCACTGTGGAGAATGCAACCACAGCCAAGGAATATGCAAATGTCCCCTTCGAGAATCACGGCAATCTCCCGGCCGAGAAATTCCACGGCCTTCTCCGAAAGGCCAAGGTTTTCCTTGGTTTAGGGTTTCCCATCGAAGGTCCCGCGCCCCTCGAAGCGGTGGCCAATGGGGCCATTTACTTGAATCCGATATTCAAAACGGCCAAGAGTCGGAGGAATTACACCTTTTTCGCGGAGAAACCCACTTTCCGCAAGGTAAGCCGCCATTTTTATATTGTGCTAGACGACTGCTAGAAATCATTAAAATTTAAACCCAAAATTTTTGGAAGCTCTCGAGAAGAACCCAAAAACATCCCGGATGTTGGATATAGATTGAGAATTGAGAGATTCGCGCCACAAATATCTAGCTTTACCCCTTCATAGCAGCGATGGAATTGTCGCTGACCTCGAGAAAAGAGAAGACTTTCCCCTAATTTAATGCGAACGGGGAGAGAAATCAACGGGAAATCATAATTAGAAAGAGTCTAGACACCCATAAATAATATTTTTTGCATTATTTGCAATTGCAGATTACAAGCCAGAACTTCTATATGGATCGTTTCGTCGGTCGTCCTTATGTCATCAATGTGGATATTGAGGATGAAGAGGATGTCCGGAGGGCATTTAAAGAGGCTATGAACTCGAGCATAGAGCCCACTTTATCTTATGAGTTTACTTTTTTGGGGATGCTGGAGAGAGTATCGATTATCATATCCAAATTCGATTTCTGTTCGCCTGTGAGGAGAGATTGGCCGCCTTTCAAAGAGGCTGGAAGTGTGATTGAAGCTGATGCTGGGCAAAGCTGTGATGAGGCTTGTGCTAGTCAAGGGAGGCTATGCGAGTCCGAGTTTTTCAAATATATTAATCATCCCGTGGAGTTGAAGAGGTAAGGAGAACATTGAAAAAATCTTCATTTCATAAAACATTCCATGTTCATATTTCCAGACCATAAAATCCCACACGATTACGCGTTATTAATTTCAGACATGGGTGTTCAATCTCCACCATAGAATCAATGGCCGAGCCGTATTCTCCATCCAAGTGCAGCCTCCAAAGGGATCCGTTCTTATTCAGTTGCGCGACCCAACCTCCGGCACATGTACAACGAATTTGCCCATGTCGAACGCTCAATAGGAACCAAACTATACTTTGTGCAACCTGTTAGACTTTTTCATTCTTACAATAGTTTCTAATTTTATATCATAACTGTGCCTTTTCATTCGGGTATTCTTTTAATATTCAGGATTTTCATATTTTGTTATAATACTGGTAATAAACATCTTAGAGTTTATAAAAGTTTTGGTTCGACTAAAAATCTGGGATTTTAGAACTTTAATTTTTTATGTTTAATACTTCTGGTTCGAGGCTCACGGGCGACTCCATGATCATGCTGAAAAATTCTGCGTCTTTGTGGAACCAAAGATGTTGACTTTTATACTTCAATATTTGTTGTATGGAACGCCCTCAATTGACGGAAATAGAATATTTTGTTCGTATTTTGACTGGCTAAGAAACCGACAATCGTGACGGTTTGTTGTTGTACTGAGGCTCCATTATATTTATTTCTTATCAAGAACTCGGATGTATTCCTTAAATTTCAAAAAACAAAACAAACAGCGCTTTCTCACCGTATTCCTCTTGATCCAATCGGGGAATATCGAATGGCAAAAAGGCGTCCTTGGTTCCGCCCATCTTTTTTTGATCGCCAAACCTAAAACAATATGTCCGCCTCGTAGGCAGACGATTCTTTGTTTTCACTTTGAGTATATCCTTTAGTACAGCGTTAATTTAAAATTTTGGTACAGTAATCCCCTGAAAAACGACCCAGAGTTCTTAATTATTATGGAAAAGATTACTTATACTAGTTTTTTTTTGAGCAACTGGGACACCAGATTCTCAAAAAATTTTAAACACCCAACGCCGGGATGGATGATCCATTTTTACGTCGGAACCAGTTGTGTAATATCCCTTTAAATTTCGTGAAATTAAATGAATCGGCTTCTCATTAATGAGGGATGACTCCAGAAAGTAAATGAGTGCAAAAGCGATTGGGGACAGCTGCTCCGAGGGGCCAAGAGGGTTACGTTTTTTGGCGCATTCAATGAATCAAAATATTTGTAGAGATGTTGGGATGATTTGGAAATTTGTCATTAGGTAGATAAAATACATGTATTTATGTCGAATGCCTCTCAAGGTTTTGCTTTACAGCGTTTTCTTTGTTGGTCTAGAGACAGACAGTGATTTGAGAGCGGCTATGGCAATTTTATTCTTGTTTTGAGTACAATATCTTCCCTCTCGTATAATAGCACTCAAATTTCCCACTTTCCCAACATAACCTCCATAAAGCGTGTTTTCTCCGGTTTCTTGTCGCCTCCACTGATTTTATCTACCGAAATTTGGAGTGGCGTTTAAATTTGTTCTCCTTCAGGTTGGCGATGCCTTGTGTGGTGGAGAACCAGCTCGAGGTCTTCAGATCAGACCCCGTACTCTCACATTTGGCCCAAGGAACGAACATCCGATACGGTGCCTGTCTCCATGCTCCAGAACAAGAGAGAAGAGAGAAGTTCCTTCAGGGCTTTAGAAGTAAACGACTGGCGATTGTGAGTGCTTGAGTTTATTTTTGATGGGTTTAGATGGATGTCTTGTGGCTTTAGCAAGGAGATAACGAGATATTACACTAGAATAAGTAACCGTGTTCCCTTTTTTGCCGTACCTTTATTATGATTAGTGCTAAAGTCCAGTTTAAAAGCAATATTTTTTTTGCATTGATCAAGTACAACGCTTTTGCCAGACATATATCAGGCCTTCGAATCTCTGCAGCTTAGCGCATAATCTCTTTTTGTATCTTATGTCATAAACATGATCGGGTATGACCTTTCCGTCCTTCAAATTAGAGGGCGCCAAATGTTTTTGTCATTGTTGATCCCGATCTTTACGACATTTAGCCCTGAAAAGTGATGCGCGACAAGATTAATAATCGAACGCATCGACGGACAAGTTCTTATAAGGCCTGAAAGTATTTATCCCGCGTGCGGCCAATTGGCTCAAAAAGATTTATTTATGGGTTCCGACAAGGGGACAAGATGTGATCGGCCACTAAAATAACGTTTTTATAAAAGCGACGGCAGAGTCAAAGGTGTCTGTTAGAACTTTTATGATCTCCAGATGACAGGATTACGGTAAAATACGAAGTCCCATTCTTCCTCCATAAAAGCGGGAGACTTGTTTTGGAGTCACCTTGTCTAAATTAATTTATTTTTTTCAGACCTTTCCTTCGCATGGAGTAAATATGGAGATAAACCTCTGTCCAGAAGTCCGAGAGCACAACAATGACATGATTTTTGAGAGTCAGTTTATCTTCAACGGAGTGTGCTGTCGCTTAAAAGGCCGCATTAATAAGAACTCGCTGGTGGGCACGGCTAAGCTTGAATTTGACGCCGAAACTGCTGAAAGGGAGGCCAAATTGGCGGCCAAAGCGCGGCCATATCTTCAGCGGATCACCAATTTGAGGAATCTGATCACCGGAACTCAGCCTCATTAACTTGGATCTTATTTTAGAACTCTTTTTACGGGTCTTATATAGTTTTTCTCAAAATTTTTATTGGCACTTTTATATAATTTCGCATGGTATATTAAATTTTTCACATCCTTATGAGTTTTTGACATATCAAATTTATTTTTGAGCAAATAAATATTGTACTTGAAAAATGATGATGAATTTTTTTCTACATAAGTTTTGTTATGCCTCAGATCAAAAAGATTCTTACAGCGTTAAACGAATCGCGTGAAAACGGTAATTAATCTTTCTCGTTTGCTTGGCCATCGGAATGTCGTAAAATTTTTCGATTTCAAAGGGATCTCAAGTTTTTTCAAATGGGATTTTCGAATTGAAATTGCATAAAAAATGTCAGAAAGAGTTCAAAATTATTAAAAGTTTTGCGTAAAACACGTAGTAAAGAGCATGGCCACGTATTTTTTATTGTAGATCACACCCGATGTCAACCTAATTTTATCCAAAACTGCCTTGTTTTTCTCAATCCTCAATTTTTATCTTCAAAAACAACGGAAGTTTTGGCCAAACAACTTCCGAACACCTTGTGGCCACAATTCCTTGCCCGATTCATTAATTACGACCGCATTCCAGACATTCGTTCAATCTCATTAATACTCATTTAAAAATCAATCTTCTCCTTTGTGAATCCGTGCCCTGAGGCAACGAACAGAAGTTGTTTGCACTGTGGCTTGGGATTTATAAAAAAAGCCACAAAAAACAGAAAATTAATGAGAGAAGGAGGCAAAGGCAAGGCGAAGAAGATATTCAGAGGTAAAATACGTCATAAAAAATCTGTAAACACTCGGGTTAGAAAGGAGTCGAAGCATTCCAAAGCATACAATTGCGCATAGTTTATGATTTTTTGGACATAAACCTAGAAACCTTTAGATTAAAAAATGGCGCTTATTGTTAGCATTCGATCTTCGCAATTTCACTCTTTATAAGTCATCAAATCTGGCATTCGGGTGTCCCATAAGTCTCGCTGTTTTACGAAGTTGAGGTTTACGGTCTTATGGAATGGAGTTAATGATAAATCGACAAAAAACTAGAAAAAATGTCGAAATATTAAAATAAATTGATATATCTATTTCCTGTTGAAGTAGGGCAAACTCTGCAGTCTAATAAATAGCAAGCGTCATCACAACTTGCTTTGGCGAATAAAAACGTACCCTTTGTCCACTCAATTCTCCATTCTTTCTTCGTCATTTTACCCCTTGGAATCTCGAGTAAATCGTTGAGACGATAACCGATGACGTCACTCCAAACACTTCTTCTCTTCGATTCCACACTTTGGAGACCCAAGAAAGTAAACGTGAAGAGGTACCTGATAGATTCCCCCTTTTCTATCGATTCGCTCGGTTTTTTACGTAAGACAACCAATTCCCCCAACGAATTGCGTTTAACCCTTTCCGGACGAGTCGGCACGTATATATTAAAATGAAAGAGGGTACCCTACTGAGTAACGGCATAATAGTGGTTCAGCCCATCGAAGCGTTATTTGGGACTTATGACAAAAAATGTCCTTAAAAGTACCCCCACTTGACATATCACTTTTAAAATTTTTGCGACAAGCTGTAAATCGGAAACTACACCTAAATTAAAGTCGAGGAGTCCTAGTATTGTTACATCCAAGAACTGTCCAAATCGGAGCACCATAGGATTTGTTATCGATTTTTGGAAATTGAATTTTTAATTTTGGTCAATTTTGGACCTAAAATCAAGTATATCTTCCGCCGGTATCAACCATTTCGGTCCAAATGTGGTTTTTCCGAATCTATTGTGATGCTACCTTCTTACTAGAATATTTCCAGAAAAAACCTATGAGGCATATTTCTGTAAAACGCGGAAATGTTGAAAACGTAAAGGTTTGATCGTATAAAATGTCGCCGCGAGCCGCGAAGGGACGGGCGCAGCTCGAAACGAGAAAATAATAATTTTTCTTCGAGAAATATTATTTTGATGTCGAAAAGCTGATTTCAACACGAAATACAGGCAGAAATAGCACGCAAACATTACAATGTCATTTTTATATTTTTACTCTGTTTTCAGGCAATTTCAATCGAGTTTAATTTGGTTTCACGCTAAAATCAAACTTCTCGAAAAATCTTAAAATATTTTCTCGTTTCGAGCTGCGCCCGTCCCTTCGCGGCTCGCGGCGACATTTTATACGATCAAACCTTTGCGTTTTCAACATTTCCGCGTTTTACAGAAATATGCCTCATAGGTTTTTTGTGGAAATATTCTAGTAAGAAGCTAGCATCACAATAGATTCGGAAAACCCACATTTGGACCGAAATGGTTGATACCGGCGGAAGATATACTTGATTTTAGGTCCAAAATTGACCAAAATTAAAAATTCAATTTCCAAAAATCGATAACAAATCCTATGGTGCTCCGATTTGGACAGTTCTTGGATGTAACAATACTAGGACTCCTCGACTTTAATTTAGGTGTAGTTTCCGATTTACAGCTTGTCGCAAAAATTTTAAAAGTGATATGTCAAGTGGGGGTACTTTTAAGGACATTTTTTGTCATAAGTCCCAAATAACGCTTCGATGGGCTGAACCACTATTATGCCGTTACTCAGTAGGGTACCCTCTTTCATTTTAATATATACGTGCCGACTCGTCCGGAAAGGGTTAACACCCTCAACGTTGTTTTTAGTTACAGCTATTTTTGTAATGTCAACGGGTAGTATCGGTTGTTAATCATGGCTTTATCCCATCAATCGGCGATAAAGAATCCGCCGGCCGAGAGTCTGGCCGCTTCCTCGACCCTGGAAACGGATGAATCGTTGCTGGCTCAGGTTGACGCTCTTCAGAAGAGAAATTCATCGCATAAACGGATCTCGCAAGTCCGCGAGAGAGCAAGGGTGGGGTTTTTAAAAAATTTTAGGACTGACAATGATAATAAAATATTTACTTTCATCCTTTAAGTCTGAATTTTCTGCAAGGAAATTATGAAAAGTACTCTTGTTTGATAAATTTATTTTAGGCGATCGATCTTTGTCTCCAAAAATGCCGAAACACAATTCCAGTTGATGAAGCAAACGGGGCTCTGTTATATGTTAAATGCCTGGCTTTGATCGAGGAAACGGAGAGGATTCTAAATACTCAAAACCCCGGAGGGCGTCAGTCTTCGATGTCGCAGCCAAGTCTCGCTTCTAAAGTAAATTTAGATCCAAATTAAACTGTTGGTCATCTGTTTACTGTGTTGAAAAGCTTTTTTCAGCTCTACCTCACCGAGGCGGCCCCCCATCCCCCACCGAAAGCAGTTGATATTTGGTCTCATCCAGACGTTATTCAGCCCGCTAAAGTGGAGGATGACTATTACTACAGTTATTACAAACCACGATGGTGGGGATTTTTGTGTTTTAACAGTGGAAAAGAGGCCAAAGGCAAGGATCAAGATGTTCGGGATCTTTGGGCCACTCAAGTAAGAAATTAAAATTTTAAAATCACAGTAATCTTCGTTGAATTCTGTAGTAATCTCATCGATTTCAGGTCGAGTTCTTTTTATCCTGTCTGGGTTTTATAGTCGGCGTCGGGAATACCCTCAGATTTCCTGCCATGATCTATCAACATGGAGGTGATTCCAAACTTTTCTCTAGTGATATTAATTCCTCCATATTTTAGGGATATTTTTTGTGCCATATTTTGTTTTTCTGGCCATTTTTGGCCTTCCTCTTGTATATATGCATTTGTGTATTGGACAATACTCGGGATTATCGGCTTCCGGCGCCTTCTGGAAGATGATGCCGATGGCTTCTGGGATTGGTTGGGCGTTGGTTCTGCTGGCCGTACCTGTCGCCATCTACTACAATATAATCGTGGCGTGGGGATTGTATTATTTGTGGTATTCGCTCCTCGGATTCTTTACTGCCGACCTTCCTTGGAGCGACTGTAAAGCGGGTATGGTTGATTTAATATTAATTTATATTACATATATTATAGGCATCATCAAATATCTAGTTATACGAACTATTTCAGAATGGGTAACTCGCTTCAATTGTTGTGAACTGGACGCTGGGCCGACTTGTTTCGATAATCCCTATTCAATTACAGCAGCGGAATCGTTTTTCCAGTAAGAATGAAGATTCAATTGAAGTTTTTGTAAATCTCTTTAGCTATCAAGTTTTGAATCGAACGATGATCCGTGATATGTCCGTTGGGTCTGTCCAAACTCATCTAGTTGTGGCCTTGGCCATAGCTTGGATCTTGGTTTTCTTGGGCGTCTTCAAAGGCATCGGTTCCATCGGTTGGGCGGTCACTTTAACAGCTACCGTACCCTATCTTTTGGTGAGTGAAACCAAAGTAATAATTGCAATGTAGTTGTAAACGCTTCTATAATACTGTCTAGTCGTCATATTTTAGTTAATTATTCTCTTAATCCGGGGATTGAGTCTAAATGGTGCTTCGAATGGGATCAAGTTCTTTTTGACACCTGATTTTACCAAATTATGGTCGATAAGTGTAAGTTTTTGACAAAAACATTGTTTTTTACCCGAAACTGATAAGTTCAATCAAATATTTGCTCATTGCAGATATGGAAATCAGCGGCGGAACAGGTGTTTTACTCGCTGGGAATCGACGCCGGCCCTTTGATTTCGATGGCCAGCTTCTCCAGATACCGGAATAATATCTATCGGGACGCCGTTCTTTTAGTATTACTGTGAGTACAACTACTTTTAGAATGTACATCATCTCATAATAACTTTTTTAGTGACACCATAACCAGTATTCTCTGTGGATTGGTCATTTTTTCCTTTGTCGGGTTCTTGGCCGCCGTCCAACACAGCGAAATCACCGATATTCTGAGTGAGTCTTAGAAGTAATTAATTGATGGTTGTTTACTCTAGAGCATGACCGATTGTATCTGGCGTTCACCGTGTATCCAGGGGTCACCCAATTCCTGGAGTGGGGAGCTCTTTGGGCCGTTCTCTTCTTTTTTATGCTCATTATTTCCGCTATGGACGCTGAATTTGCATGGTAAGTTTATAGTCCTAAAATGTATCTCAAATGATTTGCAATTATCCAAGGTCAAGTTGAAACAACAATAAAAAACTGAAAATCTATTTTTCCAAATCAGTCATTTTTGCATGGATAATATAAAAATTATAAATACGAAATTTTCTCATTTAGGTTGGAGATGATAGCCTCCTCGATCATGAATCAGCTCGGAAACAAGACTAGATTAGTGGAAACTCGGATCTTAGTGGGACTTTGCTTTGCTTTCTTCATCATGGGGATACCATTATGTACAAGGGTAAGGAATTCACTGTTTATTACTGTAATTGAGACCCTGTTGATGACAATTTTCGTGTTAAGGGGGGTATTTTTATCTTCCATTCGATCGAGTCCCTCAATGCAAATTGGAATTCTTTTTCCCTTTCGCTGATCCAAATCATCATCGTATGTTACATTTACGGGATCAACAACTTCATGGATGACATGTCCGAGATGCTGAGAGTGGAGAAGCCGACTTTGGAGTGGTCTCCGGTTAACTGTAAATGGTATTTTCGCTACAAACAGCTTCAATTTTTGTTCGGTCCCACCGGAGACTACGTTAAATTAAGTTGGTGTGTGTTTGCGCCCTTTATCTTGACGGTGAGTGACAGGATTTCCTAAAATACGTATTATTGCGTTTTGATTAAATTTAGTCGATTTTGCAAAATTTCTTGTATCTTTAGACGCTGCTGATCGCCTCGGTCTTGAGTTACGAGCGTGTCCAGTTCAACGAATTCGACATGTCCTGGGGCTACGAGGTGATCGCGTGGATCGCCATGGTCGGCCCTCTCGTCATTGTCCCCATCACCATCGGGTATTCCATTTATGAGGCCAAAAAGAGGAAAAAAGTAAAAAAAATATTAATTTTTGAGATTTTAAAATCTTCGTATTTTAGCCACTCTCCTCGATTATCAGCACCAAGAATTGGCGAAATTCCCAGGAAAATCAGCCAAAACAACCAAGTCACACGGCAGATAATGACAGCGACTATATGGTGAGATTTCCGAAACAAAGATTGATGTTTTTTTCGATTTGCAAAGGAAAATTTTTTTGGGCGGGTCAAAAAGCTTTTGACATGTTTTTGCACTGTGCGGGCGCACGCATTCGGCGTTGCGACGAGGTGTCGCGCGATAAAAGTTTTGCGGGGTGCGAAAAAAGAGTGCACTGTGCTTTCGATTGCCCTTTCTAAACCAATTTTTTTGCACTGTGCGGGATCGCATTGCACCGTAAATTTTTCTTGTCGCCGCTAGACAACTTTTGTGCACAATTGCGCACTGTGCAGACATGTGACCGCCTTGCGTAAAAAAACAAGGTTTTCCCATAAAAAAATTTAGGGGATAAAGGTAAAAAATAATTTGCTCTATTTCCAGTACATAGACCCAATTTCTCGGGTAGCATCGACCAAATCTCGGAATAAAGTTGATTTAAATGTGATAGATGAAGATGCCTACGTTCGAGCACACGAAAGAATCCGAGAATGGGCCGAACGAAGTGGTCGAAGTGAACCAGTCAGGCAATTGGAGGTGTCCGCACTGCAAGAATCAATGGATATTGAACCCAAAATTGAGATCAAAGGGCCAGAAGAGATCCCAGAAGAAGAAGAGGAATTTGAGGAGATCGAGGAGGAATCTTATGGAAGGAGGACGGGCAGACTCAAGGACTTTATGTTGCATGCGGAGAAGAGAAGGGAAGCGTCGAGCAGTGACAGTGATGACTATACGATGGGAAGCGATGATCGGAAGAAACCGAAGAGACCTACGGTTAAGGTATAATTTAAAACAAAGACGGAAACTTATGTTTATCAACCTTGGCATGTCGTATTTTTCAATTACATATTTTCACTGAACTACCATAAGTTCTGTTGCACCGTGTAGTTTTCCAAAAACCAGGAGTGCAACGCTCTTTTCTGCACCGTCAGGGATGCATACCGAAATTGATATAGTAACAGGTTTCGATTTCAAATTTTACATGTTGTAAAATATGAAGTCATGATTTAAATTTTCAGAAATCACCACTAATGAAGCCACAGTCGACCAACTCATCGCTGAATCTCTTCGGTCCGCCTCCATTTCCCAGTAGCCAGGCATCTGATTCCAGAATTTCCAAGAACCGAGCGAATCGTCGCAGCGATCAACGCAAGAATCGTATCTTTGCCAACTCGTTCAGCATGGTGGTAATGGAGCCCCCGTCCTCCTCCTCTCCCTCCAAGGCCTCTTCCGAAGAGCGAGCCCCTTCCCAGTCGGCTTCGGTGCCGGATCGCCCTCTAAATTGGAGCCGGCGCCATGGCCTCGGCCCCAGAAATAGCAGCGAATCGGTGAACAACAGTCTGAGCGGGGTATCCTTGAAGCCTTTCAGCATTTCAACGCCTCAGGGCTCGCTTAAGCAGTCCAAAACGATCAAATTGAAGCGGCCCAAACCCATCGGGAACTTGCCGCAACGGCCGCCCGTCGACTCGGATGACGATGAACATCTGGCGACGCTTTCAAGGGCCTCCAGCAAGAGCTATTTATAAAATTTATAGAAATTTATTCGAATAAATTTGAGTAGAGCGAAAGAATGTTGCGATTTTGAGATGTTTGGGGGTTCTAGTTAAAGCTACAGTAAGCTGACGCCACTGCGGAGTTGGAAACAGAGATCCGCGACATAGACCAGGGTGTCCAGGAAACAGAGTGCCTAAAAACGGGATTTTTAGTTTTTTTGCTTTAAAAAATCAGGAAAAAATAGTTTTTAAGAATTTTTACCGTGTAGATTACACCCTCGACAACACCAAAAAATTAAATGGAATGCTCACCGCCGCAAAAATCCATTCAGTTTCATAGCAAACGAGCGCGATCTTTGGCCCATTTGGTGGATAACAAGCCGCGTAATACGCCTCCAGCCCTGTGGCAATGAACATCAGCACCACGCCCACCGCACACATGACCACATCGATCTTGCGCCATATCGAATTCTTGGAGGTGCAGCAGTTCACGATCATTAGTACGAGAGCGACGGATCCGAGGACGGCCAGAATGGCCAAGACCACCGACTGCCACTCCGTATTCGTGCGTCGCATGAACTCGGCCAAGCTCGAATCCAACGAGGGGCCGATGATTAGAACTATTGAGATCACTGCGAGGATCTGGAAGTAAAAAAATTTGGTGATCTTTTTGGAGAAATTGAAAAAAATTGCACTGTGCATAAATATTTTGCATTGTGCTATGCAGAAAAGCCTGAAGATAAAAGAAATTAATTCAATGTAAACAATTATTTCCCAGTAATTATAAAATTTTGACCGCAATATCAAAATTGTTTTTTCATAAAAAACTTACAACTTGCATTAATTTGAAGAGCACCCTGACCACAAACGGATACTTTTCTTTCTGCTGATACTCGGGAACATTCCGACTCTGATAAGTGGGGGTGTACTTGAAGGGCGGGTAAAACGGGGGGAAAACACCGGGTCGGGGGACAAATGCCTCAGGGTATGGAGGGTAAACAGGCATTCGCGGGGAGAATGTGTCCACGTACACTGGATTTGACGGCTAAAATACGAAGAAGTCGATAAAACAGTCAATTTACAACGTACAAAAAGTGCCAAAAAATATTTTAGGAAATGATAATGACTGATATTGACTTACCATGTAACTGACAGGCCTGGTTGCCCTTCTTTTATTATATAATGGAGCTGGAGACTTGAAGGGACCCGAAAATGAGCGATAAAAACGGCCCTGAGATCGCGGATGAGGGGTCCCTCGGCCTCGGCTTGTGGTTGCTACTCGGTAGGGATATCTGAAATACGGATTCAACAGTTTACTAATGCCAGTTGCTCTAATATTAATTAAAGTTTAAAAAATTTGTTGATCGAAAGGTTTCAAAAAAAATTATCTGCTCTCTCAGAGGGAAGACCCTTGATTGTCTCTCGCATAGAACTATGAACTTTTTGATTTGCGATTAGTCCAAAACGCACACGTAAAATCTTGGCAAGGCCTGATCACCCGTTTTTTTTAAACATTATAGTTTTATCTTTAGTCTGACAGTGTGATTCGCAATACTTTTGTCATAATTCTATCAATTTTGATGTTGATTTATGTCACATTTTACACCTTTTTTATATTCTCCTACCTGATATTCCTCCGTTCAAATCCGTTGGGTGCATCCAGCGTTCCTCCATGGTAAGCATGCGTATTGTAATGGTTAATGAATTCATTGTAATATTGCGAGTTTATGGGGATATTATTACTCTAAAACACGATCATTTTTAATCAAAATTCCACCTTACAGTAGTCGGTTGGGTCTCATCGATGGCTTCGGTGCGATTGTAGTTGCGGAGATCTGCGGCCGCCACAATCCGAACGGGTCTCCAGTCGGCCATTCATTCGTTTAATGCCTCAGGGGAAACAAGAGAAAACGGGGCATTGGGATCGCGTAATTTGGAGATGAACAACCAGATGGAGACGATCGATCAAGTCACGGAACTTTGATTAAAATCTGAAAATGAAAGAGATGGGAGTGAAAGTAATTACAATTACTTGCGGGTTCAGGGTTTTCAGACATTATTTTAGGGAAAAGGTTGGAAAATTATTAAATTTCCTGGGGTTTTTTTGAAAAAATTGGGGTTTGGAGTAATTACAATGTACCACTAGGTGGCCCGTAGGAAATTTGAGACGTAAACGGTATCCGGACAACAATTAAAGTCACCAATCTTTTAAAAAAATTGCCCGATTCTAAAATTTTTTTGCAAACAGCCCGCTAAAAAATCAAAAACCAAAAATCCCTTCAGGCAATATGTGTAATCGGAAATTATGAAGGTGTTTTAAAACTGATTTACCTAGTTTTACCTCAAATTATCAATTTTTCAACCAAACTTCTTTGTATTACAGTATCCAGAACGACGCAATCCCCGGCTCGGACCACCAAACGATGGTAAAAACGAGATTAATCAAATAAATAATATCCATAACCAGAGGGGATTCCGGTTATCCATAAAAGCCCATTGAAACAAAAGCCCACTGAATTAGATGCAGATTTGAAACAAAAGCCGCCCTGATCCGTCGCAGCGACGTCCGCTCACCTCCCCCACAGCGATGGGCATAAAACGAAAGAAAATGGGAGAATTAAATGCAAATTAAAACTATGCATCACAAGTCGAAAATTATTTTTACATTTTTTTATGTTTTGGATAGATTGAGGTCATGGATAAAATAGAAACAGGGCAATTTATAAATTCTATAGATCTCTTTGACAATGAGTTATGAAAAAGTATTTTTGAGTGTTTTTGGACACCTGGAAAGACCTGAAACAGAATGCCAAAAATTGGCGGAAAAATCAAGATTCGAATTTTTGACCAAAATTTTAAAAAACAACGCCAGTTTCAGCAAACACTTGATTTCAAATTTTTTTATTAAAACGAAAAATAAGAAAATAGCTAAAAAAAAGCCCCCCAAATGTAAATAAATGGTCATGAATAATATAAAACAATCCTTAATAAACCCATTCCTAAAGCCAGCTCCCAACCGGCTCCCCGCAACTCCCTCAAACAACAACACATTCCTGGTTATGACACGCGTTTTTCGGTGATACGCAACAAATTATGTGAGCGGAAAGGGGGACTCCTTCCGAGCTCGCGCAAACCACTTGAAGAATCGGAAAATCATAAATTCGTGGGACATTTAGTGACCGCCGGGTATTTATATTTGTTAAGGGATGGAGGAAATGACCAGTTTAAAGCACTTGACCGAAATGGATGGGGGAAAATTGATGGGAAGAGTGACGGATCTCCAAGTTTGCAAGGAAAGGGATGGGGGTAAAGTTAAGTTATCGTATTCAGATACTGGAAAGTTAAAAAGCTATCACCGAATTAAAAATATGGAGCATCCAATCTTTAATTATTGAATCTTGAAAAAACAAGACATAAAAAATTTAGTAACTTCATTTCTTATGTATTTCGAAAAAAATTTTAAAAATTTTAAACACAAAAAATTAAATTCTGGAAAAGAATCTGCAAATTCACCGCTAGAAATTGATCCCCCAAAAAAACTGTTACAAGTCTTTCCGCAAACAACCCTGCGATTTGCCTTTACAATCTGCCTCCCCATCCACCCCAATTACCTTTACAATCCCCCATTCTCAATACCCACGCCTCGCCCGACTTTTCTCAGCGTCGTTCTAAGCCTCGAGGCGGTCTTAAAGAGCGTCGTCTCGAGTGATTATCCCCGGCCAAACAATTCCCCTATAAGTGACCGAAACGAATTCAAAGAGATCATTCAAATTGGGTTTCGAGGATTAAAAGTAACTTTCTTTACATTACTTTGGCGAGAGTTTTGTAAAGAGTAATGGAAAGGGGAGAGGAAAGCGATAAGAAAACGGGGAAATAATGTTTCTTGCTTTGTAAGTGATTACAAAATAAATAAGGATACAGCCTTCAACGAAAATAATTTTTTAAAAAATTCTATTGGAAAAAAGCCACTGCGCTTTCAAAATTCGTCAAAATTTTTAAAAAGCAAAAAAGTTTTTTTTTGCAATTTAGGATTAAAAGTTTTAAGCGCAGCTATATATATTTGAAAGCAATCAGAATTTTCAAAAAAGATCTCTCCTTACGTCTGGAATCGCAAAAGTTAAAAAAAGCAAAGATTAGTTTTTTGTTTGGTCGGCCCTCTTCATTTCGCATGATCTCTCGCAAAGAAGACCGTCGAATATCTCGACTGCTGCTTAAAGGCGTGGGTCCAAACTTTTATTTGTAAAAGTCAGATTTACGATAGCATAAGCAAAACCCGTTTCTTCTATGACTGATTTCTCTCATTCTCTACAGTCCCAGTAGAAATGTTTGCGTAATTTAGGAGCAAACAGGGCTCACTATCTCGAGACATCATTCCATAGCCAAATGTTGCCTTTACATTTAGAATTGCGAGTAATACTGATAAATCATCAAGATCTATCGCCAAGTCCTCAATCCCCGCGCCTCGCTCAAACCCAAACAAATTGGTCCGTCCTTTTTATTCAGCCTCGGAAATAACTTCATTCCATTGCATTACTGAGGGTGCGAATATCCGAATTAAAAAAAGTTCTTTAAGAGTGCGATCGCCATAAGAAAATGAGTGCGAAGAGAACGTCGGTCTACTTTTCTTTTTATTATTACAAGGTGGGTTAAAAGTGGGAAAAGTTGGGTGGAAAGTCAGATCCGCGCACTGAAATTATCCACGGATCGAGGTTACTATTTTACGGATATTTGTATGTACAAATATTAAATGTAATATTAACAATAAATAGTAAAAAGTAGGTTTATTTGGCAAAAAATAATTGAAAAAAAATTATAAAGAAAACCGTATAAAGTAGTAAAGAATTATTGAAAGTAGGAGATTACTTGTTAAATTACTCGAAGAGTTGCCGCAGATTGCATTTGAGTCACATCTGTGGGAGGCCGGCGTTGAGATTTCTTGATATTGGAGGGAGATTTGCTCGCGGTCTTGGCTAAAATACGAAGAATATTTTTTTGTTTTAACTTTTTTTTTATAAAAATGGAGTCAACAAATTTTTAGATCCTCACCGTGACTTTCCCTGCCCTTCCCCATCATTTCCATTCCCATATTTGGTATCTTCTTCCAAACCCAAGAATTTGGGCAACGTCCTTTGAGTGGCCCCACTTTTGAGTCGATTAAAATCTTTTCCAAAATCCAAATGAAAGTCCGAGTTGCACCTATCCGAGTTGCACTGACACACTTGAACGTTCGTCCGTCCATACTCTGCCTGCACATCGTACTCCTCGCAACCCACAAACTCATCTTCAGAACAGCCGGACACAGTGAAATTGGCGTGAGAATTACGGACTGCGACCACAACACAAGCCTTGGTGTTCCCCTCGCATTCGGTTACTCTGCGGCGCGTACATTGCTCGGTGCTGTGAAGCCAGAGTTGAGGGGCGATTCGTTGACCTGAACTTGTTAAAAGTAAGTATTTCAAGAAAAGAAATGTTCTAACAAAAAAAATCTTATTTTTTGCAAAAATATTGTACACTAATTAAGCCTAAAAATCTAAATTTTTTGACACTTTCCAATCCAAAAAGCTTACAATTAGTGGTTTTTGAACAACGCTAGAAAGCTCATAGAAAAGAATGTTATAAATCTAACCGGCTCTTATCAAAAGGCCATTTGATTTACGCCGTTTCTTTTCAAAATCTAAACTTCGCGCCTCCGGTATCTCGTATGTAAAACAGCTTTTTAAATTTTTTACCAACTAATCGCCACTCATTCATTTTCAATACGAAGGCCCTCAACTTACTTGGCTGCTGACAGTAAAAGCATTTCAGCGCTTTTACAAACTGTAGATGCAACACAATACTGGTGATTACCGTCCAGCGCATGATGATGAAAGAGTTACTTCATTTAGTTCAGCTTTTAAATAGCCTTCCTTTGCATGAGAAAAAAGTAAAATGCCGTCAAAATACGATGTAAATACACGGGTAATTGGAATTCAAGGAAATTCACAGGCATCAGGAAAGAGTGACACAACAATGAAATGAGGTAAAGGACAAAGGTGAGGGCTGATTTTACATTAGATTATTGGGACAAAGCTGGGACAGAGAGGCCCAAATCATCGAACATTTTTAAAGAGTTTGATGGTAGCCAAAACTTTTTCTTTTTAACTATTTTTAGGGTGCCCCGTAGTCTTGCCCATTTTCGGGTTTGAGAATTAAATTTTGTAAGAGCCAATAAATGACTGCTCTCCTTGAGCCTTGATTCTGTTGATACCACCTTGGCTTGCTAAGATATTTAAAAAATCTACATATGTTTACATAAACTGCTATTACAATTATAATATTTAAAAAAAACTTAAATTGAAATTGATCTATGATAAAAAAAAGAGCATCCAACTCAACCAAGCGACCCCAAATTAACTCAAAATCCAAAACTTTCCCCGAGGCACTGCCCACTTATCCGCCTTTCCCTCCCTCAATCCCGCTGATCCCCGTTCGTGTCTTTATCGAATTACATTACGTAAATCTGATTTATATAAAAGTGAGCGAATTTATTGGGGTGGGTCATGTTGTCCATGTTTATTTGCATACCTCGAAATAGGTATCGAATAACAGCCAAAAAATCTCTTTGATATTTTGAAAACGGTGTGAAGTGAGACAAATGGACATTAAAATGGAATATTTACATTGCAAAATTTTTATCAATTTGCTTGAAAATTCACAAAATCATCTTGAAAATAAGCTTTAATTAAGACTTGTGATACTTAAAAGATTTTCTTGAGAGATTAAAAAGGATTTAGAATGTTGCTGATGATTCAAAGCAATCCCGAAAGTGTCACCGGTAATAATAGGAAAGGCCTTGTTAATAGAAGGATTTAAGGTATAACATTAATCCATTTTTCTTTATTTGCAGTGGTCTCAAAGTGTTGCAAAGTTCAATAAACCACATTATTCAAAGATAGAAGACTAAAGTATTTTTTGAACTAGCCCCAAATTATTTCTTGAGCTTTCCAGTGTTAACCTAATCAAGTCTCTTCCTACCGAGAGACCACACGAAATCAAGAGATTTGGCGAGGTGAAAAAAGGTGTTCGTCCCTAACTTTTTTTGCGATTGCTCGGTGAAAATTGAGTTTTTTAAGACCTTTAAGACCTTGTAAGCCACAAATAACAATGCAGTCTGAAAATGTGAAAATCGCCAAGATATTCCATTTTGGCTACATTCAGTAAAGCTCGACTTTGGAATATCGCGTATATCTTGAAAGATAATATTCTTAATTTGAGTCGCCTTCATTCAATTCAGTCTACAAGACCTCAAAGACTTGCTTTGCAAGAAATAAAACTTGATTGTTTACTATAAGAGCAGCGATTACATAAGGGATTATACATACTAAACCATTTGGTGGGATCCTTTCCAGAAATCCCTCGGAGCCTGAGAAAACGCTCTTTCGCTTTTATCTCCTCAAGATGAACCCATTAATTATTAAGTGGACGGTTTATATGGACAATATGGTATATAAAAATCTGGTAATATAACGGGTGAAGCTTTTATTTTAGCGAATTTTATGAAGAAGTAAGCAAAGAAATTTGTAGGGAAGGAAAAACTTTGATCACTAAAAAATAAATTTCATCAAGACAATATTAAAATAATAATTTTTATACTCCTGGTTGTCAAAAAGGTACTGTAATCGGCATTACAAATGCAAAAAATCAAAATCAAAAACTTTTTAGGTGTCTTACACTTGACATACCGCAAACGTTGCCAGCCAAAAATCCCGGCGCCTCTGACCCCTTCGCCCTGTGGCAATCGGAGAAATTTTTTTGAGTAAAATCCGTGAAATAAAAATGTTTCCTTCCAAGAATGTTTGACGCCTTTAGGCCTAATTACGAAACGCCCTGAGGGCCGAAAGGAATGCCAAAATAAATAATGGGCCTCTTGATACACCCAAATGTTTACTTTCCTCAAATTAAGATTTCGCGACGCATCCCAAGTTTCGGCGAGAGTAAACTATTCGACCGTAGATTGCATTCCAAGTGTTTTTTTTATGAATTTCGAAAGAAATATTTAATTTAGCCAGAAGAAGCCGGTTTTGCATAAAATTACATTTTGACTTTCAATATTTGCATACTGTGTAAGTCTACAAAATCACGATGACCCCAAAAATCATCATCCACAATCTTAACAGGCCCAAAACCTCACAAAAATTATCGACATTCCAATGAGTGATGTTATTTTTAACCTCTCTTTATGGCCCCAAAACCCTTTTTATTTTATCAAAAAGAAATCAAAAGTTTGTCCGAAGTAGGAGCGAATCCCTCAAATTTCCCCTGGGTAATGGATTTACAACGAACGGCCAAAGAGAAAACATCGAAAGGAGGGGAGGTGAAGAGATTCATGGTGACAAAACGAATCTGAAGGGATGCGAAAATGCCCTCAGGGTCTGCTAACTGATGGGTAATGAGGAAAAAACAATATTGGATGGGAAAGAAGGGGTATTTTGTAAACACAAGACATTTTGACTGCAATAAATTCAGGGCAGATCTAATTTTCATGGCCAGTGTGAGTTGTTGAGCAGCTCTAAATAAATAGAAAGCCAACGCCGTAGTCACCGAACTAAGCTTTAGGACAAGGAAATCTTATCGTTATGACGCTTCAAAATATATTGGAAATTAACTCTTAAACATGACAATGAGTCCATTAAAATAAAAGTTTGTGACAAACGTTTATCTTCTCCCCTCACTGTCATCGCCAAAGTAGCCAGATAACGGCCGTGGTTTGCATAAAAAAGACGAAAAAGAACACTCAATATTCAATTTCCGGCTTTGTTCAGACTGACACGAATAAAAGTTTTGTTCCGTCAATTTCCTATCTCGCTAGCTGGACATCATGATCTATTTAACATTATAAGGAAGTCAGAGATACGACGTCTCCATGATGTTATTACATAAAATATGTCGGTAAATTACATAATCTTGGGGCCCTTCCTAGGTAAAACTAAACTTTAAAAATAAAACTTGTAAAATTAAGAAAATCACGTTCGTAATGGGACATCTCAGGAACGACGTCATCTAATTTCAGTCCTTAAAAGTCTTCTCTCAAATTAGATTAAGAGTAACGAGGAATGAGTAAACATCGGGGTGTTACATTTACATTTGGACATTAGCTAAGGGTGAGATACGAACAATGGGAGCAATGAACTGGAAATATCGCCGCCTTCATTGCTGCGAACATGGATGACGTCACAGAAGTGTAGAATAATAGTGATGATATACGACGCGTTTTTTGAACTTGCAAAGCAAAAAATGAAAAAATAAGTGAGGAAAAGTTCAGTATTTAGCAACTCAAAAATTAACTTTTTGTCTTTTGCCGTCAAGTTTTTTTCGATTCCCCCTCATTCGATAAGATTCGATTTCCAGTGAACGGTCAGAGGATTGTCTTGTTATCGCGTCATCCCGAAAGGTATGTCGTCCTATTTTATCTACTGTATTCTTCATAGGTTTGGGATCAAGGCGCGATGTCCAAAACAACGGTCCAAGCGACCGAAAGAGAGCCCGAGAGAAAGATTTGGGATGAAATCTTCTGCCGGAAACCGAAGAAGAAGACCGGGCTCTCGATGGCCGATCTGAAGAGGGATGTGGAGATGGACGACCATAAGATCCCGCTGGAAGAGTTCGCCAAAAGGCATAAAACCAACTTGGAGAAGGTGAGATGACATTCATTTTGAGAGCTGCGTTTGTATAAGCAGGCCAGACTATGGCCATGATGACATAAATTGGGCAAACTCAAAAATTTTTTGAAATTTTTCGAACGTTACCCTTTTCTTTTCAGGGTCTCACCGACGACGACGCGGCCGAAAGATTGAAAAAGGACGGCCTGAATCGTCTGACCCCACCCAAAGCCAAGAGCAAATTGGTGATGTTCCTCCTGATCCTGGTCACCGGATTCAACATCCTTCTTTGGATCGGCTCCATCGCCTCTTTGACCAGTTTCCTCATCGAATATTATGTCCAGCCTCAGTACAACATTGAGAATCTTTACCTGGCCGCTGTTTTGTTTCTGGTCGTAGTCATCACCAGTGTATTCCAATTTTATCAAGAAAACAAGAGCTCGACGATCATGAAGGGATTCGCCGATATGGTCCCTCCAATGGCTACGGTAAGTGGAAGGTCATCTGGTATAGAATCTAAATATGGCTCTAAAAGCAACTATATGGGGTCTAATCTCAATTGCAATATATTTTCAGGTGATTCGCGACGGAAAACACAAAGAAATCCAGGTTCAGGACCTTGTGGTTGGAGATCTAGTGGAATGCAAAGGTGGAGATAGATGCCCAGCCGACATTAGGATCATCAAATCTCAGGGATTCAAGTTGGATTACTCATCTCTGACCGGAGAAAATGACCCCATCACAAAGACTCCAGAATTTACTCACAATAATCCCCTCGAATCTCGGAATGTTGCCTTATTCTCGACGAATGTGGTTGAAGGATACTGTAAGGGAATTGTGATGCTAACGGGAGATCGAACTATCATGGGGAGAATCGCGGCCCTCACTTCTCAGGTAAGGACTTCAAGCTTTACATGTATAAGTTTAGGTAACCTCGGGTAAAACTCCTCTTTCAACTGAGATGAATCACTTTATCAACGTGATTGGGATCGTCGCCATTGTAATTGGTGTCGTTTTCTTCGCCATTTCCATCTCCATCAACCGCAATATTGTGAGCGCTATAATCTTTTTCATTGGAATTGTTGTGGCCAATGTGCCTGAGGGAATCGTGGCCACCATCACGGTGGCGTTGACTCTAACTGCACAGAAGATGAGCGCCAAGAATTGTCTGGTAAAGAACCTGCACGGAGTTGAGACTCTTGGATCCACATCTACAATTTGCTCAGACAAAACGGGGACTCTCACTCAGAACAGAATGACCGTAACCCACACATGGTTCGACAACAATGTAAATGATGTCACGGACACTGTATTCCCAGAACCACCGACCCCCAACACAACCGAGGGATTGATCTGGAGATGCGCGACTCTTTGCTCGAGGGCAGAATGGAGAAACGAGGACATAAATCAGCCGATCAAGAAGAGAGAGGCCAACGGAGATGCCAGTGAGATCGCATTGTTGAGATACGGCGCCCTGAGATCGAATGACACGGTAGATAAGTTCAGGGCGGCATGGCCGAAAGTCGCGGAGATCCCTTTCAACTCATCCAACAAGTATCAGGTAGGGAACACTTCGAATAATATTTTTGAATCCTTGGATAACATAACCAAGAACGCCATTTAGGTCTCAGTTCATCGTAACGAGTCGGATCGCTTTGTTTTGGTGATGAAAGGAGCCCCGGAGAAGATCTTGGCCAGATGCACTGACGTCGTGATGAACAATAAGACCATCAAGCTGGGACATGATTTCAAGGCCATGTTTACCCATGCCTATGATAAGCTTGGAGGAATGGGAGAAAGAGTTCTTGGCTTTTGCGACCTTGAACTGGATCCGGAGAAGTTCCCAGAGGACTTTGATTTCTCCACCGAACCCATCAACTTCCCTTTGGAAGGCCTCAGATTCTTGGGACTCATCTCGATGATCGATCCGCCCAGACCCGGAGTGCCCGAGGCGGTCAAGCTTTGCCAAGATGCCAGGATCAAAGTAAGGACCATGTTAGCTATACATATATCATCATCTGAATTGATGGATAGAAGACTTGAGTAACTACATACTACAATATTCAGGTGGTAATGGTAACTGGAGATCACCCAATCACTGCGAGAGCCATCGCCCAGCAAGTTCATATCATCAACAAGGATTACAAAGTAGCACATTTGGTTGAAGACAGCGATAGTTTTGATGACGTCATCAATGCTTACGAGTTAGGCTCTCTAAAATAATATAAGCTATTAATTCAGAGGTGAAAAGGCCGTAATTGTCCATGGAGAACAACTGAAAAAACTGGCCGTCGAACAACTCGACCATCTTGTCAAGATCTACCCTCAAGTTGTGTTCTCAAGAACCTCCCCCACTCAAAAATTGCAGATTGTGGAGGCTTACCAGAGATGCGGAAGAATCGTGGCGGTCACTGGAGATGGTGTAAACGATGCTCCTGCTCTCAGAAAAGCGGATATTGGAATCGCCATGGGTATCGCGGGTACTGAGGTTTCTAAACAAGCAGCCGACATGATCCTCTTGAACGACAACTTTGCCTCGATTATCACCGGAGTCGAGGAAGGAAGGTTGATATTCGATAATCTGAAGAAGGCCGTTGCTTATGTCCTCACCTCCAATGTCGCCGAATTGACCCCGTTCCTTCTCTATGCTACCACTGGGATCCCGTTGCCATTGAGTATTGTTGCCATCTTATTGATCGACGTCGGAACTGACCTGGTAAGAGAATTATATTATCACGAGAGCCACTGATATTATTAATGATGATATATCGACTGTAATATCCACTTTAGTGGCCGGCTATCTCTCTGGCATATGAAGAAGCCGAGAACAACATCATGAAGCGTCCGCCTCGAAATCCAGAGCACGATAAACTGGTCAATTACCGTCTTCTCAGCTTCACCTACCTTCAGATCGGGGTAATCCAAAGTCTCGCTGGATTTACAACTTACTTCATCGTCATGGCGGAGAATGGGTTCCTTCCAAAACGATTGTATCAGATTCGGGACACCTGGGAAGATCAGGGGATCGACGATGTTGATGATTCTTATGGTCAGCAATGGGTAGGAAAACATCATCGATTCATCTATTTTATGTCGTACTGCTTTCCGTATATAATATAATCTTCATTCCAGTCATACGATCAGCGAAAAACTCTCGAGCATTGTTGTCACGGCGCCTTCTTCTTTGCAATCGTTGTCGTCCAATGGGCCGACCTTATTGTAGCCAGAACAAGATCGGCCTCTCTTCTCAGTCATCGCTTCTCCAATACCGTCCTTTTGACGGGAATGCTGTCCACCCTTGTTTTGTCCTACTTGTTCCTTTTTGTTCCCGGAGTTCACGTTGTCTTCCAATTGACTGGCCTCAGAATCCGTTGGGCGATGGTCGCTGTTCCCTTTGGATGGTTCCTGGTTCTGTTTGACGAGACGAGAAGAATGGCGATCAGAAGAAATCCAACTGGTTGGCTCTACAGAGAGACTTATTATTGACATTTTATCTCGTTTGAAAAGTAAAGATTGTCAATCCGTTAGTGGGTTTTCGTCGCGAAGTGTCACACATTTTATTAGAAAAACAATTTTCTTGCCGAGCTCGGCCAATATTGGCCGAGTCGTGTGGTGAACTGAATTCAGCCAAAGTCAAGGTTCGTCTTGCATTTTCAGAAAATCCACTTCAAGGCTCTTTTCAACTCCTGTTTACAGTACTAGCTTATTGAAAATATTCTTTTTTTAATTTGTGGGAATGGATCTTGATGCTTCTTTTGCCGCTCTAAATTCAGCTGCGAAGGTTCTCCGAGAATCTCAAGAGAAGCGTAAACGTGAAGTAGTAACGCACAATATATTTGGAGCTCTTGATAATGCCCGAAGGAGGAAGAAAGGTATGTTTTAAATTATTTCCCTTTTTTAGGCCATCTTCAAGTATAAGATTGAATTTTTAGAACAGCTTTGCGGTGAAAAGATGAGGATGAATGCTAAAATGTCTGCCAAGATCTACGGTTTGACGGAGGAAGATATTATTGAAAAGGGTGAATTGTTTGAAGCTATCGAAAAGAGAAAGCAAAGGAAAATTCTGGTAGTTTCAGACGGTCCTATGGAGAATATCTCGCCAATCAAGTAGGGCCTTGTTTCATTTTTGTTGTTAGTTTTAGAGCATTCAGAGAAGCCGACCTTTACCATCAGGTCATTGCCAATCTTGAATCACGTTCTTATGAGAAGCCAACAGCCATCCAGTCATATGCAATCCCTTACATCTTAGAATCCGAACGGGATATTCTGGCCAGGGCCGATACAGGAAGTGGAAAGACTGCAGCTTTCCTATTGCCATTGATTTGTATGACGAGACAATGGAAGATCGACAATGCGGAACATCGAACGATCAATCAGCAGAGTCCTCACGTTGTTGTACTTACTCCGGCGAGAGAGCTGGCCCTCCAAATATACCGAGACGCTCTTTCCTTTTGTCGAGGTATGGTCGTCTGGTCCTTTTACGCTTCAATTTTGTAAAATTCAGGTACTGGTCTCCGCATATGTCTTGCCATTGGAGAAGTAAACATGTTGGATAGTATCAGAATGATCGAGAATGGCTGTGATATACTGATTGGAACTCAAGGTCGGGTTGTGCATTACTTCTTTGGCGTCGACAATGCGGGAAAATTTGTAAGAAGCTATTTTTTATTTATGTGTTGCTTTAGTCTCATCTGAACTTTGATAATCTGAGATGTTTGGTATTGGATGAGGTAGACCGCGTTCTCAGTGATCCCAATTATTACACAATGCTGAGAAAGTTCACGAGCCGGTTTGTAAGCTGCGTAATCTGTTTTATTTGGCTTTAGAAAGACTTGCATCACCAAGTTCGAGTGATTATGTTTTCGGCGACCTTGGATCTGAATAATTTCGGGATGTTCTTGCGAAAGGATCATTATAGGATAATTTCAGGTGATACTAAGATTCCTGTCGACACTGTTGTCCAACGTTTTATCAATGTGGTAGGTCTCTCATTTTTACTACTTGTTCTATTCGGTTTTAGAACGCAAAGAAAGGCGTAACGAAGGTTGATTATCTCCTGGAACTCCTCAAACTACAAGTCGGTAGGATCAAGAATGACTCTGGAAATGTTGAAGGCACGGTGCTTCGGGTACCGAAAACGATCATATATGTTAACAAGAAGCGAATTGTTGATTACCTAGCAGTCAGATTGGTGATGAATGGATTCCGGGCTCTCTCTTTGAGTGGAGATCTTCCAATGGAACGACGACTCACTGCAGTGGAGAGCATAAAGTCCGATGAAGTCGATATTCTGGTAACAACTGATGTTGCCTCTCGAGGATTGAACATTCCCAATGTAAAACATGTTATAAACTATGATCTACCCAGCATGAATTTCTTCGAATATGTTCACCGAATTGGAAGATCTGGAAGATTGGGCCATGTGGGAAGAGCAACCTCATTCTTTGACCCCCTAATAGACAAAGAAATAGCGGTCTTTCTGAAAGATGTAAGTTACGTTGCAAGTATTTGACTTGACTCTTTAGATCCTTTGCCAAGTCCAACAACCTGTCCCTGATTTTGTGGAGAAGGCGTCGAGGGCTATAGATATGGAGTTTATTTAGTTTTAGATACCTCAATTAGTTGTCTCGTATTGTTTTGTTATGTTGTTTTTTACTAACGTTGTATAAATTGTTATTTCTTCGTGAAAATGTTCTTTTTACTTTCAAATTCCGAAATAAAGCGGATTTTCCGGTGGTTTACTCTATACATCTCGTTGCCGAGAATCGGTCGTTCGGCCGAATCGGGAGTCATGAATCTTTTGCCGTGGATTTTCCTCGTTTCAATCGCCTATGCCGAGAAGTCTTCTGTAAGTCCGTCTTTACTTATTCTTTATTTCTGATTTTTAGAGGAGGATCATGGCGGATGAGAATCCGGGGCCTCCATCTGCAGCGCCTCTTCCAGATGGCTCGACTTTGATTACAGGCAATCCACAAACCGTAGCCCCAACCACTCAAGGACCAGATCCGCCTCACCCATCTACTCCCGCTCCAACTGAACCACCGGCGTCGACTCGAGGACCAGACCCGACTACCGCTCCTCCAACTCAACCTCCACCACCACCTAGTACAACCCAGCCGCCTCCACCCGTAACGACTCAAAGACCGGTCCCTGTGACAACCCCGGCCCCTCCACCAGCTACTACTACGGCCCCGACTCAACCTCCGCCAGCACCAACTGTTCCGACTACGACTCCAGGGCCAGGGCCGGCTCCAACCACAGTCCCGCAACCTGCAACAACTCCGGCGCCGGGACCAACTCCAACTACAGGACCAGTCCCATCTCACCCACCCACTCGTCCTTCAACTCCCCCGACACATGCTCCGATTACTGGCACCGGCGGTCCAACCCAACCGTCATCAACCCCGTCACCTGGTCCGGAACCTACTACTTCTGAGGGAGACAATAATTCAACCAAACCAAGCAAAGAGATCAGTAAGTTTTTGCGTGTTATAATGCACTTGATAGCTCTCAATGTTTTTTTGCATCTTTTTCCTTCCAGATATGAAGTCCTTGTACCTTCTGGTCGGTTCTGAGTGTCTGGTCGCGTCCTTCTTCTCTTTCATCATCACCGTTCTTCTCCTGTCCAAGTGCATCTGCGCCTACGAACCGGAGGATGAGAGTGGAGATGAGATTTGATGGCATTTTTTTGTCGAGATAAACTTTAAAATGTAGTCGATTTATTATCTATATACAGTATCTAAGATTCTTATGCAAATACAAACACAAACCCGTTGAGTAAAGGCAAAGACAGTGGTCATATTACGATTACAATATAAATAGTAGTGTTAACCGAAGAAGAAATGCCCGGATATCCGAAGAGAAGATTACAATTTGAGGCTACAGTATCCTCTGAAGTAAGAACAGACCAAATGACAGCAGGATTACTGTATTTGAGACCAGTATTGTAACAGAATTGCTGGAAATGGCCTCCAATTGTAATCCCTTCTGGTCTGGATTGATATTCTGAAGCAAGAATACTCCCGCAGCTCCGGTTCTGAACTGGGTCGACACTTCCGAACCCAATCCTGAGGTAGTAACCGCCTGGATTTGCAGTCGGTAATCAGTTCCGGCCGTCAAATCATCGAATCTGAGTCGCCGAGTATTGGCTGGGACGATGCTGACCCTGGGTTCTGGCTGATTCGAGGCTGCCAGCACCGCTCGATAGCCCACGATCTGCTCCTTGTCCTCGCCCACATTCCACTCGCACTCCACGGCATTTGTTTCGTCTCGATTTGACGGTAAACAAGAGACCATTTGGCCGTGAACCAGGGCTTGTTGTCCAAAGACGGCTTGTTGGTCGTATTTGGAGCAATCGATGGTCTCGAGACTTGGCGTTGACGCACAACTTGGGGCGGAGAAAGCCAATCGACTCAGCAATTCTCCATCGGATCCATCGCGGACTTCAACGACGTAATCACAGCGGAATTGGAGGTCATCCAGAGGGGCCAGGCATTCCTGGACAAGTTGCTCGGAGGTCACTTGAATTGGACAACGAATCGACTTCAGACGGACGATGAAATCTCGATTCAAAGGAGTACATCGACTGTGATCCAACCAGGAAACGGTTGAACGGAGCTGTCCATTCTCGAAATAAGGCGATTGGAGATCAGCGCGGAAAACGGTGGGCTGTTTGGGGTCCTGGAAGATAATTTTTTAAAATTACTCTTCACAAAATTTTATATGCTTTAGACAAAATGGTATCGAAATATTTTTTGGTAACAAAAATGCAAAGGAAAGCTACTTACGCGTCCCCGGTCTTCCTTCATTCCCAATTCCAGGCTGTTTTCCATCATTTTCTGCACCGTTTTAGTGGGCAATCTCTCAATCTCCACATCGCTCTGTCTGCCGACCGGATCATAACTCACTGGAGTTGTTGTGGTGACCATCTTGTCCTTGGTCCTGATCACCAATATGGCTGGTTCTCCCCTTAGCTCCCCTTCCGTACTCTCCACGTTGGTCACCAATTCCACTACGTACACTTGGCCCGGTTCCAATTTCTCATCCAAAACATGTTTGGTCGTATAACTTGGCAGAATGGAGCTTCGTCGGTCAACGCCGGTATTCGCAACAGCTTCCGAGTCCTCTTCTTCCGGCTCGTCGTCAATCTCATCATCCACGGTTCGTTTTCGTTGGACCAGAGCCGCTTTTTGGCCGATCATCTGCTTCTCGTAGATCTCGGCCCCATCGGCCGTCGACTTCCACCAGGTCAAGATGTAGTCTTTGATGGGCAATTCGGAGGCCGGAGGGGTCCAGGAGAGCTGGACTGTCCAGTAATTTTGATTTGGATCCATGGTTTCATTGGCGATTGTAAAGTTACTCGGCGCTGACGGGGCCTTGACTTCCTTGGATAATTTAAACGGAAGCGATGCCTCGGAGAATCCAGCAGTGCCATAAGTGTTAACCGAGGCAATTCGGAAGATGTAAAAGCGGCCTGGACTGAGCAGATGCTTCAGAATTGCATACATTTTGTTCTTCTGAAAAAAACTTATAAAAAATTTGGACGACGGTCATGTACAATATAGACGATGAACATACCACAATGATAGTTTGCCATGGGGTCATTTCGGCGGGGTCTTTGGACACTCCCCATCGCCATTGGATCACAAAAATATTGGAGATGGTCTGGGTGTGCTGGGGAGACATCTTTTTCATTATCCATCGAACTACGGCACTTCTGAATTAAAAAAATTAACTTCCATCCCAAACCAATCGAATTTTTTTGTGAGTTAGAAACATTTGTATTTAAATATCGGTTTTTTATTCAATTAAAATTGTATTTTACCTTTTCCTTTTCCGCTCGATTACACTAATCCCCTCAGGCACTGGAAGTAATTTCCCATCGTCCAGACCGTCCGGCTCCGTACAAACACGAGAACATCCCACGGTACAGCACTTCTGAGTCTCCGAACAATCCGAATCCCGATTACATTCGGCCGAACATTCGTCGGCCGAAAACAATTTGGGTTTAGGGCAATTTCCCGGCTTCTTTTTGCTGATTTTCTCTAAGAAAACGCATGAATCCTCGCATGCCCGACGATTCTCGGCGCTTTTACAGACCTGAATTGCACACCGTTGGTTCGAATCCACTGGTTCTTTGCATGGCAGAACACACTAAAAATTTACATAATTTTTAAATGTTGTGAAGAATTGTGGTGTCTTATATGAATTTACAACCAACTTGTGGCTTCAGGATAACCGAAGGACCCAATCCTCGTCGAAAATTTAGTTAGACCACTTGAAACTTCCTCAAGTCCCAAAATTATGCAAATTATTTAAATTTCTCCGCTTTTCAGCCCTTCAAAAGTCCTTAAATCCGGGCAAATCGCGAATATAAAGACTAGGCCCTATAATTAGCATAGTATCGAACAAACTTTTAATGAGAGGACCCTCTTTCCTCCAGTAATTTACAATTTCCTCAAGTATAATATAAAATTATATAACCAATATCGCAACGTATGTGCATCCTCCCGTTTCCCATCATTAATCAAATGTTTTCTATCCAAAAAGTCCTCCACAAGTTGCGCAACGAAGAGAAATTAGGGGAAAACGGAAATTAGTGACCTTATTTTAGGCGGTAATTAGACCGAAAAATGGCTAAAAATGGAGATTACCCGGGGTTTTGAGGACCAAGAAATATGAGATGGGGTGAATTTAGGGTAAATATGAGGGTGACGACGAGCTGGTCATCAAAATTACGTACATAAAAAACGTAAATCTTATGTAAATTTTTACGTTATGATGGATTTAGGAGAAAAAAACGAATGTTTCTGAATTAAAAACTCCAAAAAAGATCAAAAATCGGCAAAACTTTTCCCCAGAAAAATTTCAAATTTCATAGAAATGACTTACCGATGAACAGTTCTGATCATTCTTGCACAAACTCAGGGTCTCGTGTCGTAATTGTTTCCTCAGATTCGGCTGATCCTGCAACGAAATCCTGATTAAAAATGCTCGGTTTAAAACCCCATTTGAATGTGTCAGTAATGTCAGTTTTTGATGGGATTTATTGCGTTTTTGAGAGTTTTCATTAGGAATTCCGCCTGAGGGAAGTGAATGTCGTATTTAAAGAGGTGACGAATTGATGGATACGACGTTTGTGGGAATATTTAAAATTTATTTAAGCTCAGAATTTGGAAGAACCATTCATTTGAAGGGGTTTTTTGACCTCCAAATTGTTTGCTCATTCAAAAACAATAGTTAATTTGCATAGCCGGGATCCTCGGTGTTGTCCGAGATTATATGTTTGCATTACGCAACGCCTCTCGAGAGATTCGAAGCCATAAATGGAAAAATGCGATTAAAATTATGTAACCATCGCTGTAAAAGGGTGAGAATTGTATAATTTCGCTTTAATCCCGTACTCTAATAGCAAAATCTTTCAATTTCCGAAGCCTTACAACGATTCTTTACCTTATTTTAGACTTCAAGCCTTTAGATTTAGGCCTTTTTTTAATTCGGATATTCAAATTTCGAACGGCCAATTGTGGCCATATGTCCTCAAATCCGTCCCTTTTTTGATTTTTCCTGTGTTCGACAAAAAACGGAGTGAATTTACTGCGCAGCTGGTGTTTTTAATAATAAAAAGCGCCATTTCGGGGGTCAAATTACAAGGTGTTACTAATCCCCGGCCCTCTAAACGACCCTAATTTCGCTGATGGAAACGGATTTGAATATCCGGCTCACACACAAAACCCAAAGATGTCGTCATGACGGAATTTATACAATTTTTAAAATTATTCAAATTTATGCAAATTTCTTTATATTCAAATGTGTTTGTTTGAATCCGCTGCGATCCACAACTTGACCCGTAGATGCCAAGAACGGAAGTTTTATTTGCCAAACACCTCGATCAAGGGACAAAAAAAGAATGCCGAGATCGTCTCATTTTTCGGCAAAACTTTGTTTGTAATCCAAAACAAAAAAAAACAAAAGTGGCCGGTCAATTGAGTCGAATACTTGATGGATCGCAGCGGGAAGTGGGGTGGAATTGCCCGTAATAATAGAGTAAAATTAACAAAAAATTACAGTATTCTCACGTTACAGTCAGATTACTGTAATTTATTCAAATTTCATTTCCATTTTATGCAAATTAAAGATTATTTTATGTCCGTGTCTAATTTACTCACTATCTCTTGAAAAAAATCCCAAAAATTCAGTCATGATGACACCTTTTTTGGGCCCTTTTCGGGATTAGAGTTGGCACTTTAATGGCCTGAAGTGGAATGTTTACCAGCTATTAACACTTGTCTCCGAACATACGACCATCTTGTCCTCTCGAGAAACAAAGGAGCCCCGGATCGAGAGGGCGCACTCCAAAAAACTGTTCATAAAATCTGCATAAAGAGCGATTTTATTTGAATATTCAAATTTGGCAGAATTCATGACAAATTACTAGATCCCATACAATATCAAACACTGCAGGATGTACTGTAAAATCAAGTAGATTGCGTGTTTTATGGCCATTATTGGCGAGGCCCGCCAAAGGCCGATTTTATTACCGAAAACGACACTTCTTGGGCCTTTTTTGGATGCGATCATGCGATTTCCGGATGAAAAATCGACTCTTTCCGGCTGCTTTGGCGGGAAAATAGAGCGGAAATGGTGTCATCGTGACAGATTTTATCCAAATTTTAAAAAATACAGTAATCCGGAGAATTAATCAAATTTTTTTTTCATTTTGATTTTAATTTTTTAGTAGTTTTTCATGGAGTAAAAAGTAAAGATTCTGGAAGAATAAGGTTAAAAGTCGGCGATCTTCTCCTTTGCACCTCCAATTTTTTCGGATTATCCGGCCGATCGGCTTTTTACTCTTAAAAAGAGGCAAAGTGCACATGTAATCGATCTGAATGCCTTTTTTGGCGAGCGATTAAGGATATTCGAGACCATAAAAGCGACTTCCGGATCGACTTCCATGACACTCTAATTGTCATCCAGTAAGCTTTTATCATCAGATTTGGCTACTACAATATCAAGTATAATATGTATAGCTTGGCATCTTGTGGCTACTGTTTATTCTTCTACAGTATTGAAAAATAAATGGAGCGTTTAACAGCCTCGGTAGAAAAAGTATCGCCGCTTTTTGTCGCGCGAATTTTAATGATCGCCGCCGCCAATAAAAGCCCATTTCCCGGGATTCTGGCGCCGAATTCAGCGCTTTTGATCACCGCAATCTGGCCTCGCTCGTAAAACGCGGGAGTCCCAAAGAATGGGAGGCGAGAGTGCCAAAGTCATAATCGTAAATTGGTCGGCAAATCACTTCTGTTTATCAATATTTACCAAAGAAATTACGCAAAGAAATATGCAAATTTTTGCGACAATTTTGAGAAAACTCTACTAGACTAAAAAATACGTCCTTATAACATAATTAAACGACCTAATTTAGACTTTTTTGTCTTTACTTTGCATTTTTTGTCAAAAAATTTGGCTTGTTGCGTCAAATTTGAATATTATGACTAATTGCTTAATTAATACCTCCAAAAGTCAGATGCCTGATCCTCCGCTGATCCTCGATCTCACCTTGAAGCCATTTTCGGCACGCTTTTCCCTCCAAATGTACCGCAATTTGCCGAGCATTCCAAAGAACGCCGCCTTGAAATGTTGTTTGCCCAGATTGCGTCCCTTCTAATTGTGTTTAATAAGACTTGCATGTACATGAGACATCAGCAAATAATTCGTTTGTCCCTGTGGTTGCGCAATCTTGACATTTCGGACAAACGGATGCCGCTTTCGACAAAAGAATCGGGTTTGTTGGGGATTCGTGGACAAGGAGAAGATCGGAGGTTACTTTGGAGGGGGAAAGGCTGGGAATCGGATATAATATGGTCACTGGAGTCAGAATACGACTACTGTAGCCTAATTCAAACACCTTTTTTTGATTGCCTAATTTTGAACTTTGGGGTCCCACCACGAAAACCTTCAAGCTCGTTTAAACCGCCGCTATTAATCTCCGAGCTGCCTTAATCAACCGGACATGGGCCGTAAACCGAATTAATTGGGATCTGCATAAACCAGGAACATCCCTCGGCAATTCTGAGATCTTTTTTATTACCTCACTAAACTTCTTTATTCCCTCCATAAAATAAAACCACAGAAAACGGCATATGTGCGCAAAGATGGGGATCAAAGTTTGGTCTCAAAAAATACTCTCGGTATTTTATACAGTTAAATATTTACTTTGGAAGCTACAGTACCCTTTCTTGGAATATTTGAACAATTTATGGGAGTTTTATTTGATTCGTTCGCTAAATACCCTAAAAACAGGCTGTTCTCGCGGTGTTCGCAGCGAACAAACAACGGAAGACAACAATTTCCGGTCTTGTTTACTAAAACAAGGGAAAAATAAGATTAGGGCTTCAGATGTGGGTCAGAGCTCAGAATTTGTTTGATTATGCAAATTTTTGAGGGTTCAGAAAACCGTATTTTAGCTTACTGTAAAAGATACAAAATCTCGAAAACATTTTTCATCTTAAAATGTGACCTTTTTGTCTTTGAATATTCAAAATTTCTTATGTGAATATTCAGATCTTTAATTACAAATTAAAACATCTCCAAAAAATTGCTGTTTAATTTCGCCTATTCATCGTCATAAGTGACCATCTAGACCCCATAATTTTCATATTCTAATTGACTTCTATTCTTGACTCATTGCGCAATCCAGCTATTCCTTGGACACCTGCAATTTGTCCGGGACCTTGTAAAAAGTAACCGGAAAGTCATAATTTTGAAGAGACCCCTAATATTGCCGAGCCAATATTTGAATAATGTCCTTGAATCTCGGCTATTACACCGAGATTAATGGGAACACACCGCGATTAGCATGTCCCTTCTCGGGGATTAAAGACGTGTCCATCAAGCCGGAGATCCCTATCAGTCCCATCTGTCTCGGCATTTAGGGCGCGCCGCAATTACTTGGTGGGTCGGCGCTGACTTCCGGAGTGAGCGGAAAGTCAGCCAAATCATGGGAAAATAAGCCGCAGCCAACTTGTTCAAGGTTGGCAGAGCAGAGCATGCAAATTTTTGGAATCGGGGAAGTGCGCTGCGAGCAGAGCGATTCTGGAGGGCTTGAGGAAGCAAGGAAAGTTCGGGATATTGCATATTTTGGTAAACATTGATAATAAATTTGCATAATTAAAAAACTTCAAATTTTAAAGATTGGACACCGACTATTGTCATTCGCAATACCCAAGAGTTGACTCCGCATCCCACATTACACCAAACTTCCTTCCATGCCTTTGATCTCCCCTTACTTCCGATCTTTTGTTGTTGATTAGAGGAAAGTTTCTTTGCGGTCTCGAACTAATAATAAAACGCTTTTCCGGCTGATTTACGATGCGGTTTTGTTTTGTTTTTGGAGTGCCGAATTAAATGGACTCTCGAGAAAATAATGGAGGAATGGCGAGAGTGCCGAGGAATGAATGGGCCGGGAGATTTATGAAGTCTGGAAAACATTCTAAAATACGGACTGACTCCAAAAAAAATTTATCTTCAATTTTGATCATAAGTCATATTTTAAAAAATAAAACAAAATGTGTCATCATGACGTATTTTTTTATTTTTCAAAACTTTGAGTTTATGCAAATTTCCCACACAAAGCATCTCTAATATTTACCTATTCAAAAATTAATACCCTCCTCTTTTCTCTGCCGGCATTATGGAGCCCATAAACACTTTAAAGACGAGGTCATCACGCATTTATAAAGTCTATTATTGGGTGATTTCTGATGCATAAAATGGCGACCAAATAAAATTACCGAATTTGCATATCTTTGCAGGTTTAGCGGGGAGGTCGAAATGGGTTGGAAAAGAGATTTGGAAGACGTTTGGGGAAAAATAGCAAAAATCAAAAAATTGGAAGATAAAAAAATTTGCATAAAATTTGAATAATCGTCAAAAAATAAAAAATCCTAAAAACTGACATAACATTTAAAAAATAGCTAAAAAAAGGTGTAAAACCCACCTTGACCCTTTGTTCCAGCTCCCTCAAACACTTGGACTGACATCTCGCCGCGATCAGATCATCCATCGCCCATGCCATCCCCAAAAATAGCATGAAAACCCAACATATGGTGGACATGACGAAGAATTATGAGCTCCAAATTACTTTAGATATCTTCTAATGACCTAAGAGGACACAAAAACTTTAGGTAATCAATTCATTTGGCAGGATTTTCTGAAAAAATAAGTTAACTTTATAGCAAAAGAGGTCTTGAAACACGGGATTTCATATAATTCTTGAAGTATATCACATAAAAATGTCCATAAACAACAAAGGGGATGCTTCTGGCCAAAGGAAACAACGAAAAAACGAACATCGGATATTATTTTAGATGGATAACATAATCACAAAAAATTGATCGGTTTTAATAACGAAAACAAAAAATTTTGAGGTAAAATGAAGTATTGAGGGCTGAAGTTTGTAAATCTTATATAAAAAATCAAAAAAAAACTTTAGAATCATCAAAAATGATAAAAAATTTCAAAAAATCCCGGAAAATGCTGACACCTTTGACTGCCGCTTTTTCCACACCGATGTAACTTTTCCCCCACGTTTATTATCGATGTTCACTTATGCAAAAAAAATTCTCCCCAAGACTTCCCCTCTCTCTTCGGCGCCCCACCCAAACAAAATCTGCGCGACTCCGCCCACTTTTTGGGAGAGAAATGTCCTCAAAAATACGGCTTCTATTTGCGGCGATAATCCGAAAATTAGAACGAATCGAGACTTTCTGGATCGTCAAGGTGTATTTTGGGGAGAAATTGAGAAACAATTAAAATTTTTTATTTTTTTACAATGGTCAAAATTTTGATAAAAATTGAGATTTTCGATGGAAGCACATGACATTTCAAGGTTTCGAAATATGAAACCGATGTTACAAATAATTTTAATTTTCATTCAAAACAAAATAAACAGTAAAACAGTTTCAAACAAGCGATATTATCCATGAGAAGTAGCTGATCATTAAACCCCTTCAAATCTTCTCCTTTTTACTATGTGACCGCACTCTCTTTGACCCTCTCTTCGCTTTGTTTAAGCATTTTAAACACTTGGAATCGGTTTCCCAACCATTCTTGGCACCATTAAATTCGAGAGTCTCGACGTTTTGTCCCCATTCCCTTTGATTCCCACGAAAAAAGATTTCCCATTTTTGAGGGTTCGGAAATGTTTCGATCAAAGGAAACGCTTACTCAGACAGAGATTACTCGCTAAGAAATTAAAGACGAATAGTTTCCAAAAAGTTATATTATACTTGAGAAACACGACGATGATCTTGGCAAATTTTTATCAAAAAATGAAAAGATAAGCATAAAAGGTGGTGATGTAATTAATTTCAACTCTTTATTGCATCACTGAGTGTGTGAAGATGAGTGGAGGGCATCAGTTGAGTGGTTTCATTACCTCTCAGCTTATTAAATTATCATTCGGCGAGCTGTTTTGCCGGTGAATTATATCATAAAAAAAGTGAGAAAACACTTATAAAAATCCCATGGTAAAAAAAAACTTTCTGGGCATACTAAAATCTCTAAAAATAAAAAAAAAAAAAAAAAAAAACTTTCTGGGCATACTAAAATCTCTAAAAGTTATTCTAACCAGGATTTCAACAATTGAACGGTTAAAATTTCAAAAAAGGAATTTCCCGCCATTCTTGGCATTCTGCATCACATCCGAGCTTTAGACTGCTGGAAGTTCCAAATTTAGGAATTCTAAAGCCCAATTGATCATATAAAACTGTCGTTTGCCCTATAAATTCATCATAAATTCTAAAATCATCTAAACTAATATAATTGCCGTCATTTTTGTATAAACCCCAAACCGAAATTAACACCGATAATTCTGGGAGAATTCCCGGCCCTCTTTAATGGGTATCAAGAATAATAAATCCTTTTTGGAACTCCATAATTAGACGGGTAAATATGAGGCCCGGCCGATTAATAGCGCGCTTTGTTAGCCTCAAGTGTTTACAACAAATGGATATTGTAAAGGACGCGTAAATAAGACCACGCTTAAAATCCAGGGGAAATTACTGTGATATTAAAACACATCTTTTATGATTTTTTTGAATATCCAAAAAATTTTTTAAATTTTGCACCAGGTCAAATTTTATTTTATGATATTACATCTAAAAAACTAGAAAAATGCGATATTTCCCGCCAAATTTGGACGTAAAATACTTTGCCATCCACAAAACTCCTCTTAACCACCCTTGAAATCATTACGCGAAACTTTTTCCCCTCAAAAATCTCGTCTTCGGCCTTCAGAAAGAACGCGGACGAATTAAAGGAATTCTGGGCTTCACTTCTCGGCCTTTGAATTCCACAAAGAACCCCCGAAATCGGATAAAGAGAACGGCAATCCTTAATTTAAGTTGTCTTCGATTGTCCCGATTGCCTGAGGGCAGGAAAAGCGGAGTTTAAATTTTATGAGAGATTTGTGGTTGCCTCAGGGGAAAGAAAGAGATAAATGTGTTATGTTGGGACAAAGAGATTATGACAACAGGTTTATGGGGAGTGATCTGAGTGAAGGGGCGGGTTGGGGGTGAACAATGGGCATGATAAGAAGTTTTACGGACAAAAACTTATTTTAGACTATCAAAAACGATTTGAAGATTACTATAGTTAAAAGCTCACATTATGCAGTAAACGCGAAAAAATTTTCCAAATGTCATAAATTCGTGAAACTAAAAAAAGAGAATTCTTTCCGACCACCAGAACGCCGGCAATGCCATATCTTGGGAGCTCATCAAAATTTCAACCTTCTTTTTGGACATAAATCACCATTGACAACGCCTTCGTTCTCTCATTAAGTTCCGAATAGGTTCAAAGACTGCTCGAAGCACCAGAGAAAATTTGAGATTCGAAGGGCAAATTTTCGAAAAAATGAAAAATCATCATGACTACTGTAGCCAAAATAAAAATTTCGCTATCACACTTCGTGTTGATGATAAATGTTTGAAACAAAAACAGAGTGTAACCAAAAAGGTCTGTTTCACAGCAAGCAAATAATTTAGAAGATCCCCAGCCATCGAGATGAATTGTACAACAATATTTATATTAATCATGACGCGGATCCCCTTCTTCGCTCTCTCATTACACAAATCCCCAGCCAAACAGGGAAATGAGTGGAGATGGTCATAAATCTCGTTGATCCGGTGATATCTCTTCATCCATTCACAGGGTTTACAATCTTATTAGTCGAAACGGATATCAGCGAAAGAAAAGTAAATAAACAAGTCGGGAAGAAGTTGGGGTGGCAATAAAAAGTTGATTAGCGTTATAAAAAGAGTTATAAAGGAAGCGTGCGGGCTGCAAGGCTGGTACATGCGAGGAGGGACATTAAACTTGAGGATGGTTTCTTTAATCTCGGAAATTTTTAAAACTTGATAAAAAATGGTAAGGTTGGACTAATTAGTCTCAAATAACAATATAATTGGAATACCGAACCTTCTAAGCTCAAAACAAACAATGTTTTGTGCATTTCCCCCAATTAAATCACCCTAAAACAATATTATTTTGGGGTTATGAGCCGTGAACGCATACCGAAACAGGTCTAAAACAAGAGTTTAGACAGCGATCGGCGCCGCGAGGAACAAAAGATGAATTCTGAATAGAACGGGGAGTTCAAAGTGAAAAAATAGCTTACAGAATTTAAATATTCAAATTGCTTTATGATTATTTCAAAATTTAACTTTTATATTCCGAGGATTAACTTCATATCAAACTAAATATGTAATTTCTAACTTGTTCGTCATATTTCATACCCCATAATAAAGCCGCCCGGAATATTTTTGCACCTTTCCGCCGAATCCACGCCAATTTGTAAGCGCCGACCTTGAATGGAGAAAATGAAGTGAAACAACTTTTCTCCGTCCTTTGGCAGTCGCCGCCCGAATCACAGAGGGCAATATGTTTACAAAAAAATTCATTTCGAATACAAAATTTTTAATCATGGAATTCCGCGAATGGAAATCCGAAAAAAGTCGAGAAAAAAGTGGGAAATCGAAATTCGAAATGGATATTAGAAGATATCCGCGCCGCTTATTACCATGAGAATGTGGTCGAAGCGCTTTTCCAAATGGATATTTCAGGAATTACAAAAAAAATTTTCATGATAGTACAATATACCTTGCCCAGATGAATCCAAAAACTTGAGCCTATCATATTGTGGATCAGCCCGCGCGTTTCTCGAAGCGTTATTAATGGAGAGGTATGAAAGGAGGGCGCCTGTAACGCGATCCTTATCTGGATCGGGGCTTTTATTTTTCTGGATAAGTTACTCGGGGAAATGAGAGGTGACACCTGCGGATTATGTCACATTTCTGGATGGGCCTTTGAACGAAAGGTCGATTGCATCGCAGTGAGTGTAAATGCCGGTCGGAATCACATAGAATCTTACGGTAATTTTTGATTTTTTTTTACCGGAAAGTCCAGAAAATATGTTTATGATGCTTTTACTTTGAGAAAAAATAGGATGATGCCCTAAATTACTGCTAAATGCCAAATCGAAGTCGTTGAGTAAAAAAGTTACAATATAAATCCGTTAATTCGTATTCAAAAAATAAAAAATTTTCTGCGAGTTAAAATATTATCCTAAGATCCCAAATCAATGTTCTGCGCATTCCCACTATCACCCAGCGCTTTCTGTGTCAATCACGCAATATTTACGTGTCCGACCCCATTACGAAACCCCTTTTATAGCCAAATAATGGCCCTAAAACCTGCGAATCTTCCCCAAAGTCATCGCGCGGGCATCCCACTGATGGGAAACCATTAAATTCCCGCTAAAATACGGCTGTAAATTCTTCAAACGAAACTTGAACTTTTTTGGCATAAAGCAAAAGTAAGAATGGAATAAAAAAAATAACAGTTTTATATTATCCATGCGCCAGAAGAGGTCGGGGTTTCATTTTTGGCCGAAAATCCGGTTATTCGGCTCTTTAATCATAAAAATTCTTGGAGTGAATAAAGCCCCTGAGGCACTTAAATGACCACCCGACGGACGCTCATTAAATCTCGGGCATTCCGATGGCCCGGCGGATTATATAAACCTTGGTTCTGGGTGAGTTATCGCCAAAAAATTGGAATTGAAAACGAAAATTCGAAATTTTAGGAGGAAAATATAATTACAGTACCCCAAACAGTTGTCGGATAGCCTCCAGCCATCTGACATTGCAATTAAAAGCCGCCTCAAAAACAAATTTAATCAGATAATTGTTTGGACCGTGGAGAATATCAAAAAATCAATGCCGCCAAGGAATCCCGCGGTTGGGAAATCATCAAAACCATGTCAGAATGAGATCACAGATTGCGCAAGACATTAGCGACATCAAAAGAGAGTCTAAACTATTGGATAAAGTAATTATTTTCAATTATATTACACTTGATGATCTCTAATTTGATTTTAAAAAAATAATTGACTTAAATTTTGTTATGATCGAAAACAACTTACTCGACGGAACTGGGAAGAAAGCAGAGAGTAAAAAATAAATTAAGATTCAGAAGAAGCGCAACCAAGGCCCATTAATTCCGCCAATTTACCTGGACTTCTGAGGATCCGAAAACGAAAATAAGATCCCTAATATAAGCAGAGGTCGCGAAAAGTAGTCAAAAAACAGTAACAAATTTGTTTTGGCGCCAAGCTGAGGCTTTGATCCGAGGCCGGAACCGACAATAGGCAAGTTATAGATTAAATTATGTTATGCGTGATATCAGATGAAATTTTCCGCATAAAATTGAAAATACTAATGTCAGATCGCCGAAAATGAAAGGATAATTCAGTCACGAGAATAAAAATGACATATTTTGTAGATTTACTTGTAAATCAATCATAGAAGATATTAAAATTATATTAAACTTGGTATAAGTCATCAAAAAATTTCTTATAGTACTAAACCCCTCCTTTACAATCGGCCTTTTATAAAGAGTATTCGGAAAACATATTTTTATTCCATCCAAGGACATGCAAAGACCGAAAACGATGACATCAATCACGTCCGGCCCCTTTCTTTCACTTGCAATGTTCAATTCGAAGCCTAATCCAGAGTTTTTAGAGCATAAAATGAAATTCTTGAGATCAGTGGAATGATAAATGGCTGGAATATTGAAGATAGACAGCAATTTGTCAGCTGGTAATTATAAGTAATTGAGATCGATTATCGGATATGGATTCGGGGATAAAGTTGAGGATTTTCTGAAAGTAATATAAATAATAAAAGCAGAAGTGAAATTTTTGCAAAGTGTTGAAATTGGAAATCAAAAAATCCCATACAATAACAAAAGAAATAAAATCCGAGTCCCTTAGTCTCATTAACACCCTCCGCTGACCTCAACATGACTTCATCAACAGCTCTATTGTGACCACAGGATATGACGCAATAAATTTTTATTGATCCGACCTCTTTATAAGACCAAAAATAAGGTCAGAATTTATGAGACATTCAGATGGAGAAGATGTTTGTTATACTCTTCATTCAGTGCGAAAAATGAGGCTGATTTGAGAAAGAAAGAGATGACAAAAATATTGATCTTGGAACGTGAATTTATCTACAAAAGATAGGCGTAAAAAAATTTTCATATACGTTCTGAACTAGCCACAATTCGCTTCCTGAAAGTTTTACTTCGCACTTTTAAGGGTCAGCCGTGATTCGATGATCTTTGCGAGAGAGCATGCAAAATAAGGAGAGTCGGACAGACGAAGAACGGGGTTTGTGAACGTCTTTCCCGCTGCTACTTGCAAAGCGGATATCACGGTTGCCGCTAAAATGTGGAAGCCGGAACTTTCAGGAAATGGTTTGTGGCTAGTGCAGAACCGATAAGCAAAGTTTTGGGTAAATCTGAACATGAAGCCGGGGATGCATTCCTATTAGAAAAAATTGCAACACGAAAAATATATATATTTCTCTTTGCTATTTTTATGTAGCACTCTGAATTCAAAAGCCGATCACAAGTCCAATACAAATAACAGTATTGTTACTTCCAAGTGAGGTCAAAAGATTTCGTAAAACGAAATAAATAAACGGCCAGAAGTCCGTTTTTTATGAAATAAACTAAATTCCTAAAAGGAGGTGCGAAAAGGAAGAAGAAGAATAACATCTTGGGCCACGTAAAGTCAATCAAAAAACAAATTTGGCACTTTCGTGGGCCAAAAAGTTGGAAGAAGGGCTTTGAGAGCAGAAAAAGAATGTAAATTGCTTTCAAATTTCAACAAATTTGCAAAAAAAATAATAAAATAACTTTCCAACGTATGTGTAACCAGTTTCTTACCGTAATCCGTATACATTTTACAGTATTTAAAAGTTTTGTCATCAAATTGGCTACAGATGTCATGTACAATATCCGGACCGGTCCCAGCACCCCTCCAAATTACTCGAAAACAATGGAAACCCGACAAATCACGCAACCAATTCCCAAATCTCGCGCTGCTCAAGGTAAACAAGATCTTGTGAATGACCGCAATAACGGGGAATAGAGTTGGGTGGGGGAGTTTGGCCCAGAGTTTGTTTGTTTTGGAAAACGAAGCCCTAAAACAATGGCCAGTGAACTGACCCCGAGGGGATTAGGTGGGAAAAGGCTTAACGGGGAGGTTGTGATTGTAATTGGTGAAGTGATTTGGGTATTTCAAGAGGTGGTCATCATTACAAAGTTTACAATTTCAGATTTACTCCAAGTTTTGTATATGAGTTCTGAAGCAGCCAAAAATCATTCCCAGAAAATTTTAGCCAGCGACAAATATTCAGCGGTCTTCTTCGCGAGAGAGCGCGCTAAATGAGGAGAGTCGGCAGACGAAAAACGAGTTCTGCCCCTAACTTTTCCGCTTCTGCAAAATTTTATTTTCAAAAAATTTCATTTTTTGAAAATATGAATTGCGGGCTTGGAACCTCAATGAATCTTCTAAATTTCAACCAATTTCCATCCAGCCCACAAAATTCCGAAAACTCAGATCTGATCCTTCTGCATATTATTGCACAACAACGAACTTCTGCTCCAAATTTCCCCCACCTCCCCCTTATCCGAGCACTCGAATTAATTACAAAAGAGGCCGATAACCACTTGCCATTCGACCTTACAAATGTTTATTCAAAACAGATATCCCCGCGAACACAGCAACTGTCACGGTTTTATAGCGCAAATTAAGAGAGTTTAGGGACGCGGAGATGGATTACACTTTCAAATTGAAGTCGGGGACATTATTTTGTGTAAATTTTGGGATAACAGACAAGAAAAAGTCAGTGATGAAGGAAAGGGAAAACAAGGAATTCGAGGAAATGAATTTTAGACATCGAAAGCACAATAATTGCTTTGAAAAATTTTAAAAAAAAGTTCCGTGAGACTTAATCGGAGCCGTCTTTTCATCAGGAACCTGATTTTCAGCGATGAGGCCTCGTTCCACGCATGCGGACGTAGAATCGTCATAATGCGCGATTGTGGGCTCAGTGAAATCCACAATGTTTCAAGTGCCTTTCTCCCAAAAAAGGAATGTTTGGGCCGCAGTTGGATGTCATGGTTTTCTTGGCCCACTCTTCATCGATGAACGTTAACTGTGAAAATTTAGGGGACTTGATTCATGGAAGAATCGAAATAATCCGCCATTATAATTTAACGCCGGGTAGCATAAGACCGTTGTTAACCGTAGAATTACACAAAACACACTTAAGACAACTTTATTGAAATATTTTCGATATTTATAACATTTACGGGGCTTTGGGATACATCTTTTTCGGGCATTGACGATATTTGCTTCCCCGATTCTTCAACTCGTATTCGGTCTTCACGGACCTACCGGCATTGAACGTGAATTCCCGACAGGTGCCTCCGCATTTGTGGATTCTGAAATCATTCAAAACAGTGGCATATCACTTACATTTGAATGTAAAAATTGACACCCCCCATTTCATGTTCTCCGCCCGCAATATAGAACTTTCCATTGACAGGGACCTCGACCACCTTCACCAGATCGTCCGAGTCAATAAAGGCGTTGGTTCCGAGATCTCGTTCCCAGAGACGGACAGTCTAAATTGATGAGTAAGTAAATTGAAGAGGCCTTAAAAACAGTTCAGAGTTGCCAAAAGTCAATTTTACTGCTTTATGATCCCCCGTACAACGAGACACAACCTGTCTGCAAACGTACCACGATAGGAATGCCGTGAAGATCTTTATTATCGCAAGTTAGTCGACTTCTGACGTGAACTTCACGGTACATACCCTTGTGCCTGTATTCGAATGGTTTTTCCTCCACTGCTGAGACAACAGGGATCAAAAGCGCGAACAAAACAACCATTCGCAACATTTCCGCAATGAACGAAAATTTAGAAAACAATTTGCAAGGAGAAGACGCCACTTCGGTTCGTCGATAACTCGTTGTCCGGTCGGTCTTGATGCCGAGTCTTAGCCCAACCACGCAAGAGCGTCTGGACCGGATCAAAAAAGCAGGCACAGCGGAGAAGCCGTGAGTTTATTGGATGAAACAGAGCTATGGATTACTGTAGTCAATTTATTTTTGTCAAAAAAAATCCAAATCTGCGGATGCATTCTGCCCGCGAACTTGCCGTAATGGTTTAATCTTATGACGTTCTAGTGCAAAAGTCTCCACTAAGCAACAACACACGAGTAGTCAAACGAAGAAGAACGAGGTCCGAGTTCACTACGACCAGGCGCCGTTGTCAGAAATCCCTAAAGGAACCGTCATCAAAACCAACACTGATGCCTACAAGGTCACTGGAAAAGTAAGCTATTTTCCCCACAATGCATCAGGAACTCCGGCCGAGCCTTTGTACAACGGACTCACTTAAATTTTATGGTCCCTTGCGACTCGTTGTACAGAGGCGTGACTGTAATTTTAGTTCAATTCCAAATATCGTACGTTACTCTTCAGGTTGGTGGTGGTGGTTTTGGAGATGTGTATGTTGCAGTGAGAGCTTCCACAAAGGCACTTTGCGCCATCAAAGCCGAATGCACCGGGAATTTGGAAGAACCGAGGCTTGAAGTAAGTTTACAGAGGAGTGTGCTGAGATTTATGATTAGGTTGCAGAATGCTCAGTTAATTTTATATAATTTATGATGACAATATTGATTTAAACTAATTTCAGCGAGAGTATTATGTGTATTTGGCGATCGAGAAAGGAAATCGTGCTGGAAAAGCCCTTCCAAATTTGGTGGGAGCCTATGGATTCGCCAACATGAACAACAAGCTCAAATTCATCTTCATGCCTCTGCTCGGTCCATCTCTGGAATCGACCATCAAGAGAAATCGACCAACGTAAGGGCTACTACACTAACACTGTTGTAATCATGAAAAATCTTTAGCTTATATGTAAAGATGATTTAATGTGATTTACAGTAGATCGACCTGTTACAAAGCTGCCATCCAGATGTGTCGCTCGGTCCAATCGCTCCACAAGCTCGGCTATATCCATCGAGATATCAAGCCGGCCAATTTTGTGTTCGAATCTAGAACAAGTTACAGTACTCTGGTGCTCATCGATTTTGGAATGGCCACTCATTACCCAACCAAAGTTTCGGAAATTCCAGAAACCTCGCTTTACGACTTTATTGGGACGTTGAAATATGCCCCCAGGACAACTCATCGCGGTGAACCTCAATCCAGAAAAGATGACTTGGAATCGTGGGTGTATGTGGTAAGCGATTTGCCGAAGAAAGACAAAAAATTTAGGCCATGGAAGTCTTTGATTTCGATGCCCTTCCATGGAACAGTTGCCAAGAGCAGGAGAGGGTCCACAAAATGAAGAAAGACTTCTTTCGTCGTCGTATGTTACTTTACGAATAACGCTTTTTGTAATTTAGTTTTCAGCAGCATGAATGCTTTGTGGGTAAATAAGATCCCTATTCAGCTTGATTTACTAATCAAAGAGTGTGTTTAGGGGCCTTGAGAGACACAGTAAGAGTATTTGTGGAAGTCCTGGGTATGATCGAAGCGATTGAATTATGCGCCGATCCTCCATATAGCCAGATTATGGCCCATTTGGGAGCAATGGCCCTGACAGATGGATGCCGGATCGATGGAGATTTACAGTTTGCGGTAGGGTCTTAATGTCTTACAATTAGTCGCATTTTTATCTGTAGTTAAACTTATATTGTACTATGTAATTTCTTTAGAAGCGCGAAACCCCTCTGACTGACATTCGTAGAGCAAAGCAACTGGACTCCGAAGCCCGAGAACCTGCCGGTTGTGACTCCGAGGCTACTCCGTACCAATTATCGAGCACGAAGGAAGTGGAAGGAAAAGTTCAACAGTTGACAATCTAAAACTTGAATCGAGCCATGTTCTCATAAACTTCGTACTGCTTGGTATTATTAAAAAAGTACTCTGCAATGGTATTTACCCCTTATTTGACTCCCGTTTTTCGTTTACACGCTCCGAAAGCGAAAAATCTTTTGAAAGAGACACATTTCACCGTATAAAATGTCTCTTATCCAAAAAAATTATTTTTTTAGCCGTAAAGATTTCTATTCTCTGTGTGACAGCCGTCTGGCAGGCGTAACAAAAACGTTTTCATGCATGTTATAATTTGTGTCGCGATATCGAGTTTTAATTATTTTTTCTTGTTTTGGTCCAAGCTCCGAGGAAATTTTTATTGTTTTTGTCCGCACCTTCACAAAGCGTTCGTACTCCTACTCACCTGTAAAGTTTAGAATTCAGGGCTCTTCATCGTGGCGTTTTCTCTTCGATTTTTCGGCGTTTGGCGTCCGAAAAACCATGTCGCCGTGTGGTGTAGCCGACGGCCTTTGTGTGTAAATGGTCCGCGTCCAATTGCACGACGTTCATTCTCAGGTATTATGAGTTTTGTGTTTGCATTCTTTTCGTGTTTAGTTGAAAGTCGTAGGCTTTTCTACTAACGGCATCTAGTGTAATATATAACGGCAGTCTCTTTGGAGTATGCGCCGGTCTTGGCAGAGAGACTTTTTTTGCACGAACCCGGGGATGAAATCTGAAATCGGGAGACCACTGTTTTTATATTATACTGTGTAGAGCATAGATTAATCTTCCACGAGATGTTTGCGGGTTTCGTGTTCTCCTGGCTCCTTGAATCTTTTGCGCTTCAGAACTCTGCTGAATACCCGACTTGAGGCCTGTTTGCTTTTGTAATTTTTACTTTAATCCCGCCATTTCCCGATTTCTATTTGCTCTGATGTCCACTGTCTAGCAATGATAACAATGATTGGTCATTATCACTGGTTTATGCAGACGGGCAGAAAGAATGAACTTATCGATCAAATTCTGGGAGGTCAGAGATTGATAAAAAGTGCAGTAATTGGGTTAGGCCGACTTTTCGTCGGCTTTTCACAATGGTGTTTTAGGTCGTTGGGGAGGGTGAATATTGAGACGAGCGTTCATCTGCATGTTCGGGGTACGGTATAGTACAACCCCCAGTCCAGTTCAGACCCCCATGACCCAGTACAAACCCCACATCCAATCTGAACCCAGAAACCTTCAACGAAGGCTTGATGAGGAATGTTGTAACGGGCTTTGGACAACGGTTTGATCTAAAACGTAGGGGGTTTGATTGAATCGCTTCAGAATTTACATTTTACTCTAATTTACGTTTTTTGTATTATTCTAATTTTCCATTATGGAGGCTTGAAACGGGCAAAACAGTGGGGGTTTGAACTACCTTTCGTGGGGGCTGAACTATTTACTAAAGGCCCGCATGTTCTCCTTCGTCAACGACTTAAAATGTTTCTGGGAAGCCGGCGATAAGTCGGTCTAGTCCTGTGGATATAGACCAGATCCCTTTTCATGATTGTAGGAATTCGATGTCTTTATAAATCTTTTCGTTTGGTTGCCAACAGACCATTGCCGTTCCTCGCTTATCAGTTTGAGTTAACGCTTATGTTTTGTCACGCCTTCAGTTTATTCCCGATTACAACACCATCCCCTATTTGTAAATCGGCTCATTGTTCGCGACACTTGGTTGTACTCCTCTGCGTTTGTCAACAACCACCGTGATCGCCTCCTTTTTCTTCTCCGTGTTTTGTTTTCATCTTCTGGGGCATTATTTATATTGTTTCAGTTACAAGGAGTGTGTTCTCAGGTCCCACAGAAGAAGAAATAATGGCACAAAAAACAGCACAGGAAGTCAAATGCATCATGGAAACATTGGCCGAGCATCCGAAAGTTCGGATAAAAGATCCCGAGAAGGTCAGCCAAAAGTTGAGTAAAATCATCGCGGATGGATTCGAGAAGTTGCTGGTAAGTTGAGATTCAGGGGCGTACGGTGGACATCTGGGAGGGGAAGGTCGAGTACCACAGGTCTGTGGCATGCACTTACCTCTGGCAAAACCCGTAGAATTGTGGCAGCCATTTGCACCACGAAGTTTTTGCCCTTACCATTTTTTCCTTCGTCCCCACCTCACCCACAAGCGAGCCCCAGGATTGGTTTATAAGGACCATTTTTAGGTGATCTCGGACTTTGATTACACCTTCAGCCGATTCCGTGACGCTGATGGCGGAGAGTGTTGGACTACTCATGGTGTATTTGAAGCAGCTGCCAAGCATGTTAGCGAAGAGTTGGTTAAGGAGTTTGATCGTTTGAAGACGAAATATCTCAAAATTGAATTCGATCCAACAATGTCGATAGAAGAGAAGACCCCTTATATGGAAGAATGGTGGGGAGTGTCGTGGATAACATAAATACTATGACTTTAGGTGGAGAGACTCTCATCAGTACATAATCGACCACAAATTTGACCTTCAAACCATAACCGAAGCGGTCCGGGAGTCTAAAGTTCGATTCAGAGATGGCGCCATTGATTTCCTTCGATGTGTTTGCTCACATAACGTTCCATTGGTCCTATTCAGTGCGGGAATTGGGAACATAATTGAAATCTTCCTTGATCAGAATATGCACGAGATCCCAAAGAACTTGCACATTATCTCCAATATGATGCTTTTTGATGAAGAGGTGAGATTGACGGCTAATGCTGTAGTTATAATATGTATCATTGAATATGTTAAGTATCATGGTTTCAGAACAAATGTAAGGCCTTCACTGAACCTTTGATCCACACCTTCAACAAGAATGCGTCAGTTGTTGGTCAAGAACGACCGTTTTTCCATTCTATCGCCTCCAGAACGAACGTTCTCCTTCTTGGAGACTCACTCGGAGATCTTCACATGGATGTGGGAGTGGAGAGAGAAGGTGTTGCCCTCAGAATTGGGTTCCTTAACTTTAATTTTGAGTCATTATATCCGAAATACTTTGATTCATACGATATCGTATTATGGGATGACCAGACGATGGACGTTCCTTCTCAAATATTCACTCATATCCATGAAAATATTACGGCTAAGAATGAAGAGAATAGCAAAGAAGAAGGTAAGAGATCTTTATCAGGAACTAAACTTGACCTAGTGCAATATATGTCATCTATTTCTTACAGTTCGCTCAAATGGAAATGAAGAATCTCGCCAACTGGCCACTGAAGTGCAGGCCTAGTCCGTGACTTGGTCCAACCTCCAACGATCACTATTTTGTAGTTGTGATTTATATTACCCTGACCATTTAATCTAACCTTTAAGGAGTGTACTTTATAATATCGAATGCTTCCGCATTTAAAAAATCGCCTTATTTAATAAAGGGTAGCATAAAAAATATTTTATTGTTAGAGTTGTCCAAGTTTTGGAAAAAAACGCGAAATCCGAGTCAAGTAAAGTGAGAAATTATTTACCAGCCTGCATAGATAATTCATTTTGATACAGTGCTGGAGAAAATTATAAGACAGGCTCAGGTAAATTCGGACAGAGGTGCGAGGAACCAACTGACTAACCCACATCTAAACGTTCTGGCAATAAAAGTGAACCACTGCAGCAGAGCAAAGGCGAATAAGTGCGCCGAGCTTGTTATAATTTTGTCACAGAGAAAACTTCAAACTTGGGGTTTTTTCAACTTTTTTCCAAATTGTACAAACTTCCCAATATATTTTTTAGCATATGATTTATAAGACCTATAAAGTGCGGTTATAATCAAAGTAAGATTTAGAAAAAAAAAACGCGTTTTTAGTTGACCCGTCGATCACTAGTAGTCACGGCTAATGCAGTTCTCGTGCAAACAAAGACAATGGAAATTAGTTGTGAACCCCTCGGGCTGCTTGCCAGCGTAGTAGTTGAAGGTCAGTTCTTCACCTAGAAACAGGAACACTAATTTATACTGCGAGCCGTACTCACCTCTGCGGACATCCTTGTTGGTGAAAAAGCAGATTCTATGCATTCGACGGTCGTAACAGTCACTGAATACTTTCATTGCGATCATATTGGGATTACAGGAGTTGTTGAAGAATCTGGATTCATTTCCGAAGGTGTTCGAGTCGATGATCAGATCCGGGTTGGTGGTGCTCGAAGCTCCGCTGTTGTTCGCGGCTGAGGCTGAAACAGATAAATTTGTCCCATTTTTCTAAACACTAACACCATTCAAGAGCTAAACCTACCGTTGCAGAAGCTGCGATTTGCCGACGTTTCTTCCGGCTGAATAGTCGTTTCCTCGGGCATCGGGGCTTCCTCGGGCTGAGAGCCTGGACTTTCAGTGGGTGTGGGATCGACAATCGTCAGCTCTTGGAACATTCGTTCGTCGTCTCTCTTCTCTTCTTCTACTTTATCATCAATTCTTTCCTTTTCCCCTCCACTTTCAGGTTTAATCACGAAGGTTTCATCACCCTTAATAGTGTCATCACTGGAACTGGAATAATCAACCAAACGATGTCCCCGACATTCTTCATATTGTCGTTGTTCTTGATCGACATTGTTTTTTCCAAAACCATCTCCACTCGATCCAATGTGAACGTTAGAAGTGTGAGCCGTGACATTCTTGGAGATCGGACTTGGAAGATTAACATCAGCGAAGCATGCGCTAAGATCGCTTCTGTTGGGAGAAGATGTGGAGATGATTCGTGTTCGATTCAGATCAGATGTTGTCGGACTGCTAACCGTCCCCGCCCCACTCACAGCAAACGTTTCATCTAAAATTTTAAAAAATATTATCCTGAGAAACACACAGTAATGTTTCCACTAAATTCTTTCAGCTTACAAAGTTTCTCTAAATCCGTGCTGTCGGAAAAAGAAACACGCTGAATCAACGCTTCGCTGGCGGAGGGTTGTTGATCCATCGGCTCCTCCTCTTCCTGGCTCTCTTCACCTTCGCTCCCATCTTTACTTTCCCCATCATCTTCTTGACTTTCTTCCTGGGTTTCCTCCACTTCCATTTCTTCCTCTTGACTCTTCTCTTCCGTTTCCGCACTCGGCACTGGTTCCACTTCTCCTTCCTCTTCATTTTCATTCGTCTTCGGAGATTCCCGTTGTTCATCAATCGCTTGCCGTTTCAGCGCCGCCCTTTTTCTCGCTGCTCTCTTCCGCGCATTTGCTCCTGCTTTCCTTCTTCTGCCTTTTTTCTTCGGTGCTGGTGCCACCTCATCGAAATAAATGTCGAACATGTACGTGGAGACTTCCCTGTTCCACATCTCAGCCGGACTGATAATCTCTCCAAAATACTCGGAAACAAAAGTCCCTTTTCTCATGTCCACGGCGGCGCGAACACTCCAACCTCGGTCCACAGTGCGAAACAAGACCAAAGGAACCCGTCGACCTTTCTAAACCGATGACACAACATTATTCAATCGACCCGACCCACCTGAGTATACCTGTTCTTACAGCCAGGCCCACAACCACAGATTGGAGTGCACTCTTTGAGATGCTCGTTGAAGAATTTGGACTGCAGACAGTTCTTCTTGTACCAATTCGAGCAGCAATGCTTCTTCTTGGTGCATGCTAAATGAGCTGGATTGGGATTCTTCTTGATAATACCCTCGGCACTGGTGTGGTAAATATACTCAAGAACAAATACAAAACCCTCCGGCTTCGCCTCTTCGTCCACCCAATTCTCAACGTAGATCGGAGCGTGCCCTTTTTTCCGGTTCAACAAATTCATGTCGGTCTCCCATTTCAAACATCTCCGTTGATAGATGTAATTTACGTCCGGATTGCCATAAAGTGGAAAGTAATAATTCTCATAACGGAATTCCATGATTTTCGAAGTCCTATGACCAAGATCAATCTCCCGCTCAGCGACGAATTCAACTCTCTTTTTATGTTCATCATTGATAAGTCCCATGATCCTTGCAGCGATAACCAGACGACGTTTGAATTCTTCCAACTAAAAACAATAAACCTTGATGAAAGAACACCTACTATTTTCTGATCTCCCTGTAAATCCTCTGGACTGATCCACGAACACTGTGTGAAAGGAAATCCGACCCATTTGACCAAGTACAAGACCTGTCCTTTATGTTTACTTATATTCACAATCCTCTCCACTGGGAACTGTGCCGGGGGCTCTACAGGTTCTTCAAGAACGACGGGCGGAACCTGTTTTCTTACCGAATTTCTTACCGAAATTCTCCGCCGTCTCTGTTCGGCCCATGGATAAGATCGGACATCAATTTTTCCTTTGAGTTTCGGCTAAAATAAGGTTTCATTAAATAATATTTAGTTTTTAGATTCGACTAAAATACTCTTCAATAAATTTGCGGAGCATCTTTCGACACTACAGTCTACCTAAAACAGATCAACGGAACCTACATCCGGTGGTGGGAGCGGCTCAATTCGAATCTCGCACTCCTTTAACATAGGTCTCTGGAGACTCATTGTACTCGCGCCTTGGCCATGAACGCAGACGTTTAGATTCAGATCTGAATCAAGACTTGTGAATTCTTCATAATCTCGGTTTTCCACGGCAGTTTGCGCCCTATAATAGCTTGCAATTTGTGGGAGACAATGTATACGATAGAGTTTATTGATTTTTGTGACAAACCAGTGTTCATTGGCTGTGAAATGTCGTCGAAGTCGGTGGGTTCTCGACTCGAGTTCAAGGGGTAAGTCAACTTTATACAATGTGTCAAATATTAATTACAGTACCACCTTCCTCAGCCGCCTTCTTGATCTGCCCGAAATCAATTGGGAGGAACTCTTACCGGCTCATTTCTTCTACGATTCCGATGGTGAGAAATTTGTGATGATCAGTGGGAAGATGATCGATGATTTCATTTTTTGGGTAAGACTTCTCTTCAGATAGTCTTGGATGTTTTCGGATTGGTTACCGTATCTCCCTTTTAAGCAGCGATATTTACAACAAGAAATTGTATCGAAGAAGAAACAAGTCAGCGAAGTCAATAAGAAGGCAAGGGAAAAAATGAAGACGTTGAGCAGTTACAAGTACGAGGACTATGGCCATATTGTGGCCAAATACAAGTTGGAGGTTGAGAACGCCATGTTTGAAGAGCTGCAAAAGAAGTTGAACATGGTGGGGAAGGAGGAAGAAGAGGTCAAGGCAAAGGAATTAGAAGCAACCAAAATGCCAGGAAGCGGAGATGGAAAAGGATTTTTGATTATGATCCGGGGCAAAGCCAAAGACTTATTCAATCGCAAGGCTCTTTAAACGCAAGTTTTGATCACAGAATGGCTGTGATATAGTAATATAAGGATGGCGACATACAAATCAAATCGGGTTTCGTGGCCAGAAACCGCGATTTCTTGTCTGTTAGGCCTCCAGACAAGAAATGCGCGATTCTTGTCTGAGCAGAGAAAAAAAGAAAAAAATCTTCACGGGGAGAGAGCACAAATCTGCGCAATGTTACGCAATTTGAGACAAGAATTACGCATTTCTTGTCTAGAAGCCTAACAGACAAGAAATGGCGGTTTCTGGCCACGAAACCCGATTTGATTTGTATGTCACCATTCTTATATCGAAAACGTCATATTATATGCTTTCTAAATGTTTTGTTCGTATTGCACATAGCCCCTTAGCCGGTTGATATTGCATAGTTATAGTTACTTGTCAACGGCCTTTGATCTTCCCTTATTTATTCTCTTCAGCGACCCCTCGGCTTTCTTGACTTCAAAAATCAGCCGTTTCTCCTGCAAACATCTCATCAAGTTATTATAAAATATTATTTACAAATCTATTTCCTCGAATAAATCAGTGCAAGTTCCCAATCTGTAATCTAGTTTTCATGATTATTATGCAAAAACTCGGGGAATAATCAAATTTCGTCAAAGTTTGGAAAGGCTAGCCGTAAATAGTTTGGGAGGCTATTTCCAGAAGCTCAATATGCGGAGCGATTTAGGAGTTTCATCAAGTAGCGCTCTTTAAAAGTTGGCTTTATCACCACAATATATTTTAGACTCTGATTTTCCTATGGTCAAACCTTCTTTGAAAAAGGGCCGGTCGCTTGTTCCAAATATCGTACCCACCATTCTATGATTGTGTTGAGTATAGCCTTTCTATTTAATAATGCTTGCAACGGTTCTAACAGAATGCCATAAATGGCGCAAAGTTCAAACTTTTTCGCTTATAATGACTTTTGAACGAAACAGAGAACTTGGCATATATAAACTGTAGTTTCTATTCTGTCCGGAAAGAACGTTTTGCCGTTCCGAAATGATAAATCCCTTGTTTTATTGGCCTTGGCCATCTGTTCCGAGACCCGACTCTAACTCCTTTTACTTATAATGAAAACACGGTTTTCACGTCAATTCAGGAAATTTAAAATAGTCGGAGTCCATCAAAAGGTGGGTGTCTCGAATGTTTTGGATAAGATTTTACTTCTTTGGTTGCTTACAAATTTATTGATGTACTAGATGTCAGAGTCGTTTTTGCGGAAGAAATTTTATTATTTCCGAGAAGAACAAGGCGAACACAATGCAAAGAGCAAGAGTCACTCAAGTTTGCAAGTTGGCAAAGACTTTGACAATGAGGACAGACTTTATGACAGGGGCAATAATCAGATGGCATTTACAACTTGTATCCCGCTTTTGTTGAAAAAAATGTTATTCGATATGCAAAAAGAATCCGGTTTTGATGAATTAGCGACAATTTTGCGGCCATTTCATTGTCTTCATACACAATATTTTACTTTCCAATTATGATGACTGTTTAGCCAGGACTATGCCGTGAGCCCGTTTCTTGCATAATCAGCAATCACTTTGTCGGAATAGGGATTTAACCCTTTAATACCGCGGGCTTACATTGCACTTTCAATAATTTTTCCCCTTGACGGTTTTTTTATATTATTCTTGACCTGAACCCTCAGTCATCAAAAAGTCTGGACTCGGGATCCCCCAGAAGAGATTAAGCACACAAAAATTTATGTAAAGTAGTGGAAATCATCAATTTTTGCGATACGCTTCAGAAATACTATTGTCTTTGAAAATCTCTTTGTGGAATTCACGTTCGTATCTTGGTTAGGAACTTTGTGCGGATTTCGAGCTCTATATAAACTTGGAACCTGCTGAGGTGTATAAGGAGCCATCTTCTTGCAAAGACTTTTTGAATAAAAAAAGAAGAAAATATCGAGATTAATTGTAGTAAATTTATGAATTTAAAGTTGGATGATGACTGATACTTTGTGGATTGTATTTTTAATGATTAAAGAATTCACTATGGCATTTTCAGGGTAATAATACCACAAGATGGTGGTAGATACGTTTCAATTCTCGGCCGAAGTCGATCCCGTTCTTCGGATGAACGAAGAGGATGTTAGGAGGACTTCGATTGCCGCGGCTCAGAAGGCAATTCAGCTGCCTGGAGAGAAAGATTCAACTTGGATTTTCAGGTAAGTCACTAACTTGTGTTACGGTATATTGATAGCACGGAAGTTCGAAAAGATGAATCAAGATTTTTTAAAGTTTTTAATGCTTATTTTCTAGACACAAAACACGGTTATTAATATTCCTCATATCAACGCTTGGCCTCACCATTGTCATGGCGAACTCACTTGTCTTCAATTTCACTGTAATTTGTATGGTCGAGCCGGGAGAAGAGTACCTTTTGTTGAATGAGACTGTGCCTGGAGGTGAGTTTAAATTCTTGTGTTCAATTCACTTGTCATATCCACTCAATGTGAATAAAATTACAGCCACCCAGCCAGATTTTATTTATTCGGACGCGGAAAGAAGTTGGCTATTCTCAGCGATTGCGATGGGAACTTTAGTGGGGACGTTGCCCATTACTCACCTTAGTTCTCGATATGGAATACGGTATGATTGGAAATGATCTTATTCTATGGAGCTGTTACAGGCTGACTTTCACAATTTACGGGCTGATCTCGGCCTTGGCGACTCTTTTAACGCCAATCTGTGTGTCCATCGGAATGCCTTTCGTCTTCGCGATGAGGGTCCTTCAGGTAATACTGGTTTATCGTACCTACCTTTATCTAAATACGTTGTTTAATCTTATCTTTTTTATTACATTTCAGGGAGTTGGTGTCTCCACTTCCTGGCCAGTAATGGGTGCCATTGTCGCTGAATGGTCGAGTCTAGCCCAATCTGGAATGGCCGTAGCCCTGTTGTCCTGCCATCTACAACTCGGCGCGGTCGTTACAATGCCTTTGTCCGGCACTCTGTGCGAAAGTTCGTTTGGATGGCAAGGCGCGTTTTATGTACAAGGAGTGGCCACAATTATTATCGTCGCCATCTTTTTCTGGTTTTACAGAGATACCGCGGCTGAGCATAAGTAAGTTTAGAATGTCTGGGTATGACAAGATGGCCACGAGACATGCCATAGTGACATATTTTAACCAATTGACGTTTTTGCGATTTCTTGAGTTTCTCCTTGCAGGAATGTCTCCCAAAAAGAGTTAAGACAGATTCAAGAAGGTAAGATTGTGCGAGTCCTGGAAGAAGACGAGTACGAGCCAATCCCATATGGCCCCATCTTCCGCGATAAGTGTATCATCGGCATTCTTTTCTCCTGCTTTGGCGGCAACTTTGGTTTCCAAACATTCTTCCAATATGGCCCGGTCTATCTGAATAAGGTAATATCTCACCCAATGGCCGATTACATCCTACTTTAGGTTCTGAAATTTGATGTCACCAATACTGGCTTCGCTGCAGCCGTTCCGTATCTCCTGGCGATCCTCGTGAAATTCATTGCCGGTCCTTTGAGTGACAATATCCCGGGGTTTAGTGCCAAAGCGAGAGTTATTTTGTTCGCTTCGGTCTCCCAATTTTGTATGGCCGGATGTTTCCTTGGCCTAGCGCTGATGCCAGTTGAGTTGTCCGTCCTGGCGCAGCTATGTTACACTGCGGCGATCATTTTCAGTGGATTGAATTGCGTTGGAGTCATCAAAAGTACTCAACTTGTAAGTGGCTGGGATAAAAAGACTTGTTTTTTTGTAATAAGGCAAGTTTCATATTAATTTAGGTTTCTGGAAGGTTTGTTCATTTCCTGATGGCGATAAATGGCTTCAGTAACAGTGCAATCGTACTGGCATTGCCTGGAATTGTCACACTGTTTGCTCCGACCAACAGTAAAGAAGAGGTAATATATTTTTTTTAAATGATAAATATAGTATAATTGTTTGATCAAGTCTAAAGTAATATCATCATTTTTTAGTGGTCTCGCCTCTTCATTTTTGTATGTGTTTTGGTCGTCATTGTTACAGTAATCTTTGATCTAACTGCCGAAGTCACTCCTCGAGCTTGGGCTGGCGGTGATACAAGAAGAAAAAAGAATGTTGTGGCCCCATATCAGGACGGAGAAAAGAGATTTGAGATCGAAGCCGAAGCTTTGGGAGACACGGAAGCCGTGGAGAGAGTGTTGAGGAGGAAACGAGAGAGTGTCCAGAGCCAGACATTCAGTCAGACTGGCCGGAGGTTGTCCATTTTGTCACTGCCTCGAGGGTACAAAGCCATTTAAAGATTTTTGTTGATTGTAGCTATTATTATATTAAAATATACAGTTTGAGTTTTCTTTTGGCTATTGGGATCTTCGACAATTTTACATCATTGGCATTTTTACCAATGGCTGGATATTGCTTATCAAAAGCTCAATTCTAATCTATGATGACGTAATGCCAAGAATGGCGAGAATTCCAATTTTTGTTGTCTAATATTCTCTGAACCTATTTCAATCCCAATTTAAAGCAGAATGACGCCATTTTGTACCGACACCCTCGCTAATTACCCCCCAAATAAGGCTGTCACAACCTGTATTCCATTCCAAAAAAGATGACAATCCACATTTAAAAAGCAATTAAATTTTATTCCGCCATAAAACAATGCCCATAACCACGACATAAAAAGGCATGATTATATAGGAATTACTGGTTTCTGTTTACAATCCCCATAATCGACGGATTCCGTGCGTATTTTATACTGGTTTATGATCATTACTGGCTGAATTTTAGGGCTGTGTACCAAATTCCTCGCATTTTTGACGGCCCGGCTTTTATGTGGCTCTCTTATCAGCCGATAAGCGGTTTATGGAATGGCGAGAAAAGAGTGGGGAGAGGAAATGGAGTCGGTGCTTAACCGGGTCAGGTCGAATGGAACTTAGAAGACTTCGAAATTGCGATTTACCGCATTTGTTTGAAGATTTTTTGATTTCCGTACATCGACTGGTCAATTTGTTTTTTTTTTGCAAGCGCAGCCGAGATATTGAACGATCTTTGCCGCAGAGAGAGAGTATGCGAAAAGCGGAGAACGGGCAGAGACAAAACACTTTTAGGCGATATCCTTGTCAGTTTCGGGTGGAAAAATTGATTTTGTCAAAAATACTCCTCTATACAAAATAAATCGAAAAGAAATTTTTATGGCAAAAAATTGGCTGTCAACTTTGGGCCTAAAAATTTTGGACAAAGCGCGAACTAGGAGGTTCGCGTAGAGCTTAGAAAATAAAATTTTAAATTTTTGTCAAGTGTAATCAAAATTTTGGAGTACTTAGAAGCCGTTTCGATCAAAAAACCTTATTTTGTTCATCAAAACTTTCCAAATTTCCTTGATTTTTCGCTTTATTTTTGAAAATTCTAGCCGAAAACATTCAAACACCATCTTTAAATTCACGTGGGTCCCCGCGGGTCTCTTCCGAGCCCACCCCAACCCGGGTATCTTCCCTCCGCGACGGGAATTCCACGGACTGTAAATGAGTCACGGAAGGAAATCTAAACAAAAAAAGGAGCGTTCGACAGTCCGAAAAGAGTGTCCGTTCGGTTTTTTTGGTCGCGACCGTCTTTATAGCGCGTCTCTGCCCCGAATCCCCCTTCCTTTCCTTCTCCATCCACTAGCACTCAAAAAACCGGCGACTCAAGCTCTTGCGGAGGCCTCCAACCTGTTGTGTTTACCTCGACTGCTCGCGAGAATGCCCACGAGCCTCGCGTTTATCACTTTAATAGGTGAAACCCGAGCTTTCGAAGGGATATTTAATTTTTATTGGGGACTTTGTATTGTTACTTTGCCATACCGAAAACAGAGAAGGACGTGGCGGCGATTAGCGCCCATTTTTGCGAGGTTACCGTTTAGCGGAGCGCTTAAGCTCGCCTGTTTCCCCTCTCTCCATCTCTTACATGGATCCGACAAAAAAGTTTTCGGGATCTTTCGCAACCCATATCCACCTCCACCTTGACATTGGCTCCCATGGGTAGAATGAAGACGGATGCGTAATGGGAAGACGGATAAGGCGGTCATCTGGCTTAACGCCAACTCGGGTTCGCCGCCTCCCCTTCGTTTATCGCACCTGATCTAATGGCCCGTGCGTTTATTTGTTGCGTCGATGAGAGCGAAATCGCGAGGTAATTACATTGTAATTGACGCTGAGGTCGGAGTTGTAGTGTTCATCTTTATGCGGCGACCTCTGAAATGTATCCTTAGAGGATTTTCCTTATTTTTAGATCAAAAATTTTGTGCTCTTGCTTTACCTGTAGCTTTTTTCAAATTGAATGATTACTCTACTGCCTAAAGTAATGTTTGTTTTTTAGTTATTTTTAAACCAAAAACTAATTAACCCTGAACAGCACCCACCTTTGGTCCTAACTGCTCTTAAAAACTCAAAGTTTATTTATCAGTTGACCAATTTTTGTCTTTACACTTTATGAATGATGAAAAAGTATTACTAATTAACAAATACAACGATAACTATGTCTGATATTACACTACCAATCATCAATGAATGTAACCAGGAAGTTTTCGACGTATAAAATTATTTCTCTCACCGTTTTATCGCGCTCTCCTTGTTCTTTGAACTCGTGCACTACCAAGTCTAATATAAAGATTATTAATTTTGCGTGTTCCGAAACCTGTTTTGATTGTAAACCGATATTGTTAACTCGAGTGACGCATAATTATCCTCTTCTGATCACTTTCTCTCCGCGATCTCATCCAATGACATCATTTCCCCGCTTTGTTTTGTTGGATTTCGTTTTGGCGGGAAAACTGGAATTTGAATTTCGTTTTTTCGTCCATTTTTTCAAAAATTTTCTCCGAAAAAATATTGAACTAGTTCAATATTGACGAAATTTTGATAAGGGTTCGTCACCTCTGGCCGGATTTATAGATTTGCAGTGTGTTTTGAATGTTTGTTTGCGCGATTCATTCTTCCAAAAGTGGAGTGCGACCTCTCCAAAGCCTCAAGCCGAAGTTTTGTCGCGTTTTTTTGGTTTTTTAAGAGTCCAGATTTCCTCGAGAGTCTCACCTGTTTCTTTGCTTTCAGAGTGTTCAAACATTCCTAATAAAGCCGAAGATGAGTAATGCTCCGAACGGCGAAGCCGCGCGGAACGGCTTCTACGACGATAAGCCGCTTCTGGAGCTATATGTCAAGGTAGGTGAATATCGGATTATTGTTGCGGATTTTAGGAGTATCAATAGAGATTGGATATCAATAAATCCAGAGTTTATTATTCTGCGTTATTGTTATTGTTTTAGGCATCAGGAATCGACAGTCGACGAATAGGAGCCGATCTCTTTTGCCAGGAGTTCTGGATGGAACTCTACGCTCTTTATGAAGTTGGAGTGGTCAGAGTGGAGGTGAAGACGGTAAAAGTGAACTCAGAAGCCTTCAAGAAGAATTTCCTTGGTGCCCAGCCTCCAATCATGGTTGAGAGTTCAAAGGGTGTGACATATTCAGATAATCGAGAGATCGAAGGAAGAATATTCCATTTGGCCAAAGAGTTCAACGTTTCTTTGTTCGAAAAGGACCTTACCGTTGAGAAAACTATTCAGAATTTGTACAGAGTAAGCTTATTTTTATTTTACAGTCCGAATTTAGATTTCCGATGTAATACTTGATGTTTTAGAATTTCAAAGTATTCCTCCAAGCGAAAGTTGGCCATGACAGACAACTTCGTCAAGTCACAACGATTCAAGAGCTCCCTACTCCAGTCCTCCTCACCTACAACAAACTCATTGAGCAACTCACAGCCGTCAACAATCTCCTTGCCGAACGAAAATCCCGATATCTGGCCGGAGATACGATGACAGAATATGACTGTGAATTGATGCCTCGGTTACATCATGTGAAAATTGTTGGTCAACTTCTCCTTGGCTTTGAGATCCCCTCCGAATTGACCCATCTATGGAATTACATCCTGACAGCCTACAGGACAGCAGCCTTCATCGAGTCCTGTCCGGCTGATCAAGATGTTTTACATCACTACAAAGAACAGCTAAAACTGCAGACGAATCAACGAGAGACCCTCCAAACACCCACCAAATCCTTCGGAATACCTCAGAATGTGTTGGACGAGATCCGGAGACTGGGGCTTAATTAATAACATATACACCATGGCCATTGTTTGTAATATCGCTTATTTTTGTCAACTTCTTATCGATTCCAGAGACTCAGAGTGTAATTTTTATTGATAAAAAGACTTAGAAAGGCGTGTGTTGATATCATGGCGTTGTTTAATAATCTTCGTCATCTGAATCCAGGGCACACCTGCGGCGGTCGAACTGAAAAAATATGATAAACAAAGGAATTCTTATCTACACGCGTGAAAACAGTGTTGGAAGGATATGAACCGAACGACTTACATTTACTTTGGTTACTTTTTGTGTTGCGGCAGCAACCTTGTCTAAGATCGACCTGAAGCCTTCATCATCAAGTTTCCCTGAGATTTGACCCGTTCTTGCCATTTGAATGATCATACTTTCGACCCCTTTAGCTTTATCAGGCTTTACGGCAGCTAAATTGCTTAGTCGGGCAAAGGCATTTTGATCGAGGACCTAAAAATAATTTTGTTCTCCACATCATCAACATGTTTAACACTTAGGTTTCTGGAACTCTTCCGAGACTCTTAGTAAAAAAACTGTAATCTTCAGAACCCTAAAAACACAACACAAAAAGAAATAAACTACGACATACCTGTTTTAGTATAGAATTCTTCATGAGCTCTTGTTCGGCGGCTTTCTGCTTAGCGGCAGCCGGATCTTGCTGTTGAAAGTTTGGCTAAAAACAGAGACAGTGAGCAGAACCTTGAAAACATACCGGTAATCCACTATTCTCTGCCATTATGAGCGTCAAATCGATGTTATTCTTGAACAGAGATAAAAATTCTGCAAAAAAACTATTTTTTTGCTTTGCGGATGAAATGCAACTATTGAATTTTGTGGACATTCCGTTTTTCTTATCAAAAAAATTTTTGGAAAAAGGTTCTGATCAAAGTCTTGCTCTGATTGACGGCTTGCTACATTACTCACTGGTTGTAAAACTAATCGAATCGATTTTTGATTAGTTTATTTCCAAGTTGCTTCAAGAAAATGACTGTAAGTTTATTATTTTTTTCTAAAGAATTTGGGACCATCTTTACAACATGTTTCTAATCGGTCTTTTGACTTCATAATTGTCCAAATTGTGCAATAACTTAGACTGAATTTAACAACTTGATTAGTTGTTCCCATAAGGAATATAATTGATAAGAAATTCAGACTTTTGAAGAAGCTGTTGAGAAGGTGAAGAATCTGAAGACTTCCCCAAGCAATGATGAGCTCCTGGAAGTGTACGCTCTTTTCAAGCAAGCCACCGTCGGAGATAACACGACTGCCAAACCGGGGCTCTTCGATCTGAAAGGAAAGGCCAAATGGGGAGCTTGGGACGCGAAAAAAGGTAGGTAAACTAACTGAACTTTGTAAAGTCTGATTCAGGGTTGAGTCAGGATGACGCCAAGGCCAAGTACGTCGCGTTATACGAAGAGCTGGCTGCTAAGTACGGAGTAAATTAGAATTTCAGACAAATCACCATGGATGATGTCGGATAAAACGGCTTCTAAATTTATGTAATTCATGGCAGTTTTGATTGTGCCATTTAAATCGCCTTTTCATTTTGTTACCTGCAGAGTAGTTTTAATAAAGTTTGTAGTTATTTTTGGTCACAAGATAAACTCTACGCACCCGGAATTCCGCCGATATCTGATATCAGCGAATGTCTGTAATTTACGATTGCCTTCTTAAACAAACTGCCGTTCTTTAAAAGGCGTAAATTGGGGCGAGAAACTCGTCTTTCTTCCGGATATTTGAAACAATCAAAAAAGAAGGGATCTATGTGCACTTTAATAGATACGGTCGGGGATGTTGAAAGTAAGATATTTGGTTTTGATATCCCAGCTATTTACTGTGATCGACACCTGTTTGAGGACCGGATTGCCTGATGGGTTCACGATCCCACCAAACTTTCTTACTACACTACCGCCGACAACTATACCCGCAGGCAATAATGATCGTAAGTTTTTTTTACTATGTACAGGAATTACGAAAGCCACTATAAAGCTAATATGCGTAAGTGTCCCTCCGTGGGACTCTCAAGAAACCACAAAGACTGCTTGTATCGTGCAAATTAATCTTCTGATCTTATTTTAGGTTGTGTGGTCCCAGATGGGACCCTCGGCATCACCTTTGATAAAGGCGATTTCACGCCCAATGGAGATACTTCAGGCTTTGTCAAAGCCCCCGTAGCTCGATGCACATCCTGTCAAACGGGGCAGAGATATTTCTTCGATCCCACTGATCAGAATACGATGGACGACGCAGGTTCCAATGGCCAAGAAGCGGCCAGAATTTCATGCGATAATTGGGCCAACGCCTGTGTTTGCAACAGCGCCAATGATTGCTGCACCTTTGACAGCAACAATGTCAACTTTGCCAATATGGCAGTATGGTGTGATGCCAACAACAGTAGGTTCAAGTGTGAGTAATGGTAACAGTAATTTGTTCAGATTGTCAGCAGTACATGAGTATTAAAGGAACGGCCACATTAAACTGTCCGAGTGGTAATACTTATGCACTGGATGGAGCTAAGGCTTTCAGTACCGCGGGGAATTACTTCGAGGTGAATGCATTCAGCTGCCAGAGTTGTAATGGGATCAACAGTGATCCCTGTATGGGACCCACCGTTCCAGTATAGAACAAAGAAGGAGATGACCTAAATCAATGTCATATAATGTCAGGGGTGTAATAATAGTATTTATTCGTAATAAATGAGTAATGAATTGTTTTGTTGATCCTTTATTGATCTGCTAAACACGTAACTTTGCGTGAATCTGTGCACGACTCACACCTGACTCATCGGAGGGCAACTTGACCCAACAAACTTTTTTTTCTCTAAATTTTTACAATTTTACGACAGAATCTTGTCCATTAATGCATTCTCCTTTTTCATTTACGTTTAGTGTGTTTCTTTATTTTTCCAGATGAATGTTCGAGATTTGTTCTATCCTGATCCAAAAGAGGGGGAAACAAAAAGATGTGTTCAAATTCGACGAAGAGATACGATTGCCGTTGTGGATAGGACAACTCCTCCAAGAATAAGATACGAGGTTGACTCGGGACTCTCTCCCGTTAAGAGGCCCAGGTTGATTCGAGTGTGTAATTATTATCTTTGTCCTATATTAACCTTGTCCCTTTTCTCAGTCTATTCCTTTTAAATTTCAGGTAGATTCTTCACGTTCTCCTCCATATGTCCGAAAGCTCGCGCCAGCCTCCTCTTCTGGACCATCGACCAGTCGTAAAGCCTCTGTTGACCTTAATCGGACCGATCCCGCGCTTTCAACAACTCAATTCAGTGGCTTTAGTAATATAGGATGCAGAAGTGCTGAGTCAACTCGAGGTTCTTTCACATTTACTAGGAGTAGTTTTCCTTCAACTTCGTCTACTTTTGGGTATCGGCGACTTGATTTTGCTACTCCAAAAAGACGGAATCAAGTAAGTTTTAGTGTTGCAGTATCATGGGTAATATAATTAATGCTGCTTAAAGTTACTCAGAAGGTTCACAAATACGTTTTTAGGTCCCACCAACCAAGAAAACTCTAGCCTCGACGTTGAAGCGACCTGCAGCTCGAGACATTCAGCGGACTCCCCCAACGATTTTAATAGCAGATCAGACTCGAAACAAAAGCCCGCTCATATTTGTAGACGAGCAATTCACCCCACCGAGACCACGGATTGTTGATTTCACACCCGAGAAGCATGATATCACAGTTCAAAGGACAATAAAGCGACCAGAAGTTGTGAGAGACGATATTCAATTGGATTTACCTCAAGATGATGAGGAATTTGAGAGGTTTATGGAGGAAAAGGCGAAGTCGCAAGGAGCAGATGAGGATGGGATTGGACGTTTAGTGGATATGTTCGATAGGGAAGACGATTATCAAGAGACTTACACTTTAAGAGGTAAGATTGTTTGATGACCTCATTTTTTTCGCATTTTTTGTGTGAGACCATGCGCTTTATGATAAATCCTACGGTTTAGTGACGCCTCGAGAACGGTTGCGGGTTCGAAAACGAGACATTCACATTTCATCGGGTCTCCTTTATATCGAAAATCGGAACAGGAGCATCATTGCGAAGCCAGATAAAGAACTAAACCTGTCGGAAATTCCGGGAGATGTCATCCAAATGGAACTCTTCAATACTGATAATACCGGTCAGCATGCTCATGACGGGAAGGACTTGATTTTTGGAGAAGTTAGAATACTGTAATATGGTCGTCGTTGTTGTCGTTTTCTTGAGTAAATTGATAAACCGAGAGCTTAAAATTGATGATTCAACTGTCTGTTCAGAGGTTCCCTATTTTCTGATACATGTGATTTTGATTTTTGTTGAAATTTGTTTACTCAAATTCCAGCCGTTTTACCTCTTTTTCTTCGATATTTCAGCCGCATTACTCAAAATCAATTTTATTAAAATTTATTAATACTTATTAAATCACCGGTAAAATCAATAAAACAACGAGTTAGAGTAATCCAAGTGAGACAACCAGTTTTTACAGTCCCTTCCGGACGCCTGATTACAAGCAGAAAGGTCCATCCACAAGACAGAACAACAAATGTACAGGGTGAGCAAGGAGATGAACAAATTCTAGATGACGTCGTCCATACAGCTCTTGAAGAAGCCTATCAGCATCTCGAATAGATGGGGGCGGACTCCCTTCAGCGAGTGCATTTCGTCGGGATAGACCTGAAAATTGAAAAATCAGCATCTATTTTGGAGTAAGTATATGTTGTACTTGGTCATCAAGTGGAAGACAACTGACCATAAGTTCGAACTGAACGTTTTCTCGGACAAAAGCATTGATCAGCTCGGCAGTGTTTTGGAAATGGACGTTATCTGAAGAAGAAATATATTAATATTATGATGATCGGGGAAAATGCTGAAAACAGCTGAACGCACTGTGCAAAAAACACACGTACCGTCAGCAAGACCATGGATAAGCAAACTCCGCACGAAGTGGAAGTTTGTCACATTTGTCGCTACATTTGTGAGATCATACGCGTGTTGTGTTGCATTTCCCATGTAACGTTCAGTATAAATCGCGTCTAAAACAATATAAAATACAATAAATGGATCTCTTTTAATCAATCGAAAATGCGAAAAAAATTGGAGTCACCAGAATTGTACTCACCATACATCTTGAAGTTTACGACCGGGGCGATCATAGCAGCGCATTTGAAGACGTGATCATTATCGCGAGCGATGGCATGAGCGGTGACAAATCCACCGTAGGACCAGCCCCACATCCCCACTCGTTTCTTGTCCAGGAACTTGTGTTTCTTTAGCAGAAGTCTGAAATTAAGTTTAATTTAATTTCCGATTGTTTTTGGAAACATATTTTTTTTTATCGCACCGTGCAGAAAATCTTCTCCTTACTTGGTCGCCTCGATCTGATCATCCACTTCCACCGTTCCCAAATGCCCATACATGGGCTGTCTTCTTCTCCATCCCGCATTCCCCGAGCCTCTCCCATCAATATTGATGATCACGTACTCCAACGTCGAGCTGAAATAGACATCCACCGGCATTTCTGGGAGCCATTCTTCATGGACTTGATGACTATTCGGCCCTCCGTAGACGTAGACCAAGACTGGGTACCGTTTGCCAACCGAATTCAACGAGACTCCGTGCGGCAAAAACATTCGAGTGTAGACTTCTGAAAGCGAAAATCTCTTAGTCTTGTAGCCGAATGATCCAAGATAAACTTCAGGAAGCCGACTTACCAAATCCATTGGCCAGAGTGACGTTTTCGAAGTGAACTGTCGGGAATTTCTTCCGAATCAACTCCTCGTCTCGCTCCGAAGTTTGGCCGAATTCGGCCAAGACCTTCACTGTTCGATTCGCATCAACCTCGGCTACATACACAGTCGTGGGCCCGATTCCTTTGCAATTCATAAAGAATTTTGTGGAGGATGGAGCGAAAGTCGTGGTATGGTAAGTACAATTGGCCGAGACGCCACAAGTTATGCAGGTGGCATGGAGTTGATTGTTCTGAGGAAGGGCTGAGGTCGCATAGAGATGGAGTTGGCGATGGATCGGGGCTGGGGACGTGAAATAGCTGAAAAAACATAATTTTATCAAAAGAGGTGGCTCTTTTGTCATGAATAATATAAAAATTTGATTTTCTATTCATTTTGTAAAGATTTTCTGATGATAAATCAAAATTTAATACTGTTCTAATTATCTCGTAATGAAGATTGAGTACTTACATAGTTTCGGTCTCAGCATCATAACTATCAATCGAATCCACCTCCTGATCTCCCATTGCCAAAAAATTTTCTTTCCCATGCACAAAATGACTCTAAATCAATATAAATGAACGTCTTAGCGATTCTTACGGGCACGGTGATCCTTGCAATTTGATTGAATACATCACCATTCGGCCTTCTATGGGGGAGAATCGTGAAGAATGAATTATTTGTGTGAGCGGCAATCGCAACATGCTCCGGAAGGGCGTACTGATGGAACTCTCCGATCTCGTAGCTCTGATGATATGTCTGAAATATGGAAATCAGTTCCTTCATACGATTTGATTTAAAATTCGGTTTAGACAAAAAATATTCAAAAATCTTACCAAAACACATTTGCCAGAAGCTGCTGTACATAAGGTAAATGAGACTTCATCCTGGAAACGGTTCGAAAACACCGCGATGAGGACATTCTGACCATGTAATGTGGCGTACGAAGCGTGCATCAGATACGTTTTTTGACTGGAAATAAATCTTTTAGTCATCATTGTGGCTCAAGTCATCAAAAATACTAGATTTTGATCTACAGCACTTAGAAAATTTGTCGATGAGAACTTAATTTGAAGAATTGTCAAGTTCAAAACATATAAGGAAAAGAAAAAATACCCAACTCGTAGTTTAGACTTACTGTTCGGGCAACTCCACAGTCAAATTGACGGTCTTCCGACTCCTTTTGTTCCAAATCTTCAAATCCACCTTCTCCAAATCCCGAACCCCCGCTTTCGCGTATCGCTGGGTCTGCAACAGCGGATATTGCTGTCCCATGTAATAGCTGATGTTGTAGGACTTGACTTTGTTCAGGTCAGTCGTCATGTATGCCACTTCCTGGCCATCATCCGACCACCAGAACACATCGGGACCAAACAGTTCTTCTCCATACGCCCAATTTGTGATTCCATGGCGATAATCGGTGTTGCCATCGGTTGTGATGTTGACCAGTTCATCGGAATTGAAGCCAGGTCTATAGTAGAGGTTGAATTTGTGCACAAACACCTAAAATTTGTTATAAAATTAGTTATTATCACATAAATATTTTTAAAGCGTCAGAATCGAAATTCGGAAATAAAAAATTCGGTATACTGTAATTACTTACATAACCAGCACCATCGGGATTGAACTTGAGGGCATCAACACTCTCACTTCCGGTCTTTTGAGGTCCCACATTCTCGAAAGTTCTGAAAAAATGAAAGGTCATGGATAATATAATTGGGCAAAATAATCAAATTAAAAGCTCACCCCGTCCTCGTATCGTATATTCGTTTTGTTGTGTAGGTCTCAAACGTAGGATCTTTCTAAAAACGATCCATTATTTAAAATATTCACCATCAGAAATGAGCTCCGAACATTAGACGTCATCATCAACATCCAAAACATACGTTTTTCTCTCCGAAATAGGTAATCTCGACATGTGGCGTGTTATGGATCACATTTGTGGACTTGACTTTCCCGTGCCGATACTAAAACGTGACTTATATTACCCTACAGTTCAATGCTTGTCAGATTTTTACGGTATGACAACATGCATGACGTTATAATAAATTGTGTAATCAGAACTCACAAGGGCCTCCGTGTCGAACAAAGTGTAGTTCTTCCACGTGTCCGTGCTGAAGTCAACAACTTCGACGAGGTCATTGGCCCGCACCAAGAGCTTATTTCCGTCCATCCACTCAAGAGCTTCGATGTGCCCCAAAATAGCTGATCCTATCGCATCCTTCAACGAAATTGGCTGTCTGGTACCGTCACCGTTCGCGTCTACTGAAAGAAGGAGAGATTAGAAGTCATTTTGAAGCATTTCGGACAAGTTTTAGCCAAGTATAATATAAAATATGATGGAAGTTATCAAAATTTGAGCTTTTTTAAAACGAAAAAACAATGATTCAAGGCTCTAACAATTGTAAGGATTCCCACATCTTGGCACAGATCCTAAGACTGTTTTTTGCCATTAAAAATGCCATCAACTTACACGGTGTCAGTACCATGACAGCAATACCGATCATTGAGCAGATGAACATGATCACCGCCAGCGCTGTAACAATGCCCTTCCAATTGCGGCGTTGCGGTGAGGAGACGGCCAAATCCTGAAACGACTGGTCGTTCATCTCGCCCAGACCCATCTGCCAGCCCTGTGCCTGCAGGAAAAAGCCCAGGCCGTCGTTGGGATCGAAGGCCTGAGCGGTGCTTTGTCGCTTTTTGGTCGAGATTCGCCGCAATAAAGTGGACATTCGACGAGGTCTTTTGGGATCTTTGGAAGGCAAAGACTTGAACCGAAGAGTTCGACGTTGAGAATAGGGAGTTGCTTTGGAGGAACGGTGCATTTTGGGAGGTTTCAGAGTGTGACAGACAGAGAGATGCTAATTTTGCAAGTTTATGGAGCAGATATTATGTTACACTTCATCAGACCTTACAACAAAAGGCCGAGAGACTTAGAGTTCCATGCTATGGTTAATTGCAGACGTCTACAAAGTTTTCAAACTAATTGTCAAGCTTCAACAAGTAATTTCTACCATTACAATTTTAGCAATCACGATACAAACTTCAATTTTATTCCTAGTACAATATAAGAAATGATGACTTCAAAATAAGTCCAGTCGTGTAATAGCAAGTGAGAATTAGACAGTAGTACCTTATGCGGTTCAAGCAATCCTTTATAACCTTTACCCGCAAATATGAAGACTTATTCTTTCTTTTTTTGGGGCACGTTTCGGCCGCTAAAACCACTTGAGAATTGTGCAAAGAAGTAAGAGAAAAGAGAATTGTACAGGCCAGATTACTGTTTACAATTTTTTCCACAATCTTAGAAACTTTAGACACTACTTTTTACTTGAAAACTGAGATTTTGAGCTTTTTTAAGAGTTTAGAGCCCTCTTTTATAAACGATAAAAAGGAAAGAAGTGAATAGCCAGTAGAGAGGAAGGAAGTGGTCCTGTAATTACTCAGAGATATTAGGAATACTTTCAACGCCAGCCGGTAGATGATTTATTTATGATGGCTGAAATCGAAGCCAGTAAAGAACGGTGCAAAAGACGCGGATTACGTATCCAAAACGGGGCTTCCGATTTGATTTTTTGAACTTTTGTATGTTCGTCCGGCCTAAGAATGTAAAATACACATCCTGTTTACTCGAATCGAGATGTTATGGCCAAATAAACGGGGCCTAATTTGGGATGGAAAGGGTTTTGGAGATAATGGGCTCTAAAAAAGGGGTCGCTCTTTTGGAGTTCACTCAAATTTGGAGATTTTTTCAAGCGAAAAAAATCCGTCACTATGAGAATTTTCTGGTCAAAAATAAGGCAAAAATAAGGTTAATGTTATAAGTTATAAAAATCTCAAAAATTGTCGTTTTTTTGATTTAAGCCCCGTAAAACCTCTGTTCTTTCTCTCCGCATTCCATCGATAACACCTCTTTTGAAGTGAGGACTGCATAAACAAGTATATTACACTACGCAGGCCCTCCGGATAAGTAATCCCACCCACGTGCCCCGAGGCGAAACGAAGAAAAATCCGTTTTAACAGTCCGCATTTACCCCCATAAAATTCAATTACCGTCTAAACATGGGATTTCTCACATGTTTTTGATTTTTATGCCTAACACAGGCGGTAAAATAGCTAAAATACGGACATAAAGACGTCAATCGTTTTTGAGAAAGCTCTAAAAGTAATTACTTAAGTAAAAGCCGTACTGCTGAAGAGAAAAGTTTGTAAAAAGCGGCGAATAAAAGAGGCCACGTGCCGAGATTACTTCGCTAATTTCACCCGCTCTAAGATTGTAAATATCAAGTGTAATGTCACCGTATGAAAAGAATATTGTAACCAGGAATTAGCAAAGACATGAAGCAGGAAATCCATTACACATCAGAAGATAATTTTACATTTTTTAAATCAAACATTTGAGAAAACAATTTTTGAAACTTCAGTCTCTTATAAATTTTAAAATTTTTATTCTTCGCAAATTTTACCACAATCTCAAAACATTCAAATTTTGGGTTTCAAAAAATTTCTAATATCGCTAAAATGGACTCTAGAAACTTTAAAACAACCTTACCAATCAGAATCCGCCTCGAAAATCCGAAATTTCAGTTAAAAAGAACGCTTTTATGCTAAAATTATTGTGCAAACCCTTCGAATTACGTCGATGATTGATCAAATTTATGATCCAAATTGGATAATTCGATATTCGAGCGGCAAAAACAATTGGAATATTGAATAAGGGACGGATTACGAGGCCAAAAACTAAACTCAAATTGCATTTACACCGTAATTTTTGAAGGAAAATAGGAAAGAATTCGGAAGATTTTTTATGGTATTCGATGAAAGAAAGGGTAGAAATGTATTGTTAAATTGAGAAAAATGTTAAATCGGAGGGTACATAGATGGTTCGATGTTTTGGGCAAAAAAAATTTAGTCATCGAACCAAATTTGCAAGATTTATAAAAAATCGGAAAACCAAAGCAAAAGTCATCGCAGTTCTCAAAAGAGAGCCCTAAAACTACTTGAATTCCCATGCAAACCCGGATAAAACAAACCCAATTTTTGTACTAGACATCAAAGTGTACCGTGTAAATTTGATGACCCCGTGCAATGTTTACAGACAAAATCCCCAACGATTCCATTGAGATCAAATGTTCGAAGCGCAAATTCAAAAAGAAAAAAATTTTCGACAAAAAACGTTCAGGGAAATCGGATTTTACAGTCGGGAAATCACGAAAAATCCCTACGAAAGGAAGAATATCCCCATATTTGTATACTATTTATTTTGGATCGGGTTTGTTTGTTTGAGCACCATTACTCGCTAAGAAAAGAGAGTAAAGTTCCTAACTGGGTTAGTGGTTCGGAGTTTTATAGTCTTGGAAGGTCGAAAAACTGTTTAAAATCATGAGAATGAAAGGTAAATAAAACCTCGGAAATAAAGTTAATATTTAGTTGAATAGAAAAATAACAGAATGTAAGACAGTTCGAGGTCGTTTGGCAAGCACATATCCTCCAAATGCGACATCTAAACAACACTTTCTGGCGATGGAAGATTCTAAAGAGGCAGCTGTGAATATGAATGAAAATACAGGCGAGATTGACGACGACGGTTGTTTGTTACTCAACAAGTACGTCTTTTTGTTAAAATCCGGGGCGGTCCAGCAGAAAATAAAGGGTAATGAAGACGATAGCTAACGAATAAGAGTCTTGAATAGACATTGTACCTTTACAGCCATAAGACTTGACATCTGAACCGATGACGGTTTAGATGTCAAAATCAAGGTCCGGTGCCACCCTTCCCCCTTTGTCCACTCACCTCCTCCTCCTGAATTTTTGTGCTGGCCACAGAGTATCGTTTTTCGGTCTCGGCGTCCCGAAAATGCGAGATTATCAGCGCCAACATTCCTATATTTTAGCTATCAAAAGTTGAGCCAAATAATTTGGGGCCACAAGTTTGAAGCCGCTTTTAATCCATGGATACAAACGGAGCCATGTTCGTTTTTTCCGGGGAAATTTCGAAAAAAGTTTTTTGGAAATATAATATATGAATATTAAAGAAGATCGCCCCAGGGCAAAGGCCGACCTGGACCAGGTTTTTTTGAAGTGGAAATGTTAAAATGAACGGAAATATGAGGGAACAGAGACTTGTTTGGTGATCACATGAATAAAAGTTGGGGGAATCACGGAGATCAAGGTGAAAATAATAGATCTTGACCTAAAATCATCATGGGTGATATGTGTAATACGATGAGATTAATGTCCGAATATCACATTTGCAATTCCAAATCAATGCACGATGCTTTTGCAGCTTGTTTTACAATTTTGAAATTTTTTATTACCAAAACACCGATGCGACAGAATGCCAAAAACGGCGGGAAAAATGAAATGTTTGATAAAGAAAACCCTCCAAATCGAACTTTTGGGATAGAAAATTACCGGAAGAATGTTTAGAGTTGCTTTGACTCCCATAAAACTCGTACTTTCCACTTACCTCGTCCGCTTCGAGCAAGTCGGCGTCCTTAAAACTAGTCATATCTTCGTGAACCGACGTTTTGACGGTGTTATGTGGCCCGAGTCATAAGAAAATTTTAAATTTTCATCTTAAAATACGCTCTGTATTTTATTAAACACGCATAATTATAAAACTCGACATAATTTTCGTAAATTTAATGCCCATTTCTGATATTTTTACTAAAAACTCTGCTATTTACCCTCTCGAAAATGCTATTTATATCTCGATTACGTACTCCGCCCATCATAAATTAATTGCCCAAATTCTGAGTTCAATTGTAATTCGATTACAACATAAGGTTACTGGTTAAATTAGAGATGTTCGGGGGCTTTATAAACAACATTGGGCATGGAAATCAACAATTCCAAAGGAATCTCCGGTTACTAGAAGGTGTCTCTCCTACTCGATTAAAAATTACAAGCCGGCTACGGTTACAGTCAGTCTGCGGAGGTCGAAAAACAAACCTCCAAATAAACACCCTGAGGGTTTGAAGTTGAAATTAAAAATTCCGGCAGTCTTTTGTTCAATTAGGCCCTTAGGCAATGAATCCATGCCCTGAGACAAGAATTCCCACAGGTGGCCCAATAAAATACGGAGCTTGTACTTGCCAAGTACTTAGCCAGTAAGTCTCATACAAACTTAATTTATCACCAACTTGCCCTTAGGGAAAATGGATCAATTAGCTGCTCCAATTTATCTATCACCCGCGACCTAAGGGTTCAGAGGTCTTTCTGACAAAGTATCTCGTCAAAAAAGTAACCGAAGCAACAAAAAATAGAAAAAACGGCAATTAATATTAATTTTTTTACCCATGACGTCAGATGTCAGAATCTATAAAACATCTCATTATTTATGCAAATTACGATCGGAAGATTGGGTAATGGGGACTATGGGATTCTATTTACTAAAAGCTCGCCATATGTTATCTATGTCACGTTCTCCCACCAAAAAAACGATATAAATTGACTCGGAATGTGAATAGAGCTAATTTACACACAAGAACAGATGAGATCTCATGGAAAACATGATAAATTTGATCTATTCTGCTACAAATTGGCCGGAAACATCAAAAAATGCCATAAATTATTTTGATTCTCGCAAGTGTCAGGTAAAAATTTGGCAAAAAATGCATCCACAAATGCCGTCCAATTTCTTCCAAAAAAATCCATTTTTCTCCTATCCTTTGTCTTTTTGACCTCAAGTTTTGCCAACATTTTTCTATCTCATCCATCATCCCGACGTCCTCCAACGCAATCCATACGGTAATCAGGTCAGAACCCGTCTAATCCCACCTTATCCACCCATTCTAGGGACCTAATCCGTGCCAAAAAAACATTAGAAAAACCGGGAATTTGGTGGTCTTGGCTCTTTTTCAGTTTCATTTCCCCTCTGGCCGTGCATCTTCGGCCCCAAATTTTCTCTAGCTCTTTTTTCTTGTCCAAGAAAACGCCCCGAGGGCCGGGAGAGAATGGGGGCCGCAGACGAAATATATTACAATTACTCTTTTTTGGGGATTCAATGGGCCAGGAAATTCGCAAAAATAAGGCTTTTTTTAAAATCTTAAAAGACTTCCTGAATTTGGAATTGGACACAGGGCCGGTTTAGAGTTCAGGAAGAGGGAGAGCAGGTCCAAAGGTCAGATTGGGGTATAAGTTATATTGTTTTAGGCAAAAGGTGGCATAAAGTTGGATTTTCGGCAAAACTTTTATGTCGAACTTTCTTAACCGTAAATCAAGTTTTAAAGCTCAATCTAACAAATTATGGTTCTAAAAAAGTATGCCAGACTAAAAACCCCAATCCTTTTTAGGCTCGTTTGGGGGCCAGATGTTTTTGACTCCATTTGTTTATAAATTCTAATCCCTTTACGCATTACCGACATTTTTTGGAGCTTCATTTGCAAAACGCGTAAATCGTCCGTGAAGATGAATCAAGGAAACACTTTTCAAGAAACAATTTAAAAATTTTTTTCGTTTAATTTCTGCAAAACGCGATATGGAATTTTTCTAAACTTTTTTTCGATTCAAACTAAAATTTTTCCCGTCCAAAATTGCGCCCAATTAAACGAAAAATTCCGTAGATTTTATTCAAACCATGCCCCAAAAAGCTTGCAAAACTAATGCCCGCTTTCCAAAATCCGTCATCCAATTTAAATTCGGCTATTCTGATCTCATAAATCAAATAAATATTACATTTTTTGCATTTTAAATTTCAAAAAAGAACAAATTGATATCATCAAAAAATGGAGGGCTTCGAAATTCAAAAAAATTGAAAAATTTTTCCAAAAAATCCCAAAATTTGTTTCGTTTTTTGTCGGAACAGATGTGGGAATTGATGCCTAAAGTAATACAATCCAATCTGTCTGAGTTCAAAAAGCTAAAAAACAAATGTAAACTCGTTTCCTCTCCCTTTTCTTTAAGCCCTCAAGGCGTAAACTTGACTTTTCTCGGCGAAAAGTGTCAGGAACGAAGGTCTTGAGGCCAAATCGAATTTCGTTGCCATGACTTTGAAGGAGAGAAGTTGCGCGTTAAAGGATTAGGAGGCTTTTTGGAGATTTAAATGATTAATTTTATCAGCGGATCAAAAAAAAGGTGAGAAAAAATTTGAAAAGAAGTTTTGACTTGTAATCAATAAAAAAAGTTGTAAAATAAGCGAGTATTGTTGTGTTTGGAGTTCAGAACAAGGACAGACGAGGGAATAACCGAAAGCTCGCAAAAAAATGCAGTCATTTTTCATGAGAGTCATCACCGTGTGTGATTGGGTAAAAATTAACTTTATAATAAAACAATTCTGTAAATCATATTTGTAAAATACGCCGAAGGGTTCCCCATAACTAACAATAAGGAACTTATAAAAAACAGATATACGGAAATGTTAAAAAATATTTTTAGGATCACAAATACGACTATCAGATAATATTATTAGTCCAGTATCTTGGAAAATCCAAGTTTTATATTCCAAAAAATTAGCCAAGAAATCTAGAGGTAGAGACAAGTAAAGAGAGTAATCATTTTAAATTTGCAGTTTTTCTACCTCTGCAAAGAAAATTCCCGTAATGAAAGTAAAATGGAAATTACTCACGCTAAAACTGGGGTTTATTTTGATGCTAAGTCTGTGTGAAACGAAAATATTCCCAATATACGGTAGAACATTCAGCAAATACACTAAAAAACATAAAACTCACCTCCCAGCTGAGACTATCCAGAATCGTCGGCCTTTCATTTACACTAATTTTCTGCCGAATTGCGAACATTTCTTACAATTTAGAGACAATAGCAGTAGGCATAAGTAAAAGTCGCCTTTCTTAAAAGGGTTATCCTCAAGTTTGGAGGGGACTCGGCGTTTTAAGGAGCTACTTTTGGGACGGAAGGCCATTAGGTATCAGTTTCAATGGAAAAGTTGATAGCCTCAGGGGAAATAAGGGTTCCTGAACTTACCCAGCGTCAGCAATCGCAAATTGGTAGAGTTATTGTGACTTCGCGGTGAGATCTTGGCTTTATGGAAATCAATATGACTAGAAATTTGAAATTAAGATTTGCTGTAAAATACGGCACGATGGAACAAAAGTAAACACATAATCAAAAAGTTCGATAAACCTTAAAAATTCTAATCCAAAAAAATCTTCGTTTTTTCAACAAAATATGTCATTATGACGGATTTTCTGGAAGTTAAAAAAAGTTTCCGAACGTTTTTCTTCAAATTTGGTCACCAAAATACGAAAAATCGGGCATAATATCGGACAATACTGTCTCTGGGATCACTATAAATCCGCTGACTCAACCATAACAATACTTTTTTAATACCGCTTACTTCGAAAAGAGCCGCAAACAAAGTGCAATAAAATCGTTTCTCCAACCCAACAAAAACAGAGTAAATAAGAGAATCGTCATTTCGAATATAATTACAGAAGAAATCAAGGCCACAGGGAGCAAGAAAGAGGGAGAAGATGGGGTCCCGGGTCATGGTCAGTATCAGAAAACAAAAAAGATCGGATTTGAAGAGGAAAATCAGGTAAACCTTAAAGAATTGAAAATAAAATTGAGTGTTTTCCCTTCGGAAATAATAGCTATAACAAAGACGATCACAGAGCGTATTTTTTAGAAAAGGAAATGGGCATTTTTGTTCGGATTTTTGGTAATTTTAAGAAACTACTTCTGCTTGCAAAAAGTTTTTAAAAGAGAGTTTTTTACAGATTGAAGCTTCTCATAACAAGGGCCGGACATTCCGAAAAAACGACCAACTCAGAATCTTTTGATATTTTGCATAGTTGTCGCACTGTGATAGCTATACGTCAGCGTGAATTTTTAGTTTCTAAAACTACCGTATACGGGGGTTACGGTAGGTACAATTTTCACAAAGATTGGGTTCGTGTGTAAAAATCCCGAGGGGTAAAAGCACAAAACCTTGCTGTTTTACGTTTTTGACCATGGGGAACATTTTCATAATTGACAATTTTACCGTTGGATGTTGCCTTCGACTACTTTGAAAAATACCAAAGTACCGTATTGAATGTAACTTTTCGGCATTCTACTTGTCTCAACTTTTGAAACCTCTCAAAAATACTTTGACATAGGTGTAACAACATATCAAAAATGCGCGAAAATAAAAGGGGTGGTTTTGGAGTTACGGTACTTTGAAGGCAGCCGGTACGGTATTTCAAAAAGTCATTTTTTTCAAAACCGGTGTGGAAGACCCGCAAACCTTGCCAAAATATGTTTTCGAACCTCGCGAACATTTTTGTAATTGACACTTTTTTTGTAGGATGCGGCCTTCGACCGCTATGAGAAATGTCAAGATACCATGATCAATATAACTTTCCGGCATTCAACTTGTCTCAACTTTTGAAACCTTTTAGAAACACCTTGACATATGTGTAGCAACATATCAAAAATTTAGGAAAATAAAAGGGGTGGTTTTGGAGTTATGGTACTTTGAATTTTGGACATACAGTACACCTCGATTTATTCTCGGCTCAACTTTACGTAGATTGTCTTAAAAACAAAATGTAATGTTCTATGTATGTTGTACGACCCTCAAAAACTATTTTCACCAGGAAACTCAGAAAATTTTGGCCTAAGCATACTGTAACATATCGTGCGCAGATAATTGGTTACTGTAACAGCAAGATCAGCGATTTGTTAAATGTTTTGTACCGATTACCACGGTGTAGAGTCGTGTGTGCCATACGACAGTTAAATCTACCAAATTCGGACGTCAGCATCACAACAAAAGTTCGGTGTACTGTATGATCAAGATTAAAAGTACCATAACTCCAAAACCACCCCTTTTATTTTCCTAAATTTTTGATATGTTGTTACACATATGTCAAAGTGTTTTTAAAAGGTTTCAGAAGTTGAGACAAGTTGAATGCCGGAAAGTTATATTGATCATGGTATCTTGACATTTCTCATAGCGGTCGAAGGCCGCATCCTACGAAAAAAGTGTCCATTAGAAAAATGTTCGTGAGGTTCGAAAACGTATTTCGACGACGTTTGCGGGGTTTCTACGTCAATTTTAGAAAAAATGAAATTTTGATATACGGTACCGGCTGCCTTCAAAGTACCGTAACTCCAAAACCACCCCTTTTATTTTCGTGCATTTTTGATATGTTGTTACACCTATGTCAAAGTATTTTTGAGAGGTTTCAAAAGTTGAGACAAGTAGAATGCCGCAAAGTTATATTGATCATGGTATCTTGACATTTCTCATAGCGGTCGAAGGCCGCATCCTACGAAAAAAGTGTCAATTACAAAAATGTTCGCCATGGTCGAAAACGTATTTTTGCAAGATTTGCGGGTCTTCCACACCGGTTTTGAAAAAAATGATTTTTTGAAATACCGTACCGGCTGCCTTCAAAGTACCGTAACTCCAAAACCACCCCTTTTATTTTCGCGCATTTTTGATATGTTGTTACACCTATGTCAAAGTATGTTTCAGAGGTTTCAAAAGTTGAGACAAGTAGAATGCCAAAAAGTTATATTGGATATGGTACCTTGGTATTTTTCAAAGTAGTCGAAAGCTATATCCTACGGCGAAAGTGTCAATTATGAAAATGTTCCCCATGGTCAAAAACGTAAAACAGCGAAGTTTTGTGTCTTTACTCCTTGGGGTTTTTACACACGAACCCAATCTTTCTGAAAATTGTATCTACCGTAACCCCCGTATACGGTAATTTCTGAAACTAAAAATTCGTACTGACGTTCAGCTATCATAGTACAACAATTACGCAAAATGTCAAAAAATTCTAAGTTGGTCGTTTTTTCGAAATGTCCGGGCCATCCTTCGAGTTGTAAAAAACTCTCTTTTAAATGCTCCAAATTTTTTAAAAATGAGGTGCCGGTCCAGACCAGTCCAGACGCGATGTCTGTGGAACAGGAAAAGGCGCTAAAATATTTGTAAAAAGATTAGAATCTCTGGTGTCTACTGAAGAAGACCTGTTGGGCGAGTTGAAAGTAGTCCGAAACATCTCCAAAAACTTTACAATGCCCGAAGTGAGGAGGATTACTTTCGGCGAATAAGTTTAACGAATTCGGGGATCATGGATAATATAATTAATTTGAAATCGGTGGTTTAATACATAAAAAAACACCTACTATATGATACTTCAGGTCAGAATGCTCAATTTGCAACTAATTTTATGTCAAGATTAAATTTAAAGTCATCAAAATCAGGGAACCTTTTTGAATCAAAAAGCAAGCCACAAGAAGATGTTGAAAATGTAGTTTATCACCTAAAAATGCCTAAGTAACCAAAGCACTTTCAATTAGAATCAGGGGAAGAAGAAATATTTGTACCCACGTCCTTTCGAAGCAGCTAAAAACAAAATTCAAACTTAAAATTTCATTTGAAAACTCCCAAAAGTCTCTAAAATTTATGCCTGCAATTTTGGAAAGATTTTTTCGAGTTTTTAAAGTTTCAATCAAAATTCAAATACAGGTTCCAAACCTTCAAAAGAAAGGATTCAAAAACATTTTTGACCCGTTCCCCCCTTTTCGAATAAAACCTTCAAGCTAAACTTTTTCATACCCTCACAAAAACAATCAAAATCATAAAAAAAATTCACACAATAATATTTATTTGTAATCTAAAAGTACTGTAAATGCGAGGTTATAAAAATAAAAATGATTAAACTCGTTATACATGGCTATTCTGATATGTCGGACACATCTACTGTAGTATCACAATTCCTTTTTGACTTTGCATTTGTCGGCTTTGACCCCATTCTTTCCAACGATCTCGCCTAGAGTCTTCGAGTCTATTTCCACGTCTCCGGAGACATGAAGAGCATGATCAATGAAGGTGATATCCGGTTTCAGGAGGGAAACTGGAAGGCCGGTGGCGGCGGCTGGGAAGTGGACATTGATTCCCTTGGCCAGAGCATCATTCATGGCCTAAAACAATCAATATTACACAATTTAAATAACAAAAATCAACACTTTGTCAAGTCTAACATCAAGCGCAATACAATCAACTCTCACCTTGTTAATAAAATCAACAGCCAATTGAGAAAGCGAGTCCAAGGCATCCTGAGGCAATCCCAAGGTTTGATCCACATCTCTGAGCTGTAATCTGGTCACATTCGCCCCTCCCGTCAAGTTTCCATCATTCGTGATCACATTAACCTCCACTTCAAAGTCGATGGCCACAGTTCCCACCTTCTCTCCTGTAGACACAATGAAAATTGAGGCTTCTGCATTCAACCTTCCGATAGCCGATCCTCCATCCTTCTCTCCGAAGATCACAGCTGGGGCTTTCGTGGAATGAACTGTAATTGTGAGGTTCTCATTTGGATGTTTTTCTCTGATTGCGGGGAGAATATCACCAACACAGATGCCGAGATCAGCCAATCCTCCACCGCTGCTCTTGGTCTCTTCTTCGTCAGCATCGCGGGTAAATCGCTCAATAGTGTCCAATGAACGACGAACTCGAGAAATTACTGGAACTTCCTCATCAACCTAAAACAATATAACCCATAACTAAATCCCCTGCTAAATATGACATAACCACTCCAACTACCCACCTCAACACTTGGGAACTCAGAATTGTCATCATCCTCCCCACAAGTCGTCTTCAAAATCTCTCCGACTGTTGGAGTTGAACTGTCTAAAGTAATATTCAAAAATTTGACGGTGTGGAGCCAGTAGAAGAGAGAGTTCAATGTAAAATCACTCAGAAGAGCCTCGGCCATTCTTCGATTATTTGGTGGGACATCTGATGGGAATTTGGTGTTGAAAGGACGGAAAGGAGTGATCCTGTTTGGTGGGGCAAACTCTCCTTTCAAGTTGACGTTGAGGTCTTTGGATGAGGCGCGGGTGTAGACGATCGAGTAATCAAAGTTAATATCGTTCAATTTCTTCTGAAATGTGCAAAATATTGAACAAAAAGAAGACTGCCATCAAAAAAATATATTATCGATAATCAAAACGGCTAAAATAAGCCCGAAATAGACCTCAATCAAAAGACAAAAACTTACAAAATCAAGAGATCTTCCGATACTCTTAGCCATCTGCACTGTCTCACTGATTTTCCCGCATTCCTCGCAGATTTTTTCCTCCTCGGCATCTCTCTGTGTTGTTCCATTCGAACAAGAAGCAGGGCATTCCAACTTGGATCTCAACAGAGGCAAGACTATATCCTTGAACATCTTGATGATCTCGGAAATGCTGACCGAGCTCGGCAATTGTCTCAGATTCCTGTTTATATCCTTGTCAATCAGAGATGGGAGAAGATCACAGAGCTTTTTGGGAGCTAAGATCTTGAGTTGAGCCGCGATCTTTGACTTAAATTCCTCTTTGTTGGCCGTATCGCCAAGAAGACCACCATTTTCGACGAAGACATCGATGCTTTCGACGGATGCGCGACATTGAGTTATCTTCAACATGTGCTCCTTCTTATTACTGCGAGTAAGGGTGAGGCCAACGACAACATCAATCTAAAAACAATTCAAAGTTAGACAACGTTGCGCGTGGATAATATGTAACGTCTTTATCACGACTTGTAATCGCTTAAAAGTTTACAACATTAACCTACTCCATGAGCATTACAATTGGCTTGGCCAACCACTGGAATCGCAGTTCCACTGGTGTTAACCGTCCCCGCAAGATCGCCAGTAACGCTAAAAGCAACAAAAAAAATGCGAAAATATTTGAAGCGCAAACATCAATATTATACTTGCCACTTACCCCAAATTCAGATTTTTGATATTAAGAATCACTTCGTTTGGACTTTGAGGTCTTAAGCTGATCTCATCCGGGCATTCATACCGAGACACAAAGATCTTCTCAACCTTGATGCACCCATCCACCTACAAATGCAAAAAATTATGTTGTTCATGGCAGTCATTGTTACCTCCGGAATGCATTGCTCCACTTTTGGAAGTCTGATGCTTCTGATGGACTGACTCAGCAATGGTGCCAACAGCTCATTCCCGTACTTGAAACCACTTGGATTCACACGGAACCTGATTCCGGACTTGGCTGTTCCTCCCAAAATCTCCGGATCAACATCTTCGATCTCCCGTTTCACACAACTCACTGTACATATTGTTAGTGCAAGAAGAAAGAGGCGTGTTAATGAGGTCATACCTGAAATTACATCAAAACAAAATGGATGAACTTGAGATCAAAAACTTTTTCGCGGTAAAGCGGGAGAACTCGAAGAAACAAGTGCGATGAACTCCTAAATTACGTATGAGAAAACGAAGAACGCCATAATGCATCACTAGGCATCAGCTTGACAACCAAAGATCAAAAAATTATGTCGAATTCAACCAAAGAAAAATATTTTTTTTCTCATGGCCCACATGCTGTGTTCCACAACGAAAAATTGGGACGACTAAATGACAGCAATTTGCAGAAAACACTCAAGATGGCATAAAAACCACATTGATGTTTATTTCAGAAACTTTCGACGGGTCAACAGCCCTTTATTCTCTCTATATTACACATGGGGATACCTGCGATAAAAACAATGAAGGACCGTTCCAAAACCGTTCAAGTCCAACAATAATTCCCTGAACAGCCTCACGCGGAGACCTTTGATGGTCCGATCAGTTCTTTTTCGCTAAAAAATATTGCAATAAACCTGATAAACTGATATTGTTTTAGCGCTTCGAACCGGTAACTGAAAGGGACGTTGGGGGAAACGAGAACCCTCGGGAAAACTTTACTGCGTTGTGTCGCAACCCAAATTACAACGTCGAAAAAACCCGGTGTGCTTTGGAAGTCAACCTGGTCATCAGTCATCTTACACATGGGGATGTAAACACTAAACAAAAAATTATTATTTTAAAATAATTTTGCAATTTTTATTTGTGATAAGACTAAAACAATATAAATTTCACTTCGAATATCGGGAATTTCGTCAAAACTTTAAATTCCAATCGAATTACAAGGTCATTACCGCCCAAGAAGTAGTAAAAAGCCATTTTTCGGAAGTACAAAATACAGATGTCCCTACAAAGATTGTAACATAAAGTTTCGGTAAAAAAACGACGTAAAATTTACTTTTAAAGGCATCATAAATATTCTATAGCCAATTAAAAGTAATATTTTTGAAAAACAAACTCGTATTTTAGCCAAGGTCATAGTACAAATTATTTTCAACCCCAAAATAAGAAGATTGTGAGTCAACGTAATAAAAAACAAAAAAAAAGACAAAACTTCCGATTGACTGAAGGAAATTGAGCCATTATTCCGAGCTGAGGGTACCTCAATGAGTTTGAAAAAGTCGGTCTCTCGTGACTCCCGCTTGAAAATTTTCACCATATACATGTAGGCTAGGAATTTGATATTTTTAATATTAAATCTAGCTAACTGATAGATCAGAGGTAAATTGCGCACATCAAAAAATATGCTTGCAAAGGTGCATTAGTATACCCAAATCTCCCTTTAAATCATCAGTTTTCAACACCCACCCAACTGTCCAAATCTTTAATCGTCAAATAACTCAAGGGCATGTTGACTTAAAAACAAGTATTTTTATTCGAAATATTCGAAAACGCATGAAATTTTAAAGGCGTTGAGTCATTTCGCATCAATTCTCAGCTGGAGATATAAAAACATTCGATGAAGGTTTACTTTTACTCGCAGTAACTTTTAGAAAACACCAAAATTTTTCGAATGACCTAGACATTTTTTGGGTGATATAAGAGTGAAGATAAAAGTATGCACGAGTCATTTTCAAAAAGCACCCTAAATTTGCTCACTTTTTGGCTCGGACGCCATTCTTTCATTTTGCTGACCGAAACGGCGAGCAAATCCTGAACTTGAATGTGTTGCTTTTTCCGATGATTTTCGAATCATTTATTGAAATTAGCAACGTTTTAATATCAGACTTGTTAACCAAGGTACTAGCGCAATTTTGCTCCAAATGAGGCGAGACTTGGGGCTCTTTGCTACGAGCTGTTTTAGAACTATCACTCTGTCGGAAAAATAACGGCGGATCGTCGCATCAAAATGTCTCGCCTCGCCGCTATCGCGCACCAAATCCCAAGTCGCGGCTTGCAGTCGCAAAGCGATGATGGGCGATTCCGAGGCGCGACGATCCGCCGTTATTTTCCCGACAGACTGATAACAGATCCTAATTTACGATCCCAACTTTATTTCATCAAGAACACTTGATGAAATAAAGTTGGTTTATATATGTAATAAATGGTCTAAAATAGCCTATAATTAAGCATTATGGCCCCTAACAATTCGCTGTACAATCTTCGCCTCTCAAACCATCTTATTTATCTTATACTTGACACTTGCCCACAATAATCTCATTTTTTCAGCTGTTCCAATGTCATTTCGCCATAGCCCTCTCGGCAGCCGCTCCGCTCCAACAACTCTTCCAAATTGTCTCTGATCAGCCCGTGGAACTTAGCGACTCCCAACGAATCTCCATGGACGACCTCAAAGTCAAAGAAGGCGAAGATGGAGCTGCCGCCAATGTTTTCAGCGGCCAAGAAGATGTGTTTGCGTTCAAACGGACCCTGTCCAGACTACAGGAAATGCAAACAGACGCATGTTGGACTAGACGATCTGATAGATTATATTGTTTTAGGAATAAATGTGGTAAATAATGTGGACTAGATCTTATTTCTTTCTGAATCCAATAATCATCTGCCTCTGATGACAAGATTCAACTGGAATGTTTGATGCATTCCCAGTTCACAAAAGAGCTGCTGTCAGCGCCACAGGCAAAAGTATGCGGTTTCTTCGAATGCGGACTCAGTGACATCCAGTCAGGAATAAAATAAGCCTTTTCATGTCTAATAAATCGACAAAATTCATCAAAAATCCGGTAATTTTATCATATATGATATAGCCATAATCAAAATTCAAACTGATAACATCGGCTTTCCAGTTAACATGTTTTGAAGGCTAAATTAAGGGGCTCTTTCGTCGGTAGTGATCGGTGTCACCAGTCATCAACTTCTGCCTATTACAGTCATCAATTTATTGTCCCCACAATTGAAGTCTCGATCGGATACAGCCAAAAATTGCTGGAATTGTGGAGAGCACCGTTCTTTCCAATGCAGTACGCGTCAGGCAATGATTTCTGGTCGTAGGAGGCCTAAATGATACTGTTATAATAATCCTGTCACTTTTAGAAGAGAAATTAATCAAAATGACTGTAGAAAAGGTTCGAGTAAATTCTAAAATATGAAATGCCCGACCATAGATTGATTCTCCCTAACACAGGTTCCCACTAATCTTCAAATAAATTCAAATTTATCCCGCAAACTTGATAAAAATTCTCAGCATAACGCCAATTACGACCCATACCCTCGAATCCGCCATAATCTTCTAAAATGCGACTTAAAAAACGCCTACAATTGAGTCAGTGTCCAATTAATCAACGCCCATTCACCATCGATGTGCCAATTTTCTTATCATTGAAGTCGTCCGCTGGGATCGGAATAATATCAGAGTTTTTCGCCCAGTGTCGGCGTAATTTGATTCCAAAAAAGCTGGAACTTGCCATGCTAAAATCTCAGGCGATTAGCTTTCGAATGGTGTATGTCTTGTCAATTCACTCCGTCATCACTAATTCACTTTTTTTAAAACCGGTGTCTAGTATCATATCAGAGTTTTTCGCTAAGTGTCGGCGCAATTTGATTGCAAAAGAGCTGAAACTTGCCATGCTAAAATCTCAGGCGATTAGCTTTCGAATGGTGTATGTCTTGTCAATTCACTCCGTCATCACTAATTCACTTTTTTTTAAACCGGTGTCTAGTATAATATCAGAGTTTTTCGCCCAGTGTCGGCGTAATTTGATTCCAAAAAAGCTGGAACTTGCCATGCTAAAATCTCAGGCGATTAGCTTTCGAATGGTGTATGTCTTGTCAATTCACTCCGTCATCACTAATTCACTTTTTTTTAAACCGGTGTCTAGTATAATATCAGAGTTTTTCGCCCAGTGTCGGCGCAATTTGATTCCAAAAAAGCTGAAACTTGCCATGCTAAAATCTCAGGCGATTAGCTTTCGAATGGTGTATGTCTTGTCAATTCACTCTGTCATCACTAATTCACTTTTTTTAAAACCGGTGTCTAGTATCATATCAGAATTTTTCGCTAAGTGTCGGCGCAATTTGATTGCAAAAGAGCTGAAACTTGCCATGCTAAAATCTCAGGCGATTAGCTTTCGAATGGTGTATGTCTTGTCAATTCACTCCGTCATCACTAATTCACTTTTTTTAAACCGGTGTCTAGTATAATATCAGAGTTTTTCGCCCAGTGTCGGCGTAATTTGATACCAAAAAAGCTGAAACTTGCCACGCTAAAATCTCAGGCGATTAGCTTTCGAATGGTGTATGTCTTGTCAATTCACTCCGTCATCACTAATTCACTTTTTTTTAAACCGGTGTCTAGTATAATATCAGAGTTTTTCGCCCAGTGTCGGCGTAATTTGATTCCAAAAAAGCTGGAACTTACCATGCTAAAATCTCAGGCGATTAGCTTTCGAATGGTGTATGTCTTGTCAATTCACTCCGTCATCACTAATTCACTTTTTTTAAAACCTCTGTCTAGTATAATATCAGAGTTTTTCGCTAAGTGTCGGCGCAATTTGATTCCAAAAAAGCTGAAACTTGCCATGCTAAAATCCCAGGCGATTAGCTTTCGAATGGTGTATGTCTTGTCAATTCACTCTGTCATCACTAATTCACTTTTTTTAAAACCGGTGTCTAGTATCATATCAGAATTTTTCGCTAAGTGTCGGCGCAATTTGATTGCAAAAGAGCTGAAACTTGCCATGCTAAAATCTCAGGCGATTAGCTTTCGAATGGTGTATGTCTTGTCAATTCACTCCGTCATCACTAATTCACTTTTTTTAAAACCGGTGTCTAGTATAATATAAGAGTTTTTCGCCCAGTGTCGGCGCAATTTGATTCCAAAAAAGCTGAAACTTGCCATGCTGAAATCTCAGGCGATTAGCTTTCGAATGGTGTATGTCTTGTCAATTCACTCCGTCATCACTAATTCACTTTTTTTTAAACCGGTGTCTAGTATAATATCAGAGTTTTTCGCCCAGTGTCGGCGTAATTTGATTCCAAAAAAGCTGGAACTTACCATGCTAAAATCGCAGGCGATTAGCTGTCGAATGGTGTATGTCTTGTCAATTCACTCCTTCATCACTAATTCACTTTTTTTTTTAAACCGGTGTCTATTATAATACCAGAGTTTTTCGCCCAGTGTCGGCGTAATTTGATTCCAAAAAAGCTGAAACTTGCCATGCTAAAATCTCAGGCGATTAGCTTTCGAATGGTGTATGTCTTGTCAATTCACTCCGTCATCACTAATTCACTTTTTTTTAAAACCGGTGTCTAGTATCATATCAGAGTTTTTCGCTAAGTGTCGGCGCAATTTGATTGCAAAAGAGCAGAAACTTGCCATGCTAAAATCTCAGGCGATTAGCTTTCGAATGGTGTATGTCTTGTCAATTCACTCCGTCATCACTAATTCACTTTTTTTAAACCGGTGTCTAGTATAATATCAGAGTTTTTCGCCCAGTGTCGGCGTAATTTGATTCCAAAAAAGCTGAAACTTGCCATGCTAAAATCGCAGGCGATTAGCTTTCGAATGGTGTATGTCTTGTCAATTCACTCCGTCATCACTAATTCACTTTTTTTTAAAACCTCTGTCTAGTATAATATAAGAGTTTTTCGCCCAGTGTCGGCGCAATTTAATTTCAAAATAGCTGAAACTTGCCATGCTAAAATCTCAGGCGATTAGCTTTCGAATGGTGTATGTCTTGTCAATTCACTCTGTCATCACTAATTCACTTTTTTTAAAACCGGTGTCTAGTATCATATCAGAATTTTTCGCTAAGTGTCGGCGCAATTTGATTGCAAAAGAGCTGAAACTTGCCATGCTAAAATCTCAGGCGATTAGCTTTCGAATGGTGTATGTCTTGTCAATTCACTCTGTCATCACTAATTCACTTTTTTTAAAACCGGTGTCTAGTATAATATCAGAGTTTTTCGCCCAGTGTCGGCGTAATTTGATTCCAAAAAAGCTGAAACTTGCCATGCTAAAATCTCAGGCGATTAGCTTTCGAATGGTGTATGTCTTGTCAATTCACTCCGTCATCACTAATTCACTTTTTTTTAAACCGGTGTCTAGTATAATATCAGAGTTTTTCGCCCAGTGTCGGCGTAATTTGATTCCAAAAAAGCTGAAACTTGCCATGCTAAAATCTCAGGCGATTAGCTTTCGAATGGTGTATGTCTTGTCAATTCACTCTGTCATCACTAATTCACTTTTTTTTAAAACCGGTGTCTAGTATCATATCAGAGTTTTTCGCCCAGTGTCGGCGCAATTTAATTTCAAAATAGCTGAAACTTGCCATGCTAAAATCTCAGGCGATTAGCTTTCGAATGGTGTATGTCTTGTCAATTCACTCTGTCATCACTAATTCACTTTTTTTTAAAACCGGTGTCTAGTATCATATCAGAATTTTTCGCTAAGTGTCGGCGCAATTTGATTGCAAAAGAGCTGAAACTTGCCATGCTAAAATCTCAGGCGATTAGCTTTCGAATGGTGTATGTCTTGTCAATTCACTCTGTCATCACTAATTCACTTTTTTTAAAACCGGTGTCTAGTATAATATCAGAGTTTTTCGCCCAGTGTCGGCGTAATTTGATTCCAAAAAAGCTGAAACTTGCCATGCTAAAATCTCAGGCGATTAGCTTTCGAATGGTGTATGTCTTGTCAATTCACTCCGTCATCACTAATTCACTTTTTTTAAAACCTCTGTCTAGTATAATATAAGAGTTTTTCGCCCAGTGTCGGCGCAATTTAATTTCAAAATAGCTGGAACTTGCCATGCTAAAATCTCAGGCGATTAGCTTTCGAATGGTGTATGTCTTGTCAATTCACTCTGTCATCACTAATTCACTTTTTTTAAAACCGGTGTCTAGTATCATATCAGAATTTTTCGCTAAGTGTCGGCGCAATTTGATTGCAAAAGAGCTGAAACTTGCCATGCTAAAATCTCAGGCGATTAGCTTTCGAATGGTGTATGTCTTGTCAATTCACTCTGTCATCACTAATTCACTTTTTTTAAAACCGGTGTCTAGTATAATATCAGAGTTTTTCGCCCAGTGTCGGCGTAATTTGATTCCAAAAAAGCTGAAACTTGCCATGCTAAAATCTCAGGCGATTAGCTTTCGAATGGTGTATGTCTTGTCAATTCACTCCGTCATCACTAATTCACTTTTTTTTAAACCGGTGTCTAGTATAATATCAGAGTTTTTCGCCCAGTGTCGGCGTAATTTGATTCCAAAAAAGCTGAAACTTGCCATGCTAAAATCTCAGGCGATTAGCTTTCGAATGGTGTATGTCTTGTCAATTCACTCCGTCATCACTAATTCACTTTTTTTTAAAACCTCTGTCTAGTATAATATAAGAGTTTTTCGCCCAGTGTCGGCGCAATTTAATTTCAAAATAGCTGAAACTTGCCATGCTAAAATCTCAGGCGATTAGCTTTCGAATGGTGTATGTCTTGTCAATTCACTCTGTCATCACTAATTCACTTTTTTTAAAACCTCTGTCTAGTATAATATAAGAGTTTTTCGCCCAGTGTCGGCGCAATTTAATTTCAAAATAGCTGAAACTTGCCATGCTAAAATCTCAGGCGATTAGCTTTCGAATGGTGTATGTCTTGTCAATTCACTCTGTCATCACTAATTCACTTTTTTTAAAACCGGTGTCTAGTATCATATCAGAATTTTTCGC